CTTCTTCCATTTGGGTAGTTCGCTCCTTTTACCTTGTGACCTCGTTCGGTTGCCGGTTTTGTATACAGTCCATTTCTTCCACGTGGGCATTCTTTGTTCAAATCCAAAGGTTTCTTCTGTTTTTAAAATTAATTTTCATGTTTCCAATTCTTTCCTCCACCTCTTTCTGCTTTTGCTTCATGTTATCGATCTTTTAGAGCTTCAGGTCTATTTTGAAAATAGCATGTGGGTTTATTTTTGCTGTAAAATTTGTGATTTGGGAAGAATGGATTATGAACTGTGAATCAACGGCAAGAGTTCCCTTTCTTTCTCTCTTTTTGTCTTGTCTTTTTGCTACGGGGAGTAAGTCGAAAGTTGAACAAAGAACTTTTGGATTACCGGTCTTGTTTGGAGGCCGGTCACTCTCTCCAGTTATCTATTGAAGTCCGCAAATCGATCGACCACTTTCACTGATTCTTTCGGTTTCGGCTTTATCTTCTCCGTGTCGACTTTGTCTTCTCCGGTTTCGCCAAGGGCCTGTTTAGATCTTTTGTGGCAGCGGAGGCGTACAGAATTAGCAGGGACAAGAAAGAGTTGTGTTAAAGAAGTAACAAAAAGTACAGTACGGTTAGCAATTTTTAGATTCTTATTGGTTATTCTTTGATTCAAATTTATTTGATTCGGTCCAAACCATCTCTTCAGTTCATTCATACTAAATTTTATTTTGTTAAATTGGTGAGTGGATGATAAAATCATTGATTACTTTAAATAGAAGAGTAGGATGGATTTCTTAGTGGTGCGGGGGTTTTTGCAATTGGAATTGAACTTGAAATCTGTTTTTTAGGTTGCACATTAAGTGTTCGAATCTTGTTCTCAAAGAACTCATTCAACGAACAACCTATCTATGAGCTCAATAATTAGTTCTATAAGACAGTAATTAGAGATTTGAGTTCAATTTATTTTGTGTGTTCAAAGTGTTTGCTTTTAAGGCTTGTTAAGTGTTTGATTATTGGTATTAGAGAAAATTTTCGCATCGGCTTTGGCCTATATGTAGCGGAAAAAATTTCCTGCTGCTTGTCATTATTTTCTTTGAAATGGGCTGCTTGTGATTTTGGTTTTAGTGTTCATGGAAGAATTAAAATCTCTCTGTTTTGTTCTTTTTGGTGCATATAGGCAATACGGTTGTGCACTCTTCCTTTGTTACAAACATTAGTCAGTTTGAAAATGATTGAGCAATTGTTAAAATAAAGATTTCACATACTCAATTTAGTTTGAGTGGACATGTAAGAGAATGTAGAGTTAATGGATTATTGCAGTTTTTTTTCTCCATAAAGTAGCCAATTTCATGGTCTAAATGAGTGTATCAATTTAGTTTTAATTTCTTGTTCAAAAGAGAATCCTATTCTCTGCAAATTTTTGTTTAGTTTTCTTTACTGGTCACAGAGAAGAGAGCTATAGTCTAATCAATGAGTTTAGTTTTGTTTTCAAAGCAAAACCATTTTTTTCAAGGAAGTTTGCAAGATTAAGCTCCTACATCCATCTAAGAAAGACCATCATCTTGGATGAATTAAAATCATGTAGCAACGGAAGAAAAACATGTCTACCTAATCCCAATTTATATATTTTAATCTACATTCCTGAGACAAAATTCTATCACGAAATTAGAATTAGTTACCTCAAGGAAATCCAGGCTTTTTGCTTTACCCCTCCTTGAATTTGAACTCTAAATTGGTAGTCACAATTTTCTATTTTGCCCCTTTTCTTGAAGCTTTATACGCTGGTCTTTCTTCAAATTGATTCCTGAGTTGATTACCCTACGAAATAGCTCATCTGTTAGAGTGGTCCTTCTTCAAATCGAATCCTAGGTTGATTACTCAAGCAAAGAGCTCATCGATTAAACTGGTCCCTTTTTTGTAGCCAGTTTTAGTATATGTAGTGCACCTAAATTTTGCTCATAATGAAAGCAAAACCATTGATCCAAACAGAGTCAAATTTGAGTAAAATGGCTCTTTGGTAAGTCATCTGGAAGAAGCTAATGTTGTTAGTAAACCCACACGTTGAATTGCAAAGTAAATAGCAAAAAGGACCATTTTCAGAGAGGTGATCCTACACTTCAAATCCCATGTATCATAGCAAACATTAATTTGAAGTAATCATAAGCAGAATTAATGCACCAAAGGAATCGGGCCGGCTTTGTTTCAAAATCATTACCCACGCTTTCATTCTTATTGTCTTTGTTTGGGTTTCGTTTTACTCTGTCGCCATTCAACAGCAACAGTTATTCTTTTGCATTTTGCCTCCGAATGTTGCCTTCTCTTTTTATTGCTTTGCATTTTTTTTTGGATCATTGTCTCTGTGATGACAATGGGATAAAAGTGCAGAAGCTTCTCACTGAAATGTTTTGATACTGAGCTCCCTATTTCCTGCATTCTTTGAATTGTGTTATTGCATCTTATTTAATATAAATTAATTTCATACTTGTTTCAACAGTTTGCAAAAGGCATTCAAGTTTGTAAAGTGCGTTCATTACCGAAGAAATTAGTTAGAAATGTCCACTTCAGGAGACGCATCTGGAAGCAGGTATGTTTTTTTATATTGTCTGATCGTCTTTTATTTATCAGTTACTTCATCTCTTGCAGTTTTTAAGTTTCAGCTCATTCTATTTTGCCAATTCTTTTTGCCTCTTGTGCATATCTGTGTGAAATTACAATTTAATTTCTGAAATATTAATGATGAGAAAAAGAAAACATAATTCAATCGAACAATGTGTGGAAGTAAGGAATAATTACCGTATATACCGGCAACTTGGGATGTAGAGGGCTTCTTGAAAACATTATTATCAAATGTGGGATTAGCATGTAGAGCAATCTTATACTCTGATAAGTTTTTTACATTATTGAGACTTCGGAAGAAGTGAGCATAAGGATTTTTTTTCAAAACATGCATCAAAACTTGGACAACACTTTCTTTAAATTTTTTAGAACTTATGGCTAACCGGTTTTCAAGTTCGTGTTCTGTGTCATAAAAGTAATATTGTAGGTTTTTTGGTTTTTCATTGTCAGATGGCATTAATGTGTCCATAAAATGGTACAACTGACCCTGAACACGGAATGTGTAAACCCCTTCATTTCTCTAGACTAAAAATTTATCATAGTGAACACCCAATGATGTAAATGCAAACATATTATTATAACTGCGAACACAAGCTTGAAAATGTTTGCATTCTTCTGAATTTCCAGTATATAGGTGCACTAAAGCTGGTGGCATAATTGCTTCTTGCAATTATAGTTCCCCAAAAGAACAACAGAAACCTGGTGGTTCAGCATACAAACGCCTTGCACCACAAAATTGGCAGTTTGGTGCATTTGGCAAAAGGTCAGGACTACTTGCTATAGATTCTAAAGGATCAGATATTTGTTCTTTCTTACGGCTCGAGTATTCTCCCTAAATTCTCATTTTACTGTCATTTTTTCCTCTTTCTTTTATTTTTCTATATTTTCTAATTCATGGTTCCTATTTATAATACAACTTGCAGCTAAAATTCTGAACTCAAAAAATAGCGACCCCTGAAACATGTACTTGCATCCATTGTGGACAGTGCACATACAACTCCTGGTTCAAAAGAGAAGTTGACGAATTATTAAAACGATTTCTATCTCATCCAATATGGAAATACATCTTAAAAACAACACTCAACGGAGAATGGAGACTTTTACTTGAGTCCATATCCAGTGCACCCGGGTATACCGTATACCCCCACCAAACACACGCGTTACACGCGCTTAACATTTTTCACCTTTACATTAAATGATGTACTTGCATTTTTTTAACTGGATAATCACTATAGAACATTCAGATAATCATGTGTAACAAGTTGGATAACTAGTACAAAGATCCTGGATAATCATTACAAACGGTTGGATATTGCTGGACATTGGCTGGATAACCAATATAAAAGTCCTGGATAATCAATAGAGAGCATTGGATAATCAGTTTACATCTTCTGGATAACCAGTTTACAACTTGTGGATAACCAGTATGACATGTTAATTGGGGGGCTTCGCCCCCCATGATAAACTAAACAACTCCCGCGGCTACCGGAATCGCAGGTCACCAACCTGCCCCGGATGCGCCGCCTCGCCGAACACGCCAATGTAGCTAAGGTAATCCTTTTTTTCATGTGTGTGTAAGGAGAGTGTGTTATTGCGTTAAGAGGGGAGACGAATTACTTGTATAAATCCCCCCGTGATAAACTAAACGACCCGGCTGTGCCGGCGCCCGCGGCTGCGCCGCCTTTCGCGGCTGTGCCGCCCTCATGCCGAACATGACAAATTTCATAAATAGTATTTAATTGAATCAGGGGGAAGTTTGCCAAATGATGGAGAATAAAAAATGAATGAAGGGCAACTGGATAACCAGTGTAAAAATACGGACAAGGATATCCAAGAAAAATATAAAAGGAAAAAAATGAAATTTGGCAACTGGTTATCCAGCTGTGTGTAAGTGGTTATCCATAATGTGCATACTGGTTATCCACTATGTCCATACTAGTTATCCAACATGTTAATAATGGTTATCCAGCTGTGTGTAACTGGTTATCCATAATGTCAACACTGGTTATCCACATGGTGAACACTGGTTATCCACACGCGTTAAAAAAAAGAAAAGAAAAAGAAGGATGAATTATCTAGCGAACTCACACTATTCTAAAAGAGTAAATTACACGCGCAGGGGTATACGGTGCCCCCGGGTATACCAGATAATTTGCCCTTTTACTTCTACTGCAACGAACTACAACCATCGAAGCCGAATTAAATAGTTATGCTCATCTCATGTAAACTTATATCATGTATTATGTTCATAGCGGTTTTTTTCTTTCTATGTGAATACCCTCTGTACAATTACTCCATCAAATTGTACATCATCTAATAAAACAAAATTCACATACTTCTTGCTATTTATTAATTTGTTTTCAAATATTAATAATCCGAGTCCCCTTACACCACCACCGCACGAGCGCACCTCCAACTAGTGTTACTAAATGGGAAAATCGACGAAGACGAGTTTAGCTATTTGAGTTTCACTTGTAATTTTACTTAAAACAACTCCCTAATGATGATGATTTATTAAGCACGTCTTTATCAATTTTGTTTCTATTTGCGTCTGCTTCCTTCTCTTTACGTTTCCGATGAACTAAGAAAGCGGTTTTGCCTCTTGTACAATTTCAAGCGCTTCCACTGCCCTTATCTTAATCAGCAATATGAAACGCCTTCCTCTGAACGGAATACAATACGCCGTTCTTAATGGAAATCACCGGCATCATTCTGTTTCATCTCCATCGCTGTATAAGGATAGCCGGATTTTTATTTTTGCGCGCATTCGCATTTTTCCAGCTTTCGACGGGAACCGGTGGCTCAGTACCAAAGCGGATTCAATTCCATCCGAGTTTCGGGGATCCAACGCGTATGAGATGTTAGGCGTCTCAGAGACCAGCTCATTAGCTGAAATTAAAGCGTCCTTTCATAAATTAGCTAAGGAGACTCACCCTGACCTTGCTGATTCCTCCGCCTCCCGGCGATTCATCAAAATCCTTGCCGCTTATGAGGTGATTTAATTGAATAGAATACAGTACATTTTAAAGTGAATTTCAGTGTGAATTTATTTGAAATGATTATTACTGAGTTCTGATCGTTATAGGCCCCTCGGTACTGAGCTTGATTGTGGAGTAAATTGGGCTTATATTGGAAATCAGCTGTTTACTTTTTCTTTTTTTTTGCTTTGCAACTTAAAGCGTGATTACATAATTTTGCAAGACAGAATCATTGGCCTGCGGAATGAACTTGTGTAGATGTGAAACTTACATGTGGACCGATATTTGTAATGTCGCTACTAGAAACCGAATGCTCAATCTGAAAAGCATTGAAACTATTTTTGGTTTTTAATTTTGGTAGACCATGTAGTAATCAGACACAACATGGGGTTGATCTAGTTCTTTTAACTTGATTCAGATACTTTCCGACGATGAGAAAAGGGCACACTATGATGAGTATTTATTATCTCAAAGAGTGATAGTTCAGGGATATTACAGAGAGGGTTCTGTTATGTATACGTATGAGTCACGTCGAGCAGCAGGCAGGGAGACGGAAGTGGTAGAATGGCTGAAATGGTATAGAAATGCAGTGAATGAGATTTTGGCTGAGAAAAGGGTGGTTGTAGGGTCAGGTTATTTTGATGTACTGGAAAGAGATTTCTACTCAGCAATACATGCTGCTTTCTATGGCCCTGAGATTGACTCCTTTGATCTTCTTCCTGAATGTTTCGAAGCGGAGGTCAGGTCTGATCTTGGGACTCCGGAGGTGCTGCACTTGGTGTCTGGACGGGATCTCTTTGGCATGGTTTGTGTAGCCAATCACGTCCCTGTTATAACCCATGCCCACAGGAAAGAATTAACATCCTTTGCATCAGATTTATGCCGATCTGTTGTTGGTATATTGAAAGGCTGTGGTACGACTGGTGGTGGCATTCATCAGAAGAGAGTTACTGAATCTGGTTATGACACCTCTGACGCATATAAGAACCTTGAATTGTACATAGCAGGAAGGTTAGTTGCTGTAGCCACTAGGGTTCCACCAAAGATTGAAGAAGGGAAGCAGAACAAAGAAGATAGGATCCGTATTTATCTTGTCTCACATGGTGAGTCTACAGGCTTAAGTCAAGGAATTGATGAAGATAGTGATCTGGATTATTCAGTTGGATATAGGGTACCCCTGGGAAGCATAAGTGGCCTTGGGACCAGCCCCGAGGAAGGATCCTGCACTGTATATGATAACCGGGAAGTCAACACCCACGTAATTATGAAGCATAGAACGTTGCTGGTATGCGTGAAATTCCTGCATTTGCAACTTCGAATTTTCATGTAGGCTTGGCTTCTTTGTGCAATAGAGCTTTTAAAAGTTGAACTCCCTTTGTCCTAAAAAAATAGTCCACATTGAGTTTTGAGATTTTTGGGAACTCCCTTTGTCAAAACTCAATGTGGACTATTTTCTAGGACAAAGGGAGTATAATTTCACCGCACTAGTGAAACCATGGCATTGTGTTTACATTATCCCCATGGGGTTAATCTGTTTAAAGGCGTAGTACTGCTACCTTCTGCTTCCAAAAAATTTGAAGAGACAATAAGAAATATTCTTCCCCAAAGCTTTGCATTGGAAGTGACTGCTCATGTGTGCATTGGTTTATGTCATTTTTGCTTCTGGCGTAATGAAGTCTTTTACTTACAGATGTTTCACATTCATGAAAATAGCTTTCTTTCGTTTGAAGTGATTGTCGTATATGTCTTTCCATATTCTTCTCCTCATAAATTTTAGGCATGTTCCTCTATTAATGAGAGTTTCTTGCAGGTGAAACACCTGCATTGGTACCAATTAGGTGAAAGAGCTTCAATTTGTGAATGTAGATGCACCAGAGCAAGGTTGCCACCTAGCAAGTAAGATGCAAATCTGCTCCTTTTCTAGTTCAACTTTTAAGAGTTCTGACTGATTCTATTTGTTGGAATCAAGTCTTTTCTGCCATGAAACCATTTTATGGATATTTAAGATTCATTGGGTGAGTTCTGATGGTATAACTGCAACGCATAATTGGTTCTATTTCAACAAATGTAAATTCGTTTCATACTTGGCAATTGGATGTGATTATCGAAAATATATCAAATTGAACCTTCACTTTCATACTGCTTCATGATACCAATTTAATTGTGGTCGGGCGGAAGTTGGAAAGTTGTATGTCTTCTCTCTTTTTCTTCTACTTTCACATGCAAATTGGTTTCCTGACGTTAAGAGCTTTATGGTATTCTATACGGTTAGGTTTTGGATATTCGAGCCTCGCTGTTGTATGCATGACATTGGAGGTTGGTATGTGGAGACATTCGGCAGGGACAAGAAGGCACGCAATGTCCCATCTCAAAGATACTGGAATGGATCTGACACTAATCAATTCTTCGAAAAGTAAGTCTTTTGATGCACCTATATGCATGCAGGTTTACTAATTTTTTGGAGTAGATTCTGATATATGCTGATAAGTGTTGGACATTCTTTAGGAATTTTGGCATGCTATGAACCGTAAAGAGATATCAGGGTCTTTAGATAAACTTTAGGAGTTTGCAAGGTGCTTCTGGAAGATTGTGCACATAAAGAGTTAGTTAGATACAGTGATTTAAGCAGACAAGAGTATCTTCTAGCAATATCTTGCCAACATAAAGATTTTATGTTGTTTGAAATTATTTTCAGGAGCCTCCATCCAGCCATGTATCTGCTTGCTCTTGCCTATAGAAGTCTAGATATTGAAGATGCCAAGATGAGGAAAAAGGCTATGAAGGATATTGTTGAAGCAAACATGTTCAGAATCCTTAGCTGGTTCAAGAAACTTGTTTAGAGATACTCCAGGTTTCCTTGGTGAGAATCCATGTTTCAAAACTGTCCTTTCCATCAACTGATAGTTTTCCATTAAAAGCAGTGGTGTATTGCCTCAGATGTACTGATATTGTGATACAATGTATGTATATTTAACATTTAACCTAGGTGCTGGTATAGTATAAAAGGAGGGAGAAATCTCTCCCACTGAAAACTGTAGTATTTTGTGAACCTCCAACAAAAAATAAGACTAAGCTAAATACAACTTCAGATGATTTAATTTTTGATACATAAAGTTCTGTCCAAATGATATGATCTTGCTAAGATCTGCAGATCCACTAATAGAATAATGACAAGGCTTGGATTCAGTGTGAAGGCAAACCACTATTCTTAACATCTATGTTTTCTCATTTGATCAGGTCTTCCCACTTGCAGTATTGCCCTCCTGCTAATGCTCGATAAAACCTGTCTCTGCAGTAAACTGGCCTTCCATCAGCTGCTTCAGCTGCAGCAGCTGCTAGGTCATCATCAGACTTCACTTCTACTGGCAAGCGTAAAAGTTCTTCTTTCCTAAAAATTGTGTTCAAATCAAGAAAGTAAGTACATCATCAGAATTTATCATTTTTAGTGTTTGTTTACTTGTTTATTGGGGAAGAAGTTTCTTCATGTCTGCCTTTGTTTACCTTATGTTGAACTTGGCTGCCATTTTTGAATCTGAAACTTTAGATGGGTCCTCCTTGGAAAAGGTGCTTTGAATGAAATCCTCGACTGGTGTAGCAAAAACAAATAGAAAAACGGCTGCAACAAGTAAAACTCCTGTCCCAACTAGAGTCTGTTTCAGCAACTGGATGACTGGTTTAACCTAGATGCGCAAATTTTCAATTCTGCAACTCAGTATGTATAGTGACATGTTTATATTGACTTCTAAACTATGAGAACTCTAATGCTTCATTTAAATCCATGAATATAAGAACTGAAATTTGTTGCTTCCTGGATTAAGAGTTGCCCGAGTTTTTGAGAGCAGTGCAGTTTTAAAGATATTCTTTGTGAAAGCAATGACTTAAGAGTTCTTCAAAGATACTGCTTTACCATCCTCATACAACCTTATAAGAACCGAGCAATCTATCACGAGCCAGAATCTGCATCAAATAATGCTGTTGTAAGCTCTAAGTGATTGTGTTAATGGACGAAACTAATTAAGACTTACCCAAGAAAATGAGAAATAAAATGTTAAAATTTTAGATGACTTTTTGCTTCGTTCCTGGGAATTGTGTCTGATACTACACTACTCTTTTAACTTCACTGTTTAGAATGCTAACGATCATGATTGTTTTTAGCCATCATTACATCACATTCGATGCTTTTGAGCATTTCCCTCTTCTCTCATGCAATTTCCAAACTAGTTGCAGGAATTTTGGCTTACCTCTGGTGGTTTTACCCACATTTGTCCATCGTACCATCCAGTTTCTTCATAAGGTATGACTGCTGAGAGAAGTCTGTCACCAACGTAACTCCAGCCCTGTTGCATGGATCTAAATTGTCATATTTTCCCAAAACTTTAAATTGAGAAACAGAGAGTTTATCAGTTTAGCTGATTAAGTTAAGTCATCTAAAGGAGTTGGGTCTTATTAGCTGCCTTAAATTATTTCATACATGTTCCGTATAGCTGAAGAAGAACGAAAAAATTTGTTCAGCCGTTTATGTTTTAAATGGCTCATACCAGATAAATTCTCAAGACAATTAGTGAAACAAGAAAGAGAGTTCCTGTGCCAGCCGCCAAGACAAAACGCAGAGGATCCTGCACAGATATAAACGTTTTTGAGTTTGAAGAGGTTGGCATATAATGATTTTAAACAAAATGATGGATAGTAGTTGTTAAATCTTGTTTGTAACACTATGTTCTTCATGCTCCTAGTATTTTTTTTTTTGTTTTTTTTTGTTTTGGTGAGCATGTTAAGCAGATGACAAATTTTTATGGAGCTTTTTCATAATTATTTACGATGCGCTGGCTAAGCTCTCCAGTTGCTGACTGAATCTGAACTCTAAAGCTTTTAAGGTCCTATCAGTTTTCTGTGAGCTCAAGAGAAACATCTGCAGTTTTTGTGGTCCAAGGTTCATACATTAGGCATGCATTTTTTTAATAGTGCGCTAATTATCATGTTTTTGAAGCAGTATGGAAAGCCTATGATATCGGGGAGAATTGTGATACCTTTTCTGGACTGAAGCTTGCAGCTGCAATTGGCACCCCTAGAGTGGTGAAAGTGACTAACCAAAGACCTCCAAGACGAAGAAAAAAGGATCCCGGGCCCAATTCAGCCCATGAATATAAAGAAGAATCTTTAAGTGATGAGTACTCATTCACCTGTAAGTTTAAGTCGGTTGGCATGATACTTTTCATTTCAAATCAACCTCATATATAATCACACAATACAAGAAGCTAGGGTGTAAAAGATAGTATAGCATAAAATGTTTGACCTCTACTGCGTCATGTGCAGTTTGTAAATGGCTGTGAAACTCAATTGAGGATATTCAAGCTTTTAAGCAAGATGGGAGAAAAGCATACCGGTCTTTGTTCATAAGGCACCTCAATTTCCAATCCGGGGTCCCAATTACGACCAGGTAATCCACTTGTGCCTCCATTTCTTTCATCTTTGAGGGCTCTAATGGTCACCCTTGCAGACAGAAATTGGTTTCGGTTACAGTGAATTATCCATGAGCTGCAGCCAGCCCCAGTTTTTGGTTTTGTTGGATTTGGAAAGAGAGAACAATAGACATTCAACCTGAGCATTTATTGTTTTACCAGAATTCAAGACCCTGAGAGTGGAAAAGGCTGAGCTTCTTCTGATGGTGTTCTGTGAATTGGAGAAGAAAGTAGTGAGATATCAGGAGTCGGATATTTCAAAGACCCTGCATTATTTTACGTGGAGGAAGATAATGGAGGCAGAATGTTCTGTATCATATAATCTGAGAGTTGGGGTGGGGGAGAGGTTGGTTTTTTTTGGAGGCTTATGCGTGACCCACACTTGAAGAGTTAAGAGCCACTAAGTTGGATTATCCGACTTCCATTTTCTGCTGTTATTAACTTTTTTGTTTTCATTATTTATATTTTTCTTTTGATATATAAACACTTCCTATATATATATGTTGGGTTCCATTTTTATTTTGTGGTTAACGTTGCTAACGCGTGGGACGAGTTATGTGGGCAACATGGCAGCAGCAACCGTGCACGCTGCAGTTAGTTACTTTCTTATGCCTTCACGAGCTGTGTTGCTCCAAAACTTGGAATATCTTCATTCCAGTTTAGCTATGAAAATCCTTCTCTATACGTCTTAGCCAACAAAAATCTTTCTATTTTCTCAAGTAGTTTGAAGAAGCATCGGATCTCATTTTACGTTGAAATGTAGAAATAAATACGAAAATTGGCAACATCCTAATTCATCAAGTTCTAAAAAGGGTACAGAACAGCACTTCCCCAGGGAGTTACTTGTATGCCTAATGGATCTGCTGGCCGGGGATTTCAAAAAATATCGATTTGTTCACTTCCTCGTGTCGATTACAAAGCCACTTCAATTTGACATGGACACTGACGGAACGAATTGTAACTTTGCCCGAAGTTAATAGGAATAATTGGATACATTGTTATTTTTCCCCGAAAAAGTAAATTCTTTGATCTTTAGTAATTAGTACTGTGCTTTTAATCTTTACTCATAAGTTAACTTCGACCACGACCAATGTACCAACCCAAAATTGGGATTAACATTTAAAAACTTCACATTCTTAAGTTTTTTCTTTTTTTGGTTAATCTATATCCCCTGATTTTTTTTAAAAAGTATGTTGATCAAGTGTTTTTTTTTTTTTTAAAAAAAACAAAGCATGTTATAAGAAATTTGTATTTATTAATAATAACGGACCTTGCACCGAATCCATGTAGTGTTTGTTTTTTTTTTTTTTCATCCTTCAAAAAATAAGATTAAAGGAGGTGACAGAAAAACCCCCAAGTAGTTGATAAATAAATAAGTGTAATTAAGAACTCCCGCCGCATAACGAAGTCAACTCTATTATGACATCCGTTGACCAAGGGACACCGTCCCCCGAATTTTTCCTACCTTCAGTGTTCGTTGCTTCTAAAGTTCTGAGTTGTAATAATGCGTTACCAAATTTGGGAATACTACTTCAATCCCCTCTTAAGATTTTGAATATCTTCCCCTCACGTTTCTTTGCTAGGCACCGTCTCCGGTTTTTTTTTGCGAATTCCTAGAATTTTTTTCAGAATAAATTCGAGATCGATCTTTTTTTGTTTAAAGTTAATTAGAGATTAGTGTGGAAGGCAACTGCAACGGAGTCAACATTTCATTATGAAGAACTTTAGGGGTGGTAAGATCGTCGGAAACGGCGGAAGATGGCAGAGCCTAGGTTTACCTTTTGTCTTCCTCCTCTGCATTTCTTTCTTCCTTGCCGGTTTCTTCGGTTCTGCTCTTTTCTCTCAGCCGGTCCGTACCATTTCTGTTCTCGATCTTTTAGTAGCATTAGTTAATTTTCCGTTTATGATTATGCTTACATAGCTAGTGCTCATTTAATTCATGATTTTTTTTTTTTTTCAGGATGAATGGAGTATGCAGCCTCGGCCTAAGCCAAGGGTATTGGAATCGGTGGCCGAAAAGTCAACGGCGCCTGAGGAGGATCGACGCTTTGATCCGTTAGCTCATGGCAAGTCTGGCGAGGGCTTCCTAACTTCCATTCCTTTTCAGGTAGTCCAATCCACCAGCACTCCCTTGAATATCTGTAATTCTGCTTTGATGACTTCAATTTGGTAGGAAATCAGTTTTTTTTTTTTTTTTTTTTTTTTTCTGTTTGATAAAGTGTGTAATATATGAGAAGATGTATATACTGAGAAGAAGAGAAATGCCTTTGGGGTGATGTTTTGTTTCTGATCATAATTTACTTGTTTAGGTTGTTCTTGAGTTTCAAACTTTTTGTTTAAACATTACTCCCTATTAGTATTATTATGAGATCAAGATATATAGTCTCTTTAACATATCTATCTCGCTTATATATCTTTAGTTACTATTAAGTTTATCGTTTTCAGCATAGCCTATTGCTTTACATCAGCATTGTTACTTCTTTCCTAGGTTCTAAGCCTGAATCCACGTGCATTGTACTTCCCCAATTTCGCTACTGCAGAACAATGCCAAAGCATAATTAAAATGGCAAAGGTTGAGCTTCGACCATCTAGCTTAGCGCTTCGTGAGGGAGAGACTGAAGAAAGTACCAAAGGAATCAGGACAAGGTAAGTTTAAAGCTTATCTAGGTAAAGACCCCTGATGAAGTTATAGTCAATCTTTGAATAGGATTTTTTCTCTTGATAAGATACTTTCTTTGCGTCATTTTCTTTTTTGTTTTGGTTGATTATGAAATTTTATGAGAATTTGGATATTTGACTTTGTTGAGAAGTCAATGCACAATTATTCTGAAACCCTTTGTTCTTTTGGGGTTTCGTTTCATTTCAGTTCTGGAATGTTTATAAGCTCTTATGAAGATAAAACCGGGACTTTGGCACGTATCGAGGAAAAGATTTCCAAGGCGACGATGATCCCTAAATCTCACGGAGAGGTAATACCCGCGTATGGACGTGCCTGACTTCTAATCTGTTATCCCTCAACCATGTCTGTCAAGTAATTTGACTAAAAGCCAGTTTAATTTATTTGTGAGTGCAAAAATGTAGGTACCTTATTGATTGTTTCCAATAAGCGAATGACGGATGCATTAACGTAATTTTTGAAATAAATCCAACATGCAAGTTTCTGTATCTGGCTGTATGTTGAAAGTGGGATACCATATGCACGCGTATTTGAGAGAAGCCAGATAGAAGTGTTTCCAAAGACAACGTGATTAAAAATTTAGTCATCCCATTGTCATGTAATCTTAACTAGTAGAAAAAATGTAAATCATAGTAGAAAATACATTTTTACTATTTGTTAGTTATAAGCCTAGTTATTCTCAGTCTCCTATTACTCTATGCTTGCCTTCTTGCCTTGGGATTTTCTCTAATTATTTCTTGCTTCTTCCAATGTCTTTTGCATTAGGTCTGTTTGACTTCTGATTTCACGATATTTTGAGATTATCTTATTTACCCAACTGTATAATGCTGTTTTGCAGCCATTCAATGTCTTGCGGTACGAGATAGGACAAAGATATCAATCCCATTATGATGCTTTCAGTCCTTCTGAATATGGTCCTCAGAAGAGCCAAAGGGTATGAGAAAAATAAATTGAGCAATCTCAAGTCGTTGTAAGTTTCAGGTCATAGTACAGTCTTTGCTCATGCATACAATTTCGTAAGTATTGTGAAAAACTTGACCAGTGTCTTTACCTAATTATCAGTCTTGTGAATTTTGCTCAGCTGTATGTGACATATGTGCCATCCTTCATTGATGTGCTAATTTGTCTTGGGACTATAAATGGTAGAAATTCAGTCCTAAGAGAAGAAAATAAACTGATAAAAATAAAACGGATTCACTCTTGCAGTCAATTAATTCTTAATTGAGTGACAACTGATGAGTGGCTGGGTGTTGGTCAACACAACAGGTCTCCATAGAGTAAAAGTTGAACATTCCTTGAATCATGCCCAGTTTTTATTCTCATTTTGTTCAGACTATGATGGCGAATGCTTTACATGCTTTTTTTTTCAGGTTGCTTCATTTTTGCTGTATTTATCAGATGTTGAAGAAGGAGGAGAAACCATGTTTCCTTTTGAGGTATGTTCACACTCTTTTTTAGGTAAATGGTAATTTGTATAGCAGACAAAAGATCATTGCAAGTTCCGTACAAGGAAACCAGCTCACCTACTGTTGTTCACTCATCTATCCAAACTGACCAAACTGAAACAATAAATTAAACTATATCATAATCCCCATTTCTATACTAAATCAACTCCAATGCTTTGTATACAGTCTCGTTCCCTGGCTTTCGATCTATTACGGCTCCAACAAGTTTTTCCCTTCAGCTCTTGTTGGATGTCTCTAAACCCCTCCACTGTCTTCATCTTCTCATTGAAAATGACTTGGTTTCTTGTGGTCCACAAATGATACACTCCCACTGTTATGACTGAGAACAGTACCCTCTGTTTAACTGTACCATGTTTCCAAATGTCGATTACTCTTTTCCATATAAACAAAGCTGAAATTGGATCTGACAAGTGATTCCACTATTTCAACAATCTAGAACACACGTTTAGATTTATTTGTTTCTTGATTTCTTCCTTGCAATTTTATGTGGATCAACGGTCAATGCTTAATCTGCAGGGTGGAGTGAACATGGATTCCAATTATGATTACAGCAAATGTATTGGGTTGAAAGTAAAACCTCGGCGTGGGGATGGGCTGTTGTTTTACTCACTTTTTCCAAATGGTACAATTGATCCGGTGAGTATCTCAACTGTATTTTTTTAAAAAGATATGAAACTTCCTTATCCACCCAAAACTAACTGCCCATTCTTAAATTGGTTCGGATTGTTATCACAACTTTTCCATTAACTTATGTTGTGATTTTCATTTAAACAAGCTAACACATTCAGTTGTTGAATGGACAATGTGCATTTCCTTTAATATTGAAGGTAGCTCTGGTAACATGTTTTTGAAACTTTGCCGATCATTTTCGTATAACAACGATATTTATTTTTCACAAAGTATGCTTTTAAAGTTTTGCTCTTCTTTGCATTAGTTTTTTCATGTCTCAGTTCCGCCTTTTTGTTAGAGCGTCTACTCTTTATTCTTCTTCTATAGATGTGAAAACTGAATGCAGCAGTGTGGACATTTAGCTTAATGTCCTACCTTTTCTTTTCTCTTTTGAATGCATATGTTGTGTTTGTGGACTCATTAGCAAAATGGCTGACATAAGGGATAGAAAAACTTTTCCCATTCAATTGCTGCAACTGGTGGCAACCGTGCATTTGTAATTTTTGGCACCCAAGATCTGAGAGAAAACTGTTTTCAATCTTCCGTCCTTTCTAGCATTTGTTTTTCAGCACAAGAATGATTAAGTTTATCCTCTCCAGTATATTTGTTGTTTAGCATTTGAACAAGAAGGTAGGTGAATAAATGTGAAATTCCAGTATCGTATCCTTTCTGAATGTTTCCTGCCACTAACATGGTAAAGTATATGCACTTTTCCAGACATCACTTCACGGAAGCTGTCCAGTTATCAAAGGGCAAAAATGGGTTGCTACAAAGTGGATCAGAGATCAGGAACAGGAAGACTATTACCCAAAAAGCAATTAACAAGTTGTCAATGTGAAATTTTAAACTAGTTATGCAGTAAATATATCTTACATTAGTGCCTGCAAATTTTGTTGTTCATCGTATGGCTGGAGCAGGCGAGGTGGGGGATAAAACCTGGTTTACTAAGGCTTAAACATCAAGATCCTCATCTTACCAAGAACTTACATATCCATTGAACATAATTTAAGGAAATATTTGAAACTAGGATTTTATGCTGAAAATGGAATCTAATGAAAACGTGGCACAATGCTAATTAATTCCATAGTTGAAAGATATACATCCATTAGAAAGGCAGAAAACCAGGTTCTCTTTTAATCTTCAAGGTGTTGGATGCCACTATACAAGGTGTACAAAAACGTGGGATCAGGCAATAAAAACTATTCCTTTCCCCTTATTCTATGATTTCTAACTTGCAATGAGAAGAACGAATAAATTCCAGAATATCCCAACATCTTTTGTCTTGAAAACGGTTGAGCAAGCTAAGAAATCACCCGGCTGCTTCTCTGACTTTATTTGTTTAACACAAACCCGGAAATATATACTCCAAAATATGGACAGATGAACCTAACAAAATCAAGCCGTATGATTGATTACCCTCCCTTTCGAACGAGATCAAGTTTGCTGAACCCTCACTTGCCAGGGTTTCTCCTATTCTCAATTCTATCAGCCTCAGCCTTTCTCGATTTCCACCATTAAGGTGATCAGATGACATGATTTCCACCATTAAGGATTCGGCTTCTGATGGATTCATATCATACAAAACTTGCTGCCTAAAGTGACCTCAGAAGACACATTACAACTTATGCCAACTTTGGTGGAGTTGCTTTCCAGATCGCTTCAACATGTACATGCAACATGCAGCAGAGAATAAACCAAAAGCTGAAAGAGCCAGGATAGTGGAATTTGCTATAGTTTGATGATAACCTCTCTGCTCAAAATGTTGAAATTCACGAAGAAGTTAGAATGATGCATGAAGAAAAAATAGCAAGAAAAAAAATGAAATAGGGGCACACATATGTTACTAAATACAAGTGATATCAAAGCAACATCATACTTCTCACACACGAAAATTTGAACTAATCTATTTCAATTTTAGTGTGAAATCCATGGTAACATTTGAACTAGGGTAAACTTTTCATGCTCTTATGACCAAACTGCACGAATTAGTAGTGCTAACCAAGTTCTCCAGAAGAGGAGAGACCACCGAATTCAGACAAGTAAATGACCAAACTGAAGCCGAGATGAGATTGAGTTCACATGAGTTCCCTGGAGTACTACCTTCCTACTCTACATAGCTTTAAAGCCAAGAATTACTTTACTAAAATGTAATTTCTCTCTTCCAACATTTCCATGAAAATTTTATTAAAAATACATTATTTGCTGATTATTTGACCTAAAAACAGCAGTAAACCTAACATTTAGCATACTTGAAAAGAAACCTTGTTTGCACCATAACATATTCAGCAAAAAGAACATAATTAGTCAAACTTAAATATGAACAATTTATACTTCTTCAAGAAACGAAGATGATAAGAACCAGCAGAACCTACTTGCACTAGAAGTAAGAAGAAAATCATATTTGCTGGAGCTTGACTGAGACTTATCATTCCTCCTCGAAGTTCATTTGGTACATACCTGCAAAAACCATGAGATTTGTAAGTTAAGGATATAATTGAGCTAACAGACAATTAGTATAACAGAAGGCACAAGAACACTCGTAACACTTATTTACATGCTTCTCAATCTGGCAAGTGAGGGCAAAACAAGGCCAACACAAGCGTGAAATATGAAGAAAAGTATCAGGAGGATTTTAACATCCTGAAACAAAAAAAAAAAAAGAGAGGGTAGTCAGTCAATCAAGTTCGGCATCCACATACTTGTAAACATTTTCTGAGGCAAAATGTACCTGATAGTCATATGCAACGACAGATAAAATGAGTCCCATTGAGGAAAGCACGTAAACCAAGCATTCTTCTATCCGAATGGATGTTCTCCCACTAAACATCCACGGAAACAGAGTGCTTCCTAGCATTTTCGCACCCATCCAACAAGGAAACAGCAATCCTAAATTAACCTCTCTGCCATCACCCTACAATTTTGACATAATAATTCAAATTATTTTACACTATCAACAGTCTTATTCTTCTTGGGAAAAAAGAAGAAGAAATATAGCCGGAGACACCCAATAGTCACGCTTAATCAGTCATTTTACAGAAAGAAACACCATTATAGTATCAGACAATGCCTTTTTAAATTCAATTAGGAGAAGCTCTCAGTCAGAAAACTAGTAACAATAACTGAAAGCATACCACAATAGTGGGAGCCCAGAGAATCCAGAATACTGCTATAGAGAGGTTCACACAAGCTTGTGACCATGATAGCAACCATACCCTTTTATCTGTTAAAAAATAGAAACATAATCACTGACAAGAAAGTGTCTTAACAAATATACAAAGTGACTGGTTACAATGCTCATAAAATTTCCAAAAGGACCTAAACAACTGAGCTAAAACTAAGACTATGATCTAAAATAATCATGTAACAATCATCAAATTTTACCAGAAATAACATGAGTCCAGAATGAAGCCCTATAATCCTCAAAGTTGGTTGTTTGTGGACTTCCCTTGGCTCCTTGAGCCACACAAATGATAGATACAATTGCAAGAACTAGAATTGCATAATTAGGAGCCATCACATTTTTCCCGGATCCATTTCTGAACAGCCAATTTCCGAGGCACTGGCTGCAAATGAGCGAGGCAGATTCCACAAAATTCATTAACCAAAACATATCACTTAACACATCCTGTCTCTGTCCTAGCTGCAAAACATAAAAGTTCCCATCAATTCACTGTAAACCAGCCCTACGACGACATGGACAGACTAAATCACAGCGCTAAAGAAAACTTAATATCTGAAAGCAAACCTTGGTGTGCTCAGCAACCATCCAGGTCTCGAAACTGAAGGAGAATATAGATGAGGCAAGAGATAGGCAGATGCTGGCCACCCATACACTTGGACGCCCGATGACGCATTTCCAAATAGCAACAATGAAGTGCAATATATAAAACATCAAACAAGCTTTCTTCGAGCCACTGAAACAAGGAAATATTAAGTGATCAATCGTACCTCATTTCAATCTTTAAAAAAAAAAAAAAAAAATCAAACAGAAACCAAAGGAGAACTACTCACAACATATCAGAAACCGCGCCAAGAAAACTCCCAATGCATAACGACGCAGCACTCCCGACGCACAAACACAGAAGCATTTGCTGTTTATCAACTCCATAGTACTCCCATTCATACTCACCGTACAATAACCCTAAGCCTTCCGTGACTAATTAATAACAAAAATAAAAGGCATAATTAACATCGTAAACAATCAAAAGGTCCGATAAAGAAAGGAAATGCAGGCGCAAATAGGAGATTAAGATTACCTGAAGAGATAGTAAATAGAAGAAGGAAAATCCGTTCGAATCGGAGGAAGGCGGAAGGGAGGGAGTGATCGAAGACAGTGGCGGCAGTTGATTTTTGGGAGCTGTGAGGGCAAAAATAGATGGAAAGGAAGCAGGTAAAAAGTATGTATACGTGGAGCCATTTATTAGATTCCCAAACCTCGCTCTCTATCACCACCCCCATTGATATGGTGGTCCCGGTATCGACTGACAAAATGAAACAATTGCCACAGAGCTTTCCGCCGGCGGGAAGTTTCTTCGCCGAGATCTGAATCAAAATAGGTCAGGCAACGTGCTTTAATATTTTGGATCTAGGCCCAGTCAATTTTAGTGGGTTGTAGCCCAAATTGGTTTTATTTCCCCTTTTTTCCTTTTGGTTTTTTTCTTTTTATATTGCCTAAACAAGGCTAATTTATTTTATTTTTTCTAAAAATTGTATTTTTACCGTTGATTAATAAATAGACATGTTTAGTAAGTGTATAGTGTATTAGCCTTTTCATTTGTCACTATTCAAATTCACTATAATTTCTCATTATCTGTATCATATTTTTCTTTCCAATAAGAACTATCTTTTTCCCTCTTAAAATGCTGCAAACAAAATGAATAACATGGTTGTGATTAGTGATTACAATATTCCAAATTTATCAATCCACCTAACCATATCAGAATTTTACAATAAGCATTGCATAGTAGGACTTGGTTTCACATGCTGAAAAGAAATAATGCATTTTGTATTTCCAGAAAACCATAGTCCAGGCACTAGGTATACCAGAACATGTGTTTGCATACTAAAGGGTAGGGTGAAACAGAGAATCAAGACATATGAATATGAACATTGAATTATGCAGATTTCCAAGACAGTAATCTTTAATTTACACAATGTGTGTTTTCCTTCATTAGCTTCAGGAAAGGCCTAGTTGGCTAACTTTCTACTCAAGACCCTCTTGATCAAGTCTTCCTGTAGGTCTTTAGTAATACATCAAGATCATCCAGCCTTCAGCATAAATCAGCTACCAATATCCATCAGAGAGGATTATTCACTCTTTTACCCAGCAAATCAGAGGGGCAAATTCACGCTTTACCCTGCAATCCAAGGTTCAGGAAGATGATAAAATTGTTAGTATGCAGACAAACAAATATGACCACACCAGTCGGAAGGACCACATTAACATGACATATGGTTCAAGAACACAACTGAAATTATAAGAATACAGACACATCTGAAATATACATCATCCGATGAATAAGGGGACAAATGCTTACAGAAATCTGGGTTGCCTCCCATTCAGGTATGCTTTTCGACAGAAGAGCCATATACTCCTCCATTGCCATGTCTCCGTTCATGTTCCCTAGCTTTTGCCAAGCATTCCTATGGATAAAACACCAACCACAAGAAGTGGAAAAGCACATGAATCTCCATACTTCAAAAAGCTCAATGGGGGTTCTAATGAGACACAGAAATGTGTTACTGATGGTAGATTAACAAGAAACTGAACGGGACACATAAAAAAAAAGAAAAAGAAAAAGAAAAGAAAGAAAATTACGGTAAGGAATTTCATTAAGAAAACCAGTGGACTAAATGAGTTTGGATGTGGAGATCTTTAGGATGGCGAGAGGATGCACTATGACAACCAGAACAAGAAGAATTTCTTGTTTCTCATTGCCAACTATGGACTTTGGGAAATTACGCTACAGGACAACAACACGTGGTAGAATATTCCGCCCAAATTTTCTAAAACAACACATGAAAATTTCCAAATCTAGATGTCAGAGTTAGATTTGCTTTTCAGACACCCTTTATCCATCCTAAAAATATCTGCGGTGTGCTAGTTGATTATTTATTATCTGGCAGAACTAACGAGATCAGCATTTTCTCTACATATTGGTTGAAACTTACAATTACCCAACCTACAAAGGAGCTGAAAACTAAGTACAGTGGCACAGAGAAGTTTGAAATCAGCCAACTGAACAAGACAAATCAGACAGAGAAAACCTCATGCCTTGGAAACTAGGAGTTTAACCCTTCCAAACAAATGTAAACAGACAAAGAAGATGGGCAAAGGTAGCTTCTTACCACTTTGCGCGGGCAGAAACTTTCAATGCCATTGGCTGTGGCTCGTGACAAGGCCCTTCCATAGCAACCCTCTGCAGCCCATATAATTGCAACCTCAAGTTGCCATCCACGAGATCAGCATTGCTCTTGGACTCAACAAACGCCATTGCAGCATCAAACCGCTTCTCCAACTCACTTCTCTCTATTCCCTCCCATTCACCTCCTAACAACTCCTCCTCTTCCACGTGTTGATCATTATTGTTCTTTATGTTCTCTGTTGTAATCCCCTTCGTTTCTTCACTGATTTCGCTGCCTAAATCTCCAGTAACCCTTTCATCATAATTGGTCTCCCCTAATCCAGCATCCTCCTTAAAAGCAGGTGTCAGTTGGGCTTCGGAAGTCGACTTCACCTTTTCTTCTCGGATCGGATTCTCTTCTGAATCAAAACTCGCTTGACTTTCAGCAACTGGGGTCCCCTTTTCTTCTTGAATTTCGTCCAAAATTGGTCTTTCAGAACATTCGTCGACAACTTTTGCTTCCAAATCATCACTTCCTCTGCCACCGACACAAACATCCTCTTTCTCCCCCGACAAAGCACCAGCTACAACTCCACTCTTTCCAATCCCAACCACATCATCATCTCTCTTAATTTTTGTCCCCTTCAGTTCCTTTTCACGACGATCATCGTTGGACATTGATCGGAATTCAGAGACCCCAACAGCTTCTTCAGGGATTTCCTCCCTGATTTGTTCCAAGAAACCAGTTTTACGAACAAGACCAGCATCAGATGAAGTCGAATCATATCCACCTAAATGAGAAAGCAGCTTGGGGAGAACAAAATAGACAATTAAAGTGATGAAAGCAGTGAAAACAACGTCTTGACAGAACCCAATAGCCTCCATACCTTTGTTTAAAAATGGAAATCAAAACAGATCAAATTTGGAAAATTACAATAAAAGGAAGTAAATAGTGGGAAATGGAAGTTCTGTTTAAGACATGGGAAAGAAAAGAAAGATGGATAGGATTGCGAAGAGAGGCAGAGCAGCAAAGTATATTCTACACAAAGATGGCATTTTTTTTTCCTTTCCTTGGGGTGGGGGTGGGGGTGGGGGGTGAGTATAGTGAATGACGGTCGGTCCCAGTGTCTTTTAGTAAAGCGGAGGCTTAGGTGTCTGAAAAAGACCGTCTCACTGACCCTCTGCGGTTAACACTACCCGAACATGATCATTCAATTTCATCAGAGATCGTTTTTGGAGATAAATACAGTCTGTCTGTTGACATCTGCATCCAACAATGATTACCTCAGAACAAACAATTCCACCGAACAAAATTTTTGCCTTTTCTTTTGCTGTGTTTTTTTCAGGTGATATATTTTGTTAGAAAAATTTTAGTAATAAATTCGGGGACTAACTTGTTTGGATTGCCTTTCTTCTGGGTGGGTAAAAGTATAGAAATAATTCTTCTTGATCATATTTATTACTATATATAGCTTGGAGTAGAGTAGCTAATCAAGGTTTTCTTTTAAGTGTTGAAAATGAGATAATTTGCTTCCTCTGTCGGTTTTAGAATTCGAGAGGGATTGATGATTGTAGCACGTTTTTCCCAAGATTTGCTTCTTCCACATCTTACGTGCTCACCCTGATAAGGACAATAATAAGATGATGTTAAGACAACATCATGTGGTGCTTACATTGCACATCGGCGACGAGGTTAACCACCGTAATCCATATCCTTCTAGAACGAGTAACCAACATCATCATCAATCAATACACCATATTTGCAGCCAACCTCATTTCAAAAGTTTGATAAAAGTTCAGCTTGAGGCCTCCATTTGAGCGTTAATGGCTTATAGCAACACCTCAAGCTTGTATTTATGCTTAACATGAAAGACGAACAGAAAAATCATACATTGGAAAGAGAAATTATTACTTATTTTTGTTCATTTTCGTGGCTTAAGTTGAGATTTATGTCTGGAATTGAAGGAGTCACATTACAACTGCTGTCTAATTGGGGACAAAACTGAATTATCAAACAAATTAGGGTGCACTTTCATCCAACAACAGCATAAATGGATGACATGCTACTTAATAATATGCATCTGTGCCTGTTCCCACAATAAGACTTAATCAGAGATCAGGCTACTGTGGCCGCAACCTGCTGTTCTCTGCAGCCCTTACTTGCAAGAAATATGGGTGGGCCTGAAACGAATATATGAAAGAGAACATGATGAGATTAGGGGTTCAGCAAGACAGAAAACTAGTTACTGTGAACAATAATATGTAAAGTTCAAAGGCCAAGCTCCAAGTAGAAAAAAGGTACCATTGCTTCTCTTGCTGTAAGCCTGTCTTGATGATCATATCGAAGAAGCTTATCGAGAAAATCGATAGCCTGCAAGAAATTCAGAAGATACAAGCATATCAAGAAAAGTTCCTGAAAGAGTGAGGGAGAGAGAAGGCGAGAACAATAAAAAGATCTGCTTCCGGTTCAGACCAGTTTGTTGATAATACCTCAGGTGATACAAGATGCTGATTATCGGAATTTATGAATTTTGACCACGGTTTTCTACTGTGCCTGATCAATATCACATATCAATACAAACAAACCATCAATATAACATGATCTGGATGCTAACATTAGTAAATTTCAAACAGAAACAGCAGGAGTAGAAGATTTTTTAAATTTACTTAGCAATCATCTGTTCAATTATAAACCTTGGTTTCAACAGATGCACGCAAAAGTACAAGGAGAAGAAGAGAATGGCAGCCTGTAGCCCTTGGCATTAAAGAGAACTAAATCTTTTGATGAAACCATACACAGCTTCATTGCCAAGAACAACAACACTTCTAAAACCAAAATAAACATTCCCAAAGACAAAAGTAAGGTGTTTCTCTGACCTCCCAACAAGAGCTTCCAATTGTGGATCAAGTTCCAAATGATATTTATGCAGATATGCATTTAATTCATCAGTTCCTAGCACCTGAAACAAAATCCACTCCATTAGCAGTTCAAGTTTGAAAATTACCTTATTGTCAGCAGAGATTTAAGATGGCTCTTCATTTTGTCAATATTGAGGCATATAGGAAAAATAAAACTAAAAGCTGACATCACAAAGGACTCTTTCTACATATAATGATAATAACAAATTCAGTTTGTTAGTTTCACAATATCTAGCTTAGATGCCAACCAATTAATAAAATAGTAGAGCTTATATTCCTGTTTAATAGGGGGAAAAAAAGAGACGCAATACCTTGGCAATTTTGACGAGCTGATCCTGGTTGTCATGGCCGTAGAAGAAAGGCTCCTTGCGGAAAATCTACAGCGAAAGCATACTTAGTCCAGTCACTTAAATGCAGGACTTGAATATCAAAAAGAAGAGAAAAGGCAATTAGAAATTAAATTTAAAGGTCTAGATCCACACCATGCCAGCAAACATACAACCAAGGCTCCACATATCCAACGAATAATCATAATCTTGCAGATCCACAAGAAGTTCTGGGCCCTTGAAGTATCTGAAACACAATAATAAGAATTTCAGAGCTGCAGAAAAGAGACCTCACATTTCATCAGTCTCACTTGATTGCAACAGAAAACAATGTTACAGCTATGATAAGTTCATATGACGAATGATCTACATCTACAAGCCAATCGAAGAACAAACAAGAGGGAAAAGAAGGAAGGAAACCACCATGTTGATCCTTTGAATTATAAAATAAGTAACAATGTTCTTACTCATGTCATGGCCATAAGTACAAACTATTAACGGTAAAGAATTCCCTGTAAAATAGCTCACAGGAAATTCCACTGAGAATGGTGCCAGTTTGAAATCTATTCATCAAATTCTATTACCTTGAAGCCACACGAACATTGTACTCCTTGCCAGGGTGATAAAACTCTGCAAGCCCCCAGTCAATCAACCTAAGCTTGCGCAACTCATGGTCGATCATTACGTTATGAGGCTTCACATCCCTGTGCATGATTCCTTGCGAATGACAGTAATCAAGTGCCTGCACAAGGATTCAGTGTTGATGGGATCACCATCAGGATTCATGACAAACAAACTTCATTAAAGCAAATACCCTAAAACAGTATAAGAGATGTTTTTCCCTTGCAGGAAGAAAATATGACAGCAAGATTCTATTAGACTGAAATTTACCTTTAGAAGCTCATATATGTAGTAGCGGATATCATAGTCTGTCAATGTTGGATACAAAACCTTAAAATCAGTACTGTTGACATACTCGAAGATCAAACTAGGAGTTTTTGAGTGCTGATCTCTAACAATATCCAGAAGTTTCACAATGTTGGGTCCTCCACAGAGATTCTGCAGTATCTTGATTTCTCTCTTTATCTGCAAACATGATCATCGCAGACAACAGAAATAAAAAAGTCAAGAAGTATCTTGGCATCAAGCAATTAAGTAGGCTAAGACAAAAGGCTTCCACAATAGAGCAGCAACTAAATTCCATGTTAACCCTTATGCATCAGCAAATAGCTTTCAATCAATATAGAACCTAAATCAACCAAGGGGTGCGAAATACAAGCTCTCTCACCTTTTTCTTCTTAACGGGCTTCAGGATCTTGATAACGCACCGTTCATTATTATTGACATTTATCCCCTCGAACACTTCACTGTATTTTCCTCTCCCAACTTTCCGAACCACCTCATAGTCATCTTGATCACTGAATGAAGGAAAGCATCACAATAGAAATTAAAACTCAATTAGAGAAACGTACTAGCCATGATAATCAATTTAACTTTAAAAACCACAAAAGTGTTTCAACACTAAGACTTCCAGAAACCTAAAAATAACTTCAGGGTTGCAAACCAATTAACACGAAAGCAATCCAATACAACAAGATCTCAACCCTAATTCAGAGGAAACAGACGAAAGGGATAGGGTTTAATTAACTTTTTTCTTAATAAATTAAAGGAAACACAAAGGCAGACGCTGTAGAAAACAATAAATTAGTCAATCAAATTACCCCCACTGCACAGTCAGGGATTCGTAATCCCAATAATCTCTGGGGCGAAGAACATTAATGTCAGCGTAGACTCGGGCTTTCGACATGGGAAGAGTAGAATCTGAGCTGCGGATCTCTGATGCAGAGGAATCGCCGACCTCGATCTTACAGGGAGCGTCGTCCAACGCGCCGGCGGCGGAGTTTATGGGGCAGCGGCGCAGGTTAAGGTCGGGAGACAGAGATTGAGGCGCACGGGAGGCGACGAGTGCGCACACTAGCAGAATACGGAGAAGGTGAGGTTTGAGTGCATCATGCATACATTCAGGTGGGAAAGAGTCCAACTAAGCACCGTTATCGTGACGTGAGGAAAGCAAATCCAGATAAGGGGATCGGGTCGGGTTTTCCCCCCTTTTTTCGGTACCCTCCTTTTCATCACAGTTAAAAAGCGTATTCGGTATTCGCTATCTGGATTGGGTTGGGTGGGTGGGTTTCCTTTTCTTTTCTGGATCCCACCGTTTACTGCTTTCTGAGCCTCTTGGGGCGGGGCGGGCGGGCCACACTACTACTAAAGTCACGTTTGCTTTGGTGCGGGAAAATAAAAATATCTTCCAAATTATCTAAAAGTGGTCCACGATTCCCAGTTCCACCATTTTGATTCTAGAATTTGACATTGTTTTTTTTTTTTTTTCCCCTTTAATTTTCTTTTTAACGAAGGAATTTGACATATTCAATATTCAAAAATGTTCCATAGAATTTTTTAAAATCGATAGAATCAGTAAGTCAAATATTCTTCTCAAATCTTATGAAAATAAAATACAATCCTAGGTGCCTGATTAATTAAGATTAGAAATTAAACGAATCAGAATTTTATAATCAGATGGAGGTAAGATCTGTAGCAATGTTGCACAAACTATTCTACATCAAATAAAAAAAAAATCTGTACATATTGCTTTTCTGGTCCCTCAAAATCTTTCTTCAAGTGATATTTTCTCATAAACACCACTCCGTTTTTGGAAATCAACACACACATACTAACATTGAAGCTGCATTTTTCATCTTCAGTAATGCTAACCATATTTAGGATCTTACTACTGGTTTAGGTTGGATCTGCTCGAAGTCAAAAACCTCAAACATAAGGCGTCGCACGTCCGGCTTCCCATAAACAGCATAAGAAAGCCCATGTATGGCTTGTTGAACCGAAACAGTGGCAGGGTTTCTGAGCCTTCTATTGTGTTCAAAAGCATCTTGAACTTTCTCACTGTAAATGATGAACTGATGAAGATACTTTTCTCTCAAGTACTTGCCGCAGAACTTGTTCATCAGAAGTCGTCTATGTCTCTCCTGTATCCATCTTCCTGGCGCATCCAGATGCTTCATGAGCAACCTCTCGGCCATTGCAAGATCCTGCAGAATATGGAGAAGAAGAAAAACACGTTCACTTCCATCCAGCCCACATCCTTCAATTCCCATAAAATATCTTTATTGCCAAAAGGATATGCTTGAAGATCAATAAAATGCAAGAGAAAACTTCGAAGAAATAGCATTGCTAGCACACAACCCCTCATGCAGTGGAGAGAAAAGTACCTGAATCTTTTGACCAAGATATTCTAGCCTCTCAAAGCAAAATCGTGGATGCTCGAACTTGTATTTTGATGGATGTAAGAAAGCAAGCTGCAATCAATGATAAACACACAACAAATGCTTTAGGATATGAGGATCATGGAAGTGTATCCTTCAAATAAAATACCTAAGATATGGCAATCTAGCATAAATAACTGACAAAGAGGTCCAGCTCTGAAATCCCTTCATTCACCAGAAAATTAGAAAACCAGCAAACTCATACAACATAATGGAGAAGCTTTACCTGTAGACCAAGCCCAAGTTCGATGTTCCTCGCTTCTGTGATTTCAGGAATTCTGTCAGGCACTGTCAATGGATATCCAAGTGCTTTCATGACTTGTGGTCTACTATCAAAATCCCATACATTGCCGCGAAACCGATGCATACCAGGTGGAACACAGGCCCTGAAAAGTCTTGGATGTGCAAAAAGAGCATCTTCTGGCGGCTGTATAACAGAAATGCACAATCAATTTAAAACAATCTTAAGAAACAAGCTATACTTCTGATTGAACCAGACAAATTATGGCAAGCAATGTGGCACAAGCATCAATATAACTTGAAATACGATAACTGATTTAAGACATTGACAATAGAATAGCACCTTTTCGTAACTAGTTATAAGCATTCCTATAGTGCAAAGCATTAGACCATCAAAGTGACCCATCAACCTAACTTTAGTCTTTACACACCCTTATGGCACCATAAACATTAACTGAGTGGTGGGAGTCCCTTCTGTTGATAAGGGATAAAGAACGCTTGTCTACTGATATCAAATTTGTTGAACCCCACAGAACCAAGTCAGTATAAGAACATGAATCAGATCAAAAGAGATTTATGGATAAAACTTGCCACTGGGATCTACCATTGGGTGAATGTACATTTCCACTCCGCATTGGCAATTTTTATTCAACAAAATTTTACTAGTGTAACCCAGTATTTGAGTCCATACAGTACTAATGACTTTGGAATCGGGAATGACATCTATACTTAAAATAACATTATTTGAGTACTAACAATCCCCAATCTACCTCAATGAGAACATTAACTCAAAAGATCAGGAAATTCACAGCTTTCAATTATCAAGACGAGCAAAAACATAACAATCGAATATTACCCTATAAGCAGCCATATCTTGCCAACTTAATTTTCTTCCACCAAATTCTACAGATACATAGTCCACATCTTCAAGCTGCCTCCTTTCTTTAGGCTGACAATCTTCTGCATCCGGATCCATTCCAAATACTTCAAAAAGAACACGGTAAACCTCTGGCATGCCAAAGCAAAGGTAGATAGCACCAAACAAAGCCCAAAACACAGACCTGTCCAGGCATATAACAAAACTATGTCATGACACAAGTAGTTTCAATCTGTCATGCCTCAAAGAGCACAATCTAATAACAGCCATTCAGTATTACTGTGAGGGGATAACTACATAGTCTGGTAACCATGATCCACGTGACTAAAACAGACCAAAAGACAAAGGTTCCTGAAATGTTCACTTGGTCCATTGCACCTAATGCATTTCTCAAGACAAACAGTATCGGAACCAAAATTCATGTTAACACGTCAAAGATAATAAAACAACTAGAGTATGGCCAGCTATGGATTTAAGTGTTAAAACAAGTAAATTATCTAATGTGTTCGGCATATCTAATTAAGAATCCAAATTAGCTGAACACAGTTAAATGCTAACAAAATAAGCAACATGGTTACTCACTTTACTGGTGGCTCCTTTTCCTTTCTGTTCATCTTATCCATATTATCAGCAGGAAAAACCAGATTGTGCAAGCTCGCAGCTTTGATCCACTTTGGAAGATATCTTTTCCCGATTAATGCAAACACTCTCTCCCGCATAGGGCCGGGAGATTCCCTCGGATACCTCTGCAAGAAAAACTCACAAAGTGCCAATTCAATAACATATTGTCCCAAGAACGAGAGCCTAGAATGCCCCGACCTCACGTGCTTAGTTTTAGTCCTCTCACAAACTGGGTGCTGAAATGCTAAGTACAATAAAGTGTCGAAATGCTTAGCCGGGTTATCATCTCCAAAGTTTTCCGATGGCTCGAGGGGATAACCAAGAGCTTGTTTGGCCTCAAGCAGGTACTCATCGATCCAGGTTCTATCGGCATTGTTAAGTCTTGAAGAAGGCAAGCAAGAACTCAATAGAGGGAATGACTTGAGCGATAATTGTGGGCTATTCAGGAATCTCTCGGCTAATTTTGCGTCATCTAATGGCGGTTTGAGTATGAATCTTTTGGGAGGATATTTCTTCTTTGGCGACACAACTTTTTTCCTTTCTGCAAGTTCTTTGAGAAGCCTTTGAGGACTGTTTGGTGGGAGTTGTTCTTTGGAGTCTGTGGCAACAGCTAAAATACGAGAATTCAGGTAATCGGGGAATGAAATACGGCGAGTTTTGAGGTGTAATTGGATGGGGAAAGGGGAAAATGAAGATGAAAACGAGAGGTCAGCTGTGTGGTTGTGTGGTGAGTGTAAATTTGATAGAGGTTTAATGGCTGAATGGAGCTCCATGACAGACTAAAGGTCTAACGGGAGGATTTTCCTCGAACAAAAAGTTGCAAATTATTCTGGGTTGCTTCTGAATTTGATGGTCATTGTGGGGAGGTTTTTGCAGGGTTTGAGGAGTTTTGGTGAAAACTGGAGGAGATAAGGTGACTATTTTGGCTTCCTTCAGAAATCTTGAGTCTGTTGTTGATGACGAAACAGATATTTTAGCACTGGAGCTCTTCAGTCTTCATATGTAGGTACATTAGGCCCAACATAAGAAATTGTTTTCAGCCCAATTTAAGGCATAATGGATCCAGTTCAACCAATTTCCCCCACTATCGTGTCTCTCCTTTTCGCCTCTTTCTTTTTTTCGTTCATTTTTCCAGAGAGAGGTAATTGTAATTCCAATCGGCCATTAATTGGTTCAAATCATCAATGAAACTCCCCAGTCCCACCAGTTTTTCTTTTTTTTTTTTTTCCAAGAAAAAAAAGAGAAAAGAACTTTATTAGAATACCGAAATTTAATCTAATTTTAGAACTCAAGACTTGATGAACTAAACTCAGGGCCAGTGCTATGATGAGGACGGGTTCTTCTTTTGGTTCATAGAAATGTCTGATTTTGTCTCGAATTCAGTGTACATGTTATTGATTAATGAAGTTTAATTTGTCGTATATGAGTTAGTGTATTACTTATCCACATTACTTTTTCCCTTGAAATAATAATTACATACATGTAAAATACACCTTATCACACGATGATAGTTAGACGATGGGTTTAAGACGAAGGGTACAGCAATTCAAGAGTTTTCTCCCTTCTCTTTAATTATGATTTTCTTGCATCGTTGTTGGCTGCACAAGGGCCGGGCGGCGTACATTGGTTCGAAGCTCTTTCACAAGAAGTGCATATAGGCTTTAACATGATTTAATCGGTATTTCTTATTCTCGAAAAATTATTATTTAATTGTAAGGTAAAAGCCTTCTTTATTATACCACAAAAAAAAAAATAGTTCACTGGGGGATTTTTCTTTTTTTCTACAAATACTTTCACACCTTGTGATCCTTTTGTGATATATTAGTTGTTAACAATTTCATCGAAATTATAGAAACTTCGTCGGTCTCTATCTAGTGCTGAATATCTTAATAGGAATTTTGCACCCGATCTTGTCACCCTGAACTTGCCTAGGATGGTTTAGTTATTACTGTGGTTTATAAGTTATTGTAATGGACTGGGTTTACTCATTTCTGGTGGGGATCCCGGCGTCACTGAAAAAAAATGCATATGTTTGTTTAGGCAGGAAAGAAAGGGCACGATAATTTCTTACCTTATAATGGAGAAATGCAAAGAAACAGGCAAGAAAGCAAGGGCCCAAAACTTTTGGTGGACTAGAGCTGCTTACCTGTACTGGCTACTGAGTAGAATGAAGGGTGGAAATGGATCAGTGAAACTTGTTGAATTAACCCTGAAAAAAACACTGCCAGGGAGGGAGGTCTATGCTTCTAGCCTGTTTTAATGTAATGTTTCAATTAAGTGTTTTTTGTGGAGCCACCAAAAATAATATAATATGAATATATTGTACTGGACTGATCAGTCTCAGAATCAAATCTAATCAATAATTTCATGTGTTTTATGATCAGTCAACATTGAGCTACAATAGAGGTTTAACCGACGGAAAAGAAATCAGGGATGAGAGTAGCATGCAGCAGGATGATCTGATGTTAAACAACTGGTGTAGCAGGGATGGATGATTAGGTTGGGAGCTGTTCACCATTCATTCTGGAAACAGGAGGAGGTCATTCACTACTTTCAGCTACACTGTCAATTCCCCATAACTTGATAACAACTTTTCATGTGATTTCACATCTTTCATTTGCTTGAGCATTAAATTGGGTTGGTTCTCATGTTCATGGTCAAATCTATTTCAAGATACAGTATTAACCTGCAGTCTGCAGGCTTAATTACTCAAAATGTTTTGTCGGACTTTGATCCTGACATGTAAGCTACAGTTTATACACTTGGTGCTCATGGATACTTTAGTAATATTAAAAAAAATCAGCTCTCATTTACACAATTGTTCATTTTTCCTACGAGATAATCATTTTGAGACGAAAGGAATAGTATTTAGTAAAATTGTCATAATTGTGCCTAACTTCAACCCCATCGACCCACCCCCGTACTCCCCAAGTCCACAAAAAAAAAAAAAAATCCTATAGGCCAAAGTTTCTAGCTATTTCTATATTTTACCCCCACCAATTTCCAAATTAGACATAATGCTAACCTCAGGTTGGGGTCTACTTCAGGAAAGCCCACTTATTTGCGAGCATGTAAGGCCAGGTGATAAGTAACAGTACCACTAAAGCAAGCAAAATGAAAGTTGATTACTCTCAGTATTGAGGATTCACTAATACTTGTAGGAGTGAAGAAAAAGATTTGTTAAAATGTCAGTGTCTTAGCGCCTACTATAGAAGTATGATTAGCATGCGTAAGTATTGCATGAGATTTGTGCAGTTGATTTACGAAGACACCATCTTCCTAACTAGTAGCAGCTTTCCATGGGGGATTCTGAGTTTAAGGGGACTGAAAAACCCACAACGTATGACATCTCTGTGAAGAAGAAAGAGCTGCTCTCAACTGCCATGATGAGGACTAGCGAATGGTTACCCCTTCCTTTTTATTTTTCTGAAATTGTCACAAACTAATGTGTTAGTATTATTTCAGGAAGGGTTACTGATCGAAGTTGTCATATGAATGGTTGGTAGGATCTATAATCTGGAGATTCCAAGTGATATCATTGTTCACGCTGGAGGAACTCCCGTCTCTCTTCACAAGGTAACTTGCAATCTACCTGAATCATGTAACATTTCTCTACAACGTTGGAAGTTGAATTTTATTATGTTGCCATTGTCGTACTTAGTTTTTTCCATTTGATTAGAACCTTTCAGGGCAAATTAATACTTGTTATAATGATATCAATGAAAGTATTCATATACATCTCGTACAGTTTCCACTGGTCTCAAAGTGTGGATACATAAGGAAAATGGTGACCAAAACCAATGGTGCTGATGTTTCTGTTGTTGAAATTCCGGATATTCCTGGTGGAGCAGAGGCTTTTGAACTTTGTGCAAAATTTTGCTATGGTATAAATTTTGAGATAAGTACAGAAAACGTAGCCATGCTTAGATGTGCTGCAGAATACCTTGAGATGACAGAGGATTATGGAATTGGCAACTTAATGAGCAGAACTGAGGCTTTTCTAACCGAAGTAGGACTCAAAAGCCTTGCGAGTGCAGTGTCCATTTTGCATTCTGCGGAAAATTTTCTTGCTATAGCAGAGGAAATAAAACTGGTTAGTCAATGCATCGATACAATTGCTCGTTTTGCCTGCAAAGATAACCAGTTTTCGGCGTGTCATGACAGCTCGTCAATGACAGATCCTAAAGCCATTGTTGATTGGTGGGCTGAGGATTTAACTGTTCTTAGAATAGATATTTTCCAGCGGGTGCTTGTTGCTATGGTGGATAGGGGATTCAAACAAATTTCCCTTGGTCCAATACTAATGATATATGTGCAGAAGTCTCTTCGAGGTTTGGTGAGATCTCAACTCTCAACACGTAATAAGCTTAGAAAATACAATACTGATTGATCATTATTAATTAGACCAAAATGTGAACTTCTAATTTTCTCCAGGAAATTTTTGGGAAGGGGAGGAAGAAAATGGAACCAAGACAAGAACAGGAGAGGCGGGTTGTTATAGAAACAATTGTTAGCCTTTTACCAAGAGAGAATAACTCAGTGTCAGTTAGCTTTCTGTCAATGCTGCTAAGAGCTTCCATTTGTCTGAACGCAACAGTTGCTTGCAGGATTGACCTGGAGAAAAGGATTGGTTTGCAACTAGAAGAAGCTGTGTTAGATGATCTTTTGATTCCTTCATATTTTTTCACTGGAGACACACTGTTTGATGTCGAGACTGTCCAGCGGATACTTGTGAACTATCTCGATTATCAAATGGTGGAGAAACGATTGGGAGGGCGTAATGAAGATCAATCTACTTCTTGTGAAACGGAAAGAGTTGGGAAGCTAATGGAGAATTACCTTTCTGAAATAGCTTCTGATCGGAACTTGCCTGTTTCTAAGTTCATTGGTCTTGCCGAACTTGTCCCTGAACATTCAAGGATCTCAGAGGATGGAATGTACAGGGCAATTGACATTTTCCTAAAGGTGTGTACTCTTCATTTTTTACATGTCTTAAGATATTGCTTGCTTAATGCTGCTGAATTATCATTAGTTTCATGCAATTCATCTGTTTCACATTCTACATTTCGGGCATCTTGTAGGCTCATCCTCACTTAAGTGAGATGGACAGAAAGAAAGTATGCAGTGTAATGGACTGTCAGAAGCTATCCAGGGAAGCCTGCGCTCATGCAGCTCAGAATGACAGACTACCTGTTCAAATAGTTGTCCAGGTACTTTACTACGAGCAACAACGCCTTCGGGAAGCCGTGGACGGGAGCCTCAGGGAAGGCAAATCTCCTCCAGGTATTGCCCTCAGCGTGAACCCCTACTCGAATCCCCCAGAAATCTCCAGCTTGCGGAAAGAAAATCAGGACCTGAAACTGGAGTTACTAAAACTGAAGACAAAGCTGCGAGAAATTGAAAGGTCATCAGATGAATCCACCAATAACAACAGTCCATTGGAAATCACTGTTCCTAATGCTGAGAAACCAACTCTGCTTAGAAAATCGTTTATCACTTCTGTGTCTAAAAAGCTTGGTAAAATCAACTTTTTTATTCGTGCTGATGGCAATGTGCCGAATGGAAAAGGTCGCACCAGACCCTCCAAGGACAGGCGCCATTCAATATCATAATACACTGCTTAATTTGTCCCTTTGGATTTTTTCAAATGTGATGAAGTGTATATGAGACTATAAATAGTAGATTGATATAAAGCTTGAAAGGAGTACTAATAATATTATGTATACTTCAATGAAGACTAGTGAAGACGTTGATTTTCCTGTGTACAATGTATATGATATCAACTGCTTTTCATGTATTATTAAGGAATGCATTAGCAGCTAAGATTACAGTCAGTCGCCAATAAGTCAAACAGTTACATTTGTGCTGCGGAGGTCTAATTTAGCTGGCGGTCAAATGAAACCGAAAGAGAAGCTATACCGAACTTCAGCAAAGTGGATTGACTACGGGTGGAGAAGACTATCTAATTAACTAATATTAGTCGTCAAGTGAACAAGTGAGGGACAAATTCTAGGACATCAGATGGATGCTTCTTACAATTATTTAAAATTGGACTTGACAGCACAGAATCTGCCAACAAAGTGAAAGACTTTCCAAGGCAGTGATTTCCAAATTTTAGCTTCTGATTGCTGCAATCAGTAAAGCCTTTTAGTTTAAGTGATAATATATTCTTATGGATGCAAAAAAGAAAAGGATTGAGGGAAAAAGGGGGGAAAGAAGAAGAAGAAGAAGAAAGCACATTGGATGGCTGGATAGGCTTACGAGTATTGACATAATGTGCTAATGTGAGGCAAATTATTGAAGAATATCAAATAGCTGTTTTAAATCTTTACTTTAAGGGAATGATCTCATTAAGGGGAATGAATTTAGTCTAAATTGTCCAATCCATTATTGCCAGGAACCCTTATTTATTCAGGGGAAGGAATCTAAATGTTCATTTGGTGGCAGACAAATGCTTTGGATATAATTTGACATGTGGTAGTTGGAGAACCAAAGGTCATAAAAAATAGAACAGAAATCGCAAAGTTCTGAATCGCAAATCTGTATTCAGAAACATTTCTTTTGGTACAAAGTTGAGAGGGTTCGTTTAGATCAGATTCCCCCTCATCTCTTCTTTTAGAAGTAGTATTTTGTTTTGCAAAAATCAGTATCCCACTTTACACTGAAAGCTGAAATATGTGATCCAAAATCAGTCTATTCTTTTCGGATGCTGTACTGTACTTATTAACTGCAGTTCACGGACCCCAAACCAAAATAGCGCAACAAACTGTATAGATCCCTTTTGCCTATCAAGAATGATCAACTTTTTGTTAAGGGGAAAAAAAAATCACATGGAAAATGGGATTAAACAGAAATAGACTCAAACACAGTTTGGATTTAGGGACATTATTTAAGAAGGTTTCGAAACCTCAAATGGGGATGAAAAGTTACTTTCTATAGCTTTAAAATTGGTTCTGATAAAACGTTTAAGTACAAAGATGAAAAAAGCCCAATTGGTCCCCCACCACAAGCATTTTAATTAGTGTCATATCAGAACACTGCTCAAACATCTGATCCATCAAGTTACATGTACATAGATTGGTTTCCAACGTGGGACTATTTCTGGACTGATTTGTATAAGATTCCCTCTAGATTTTTTATTTTTTATTTTTATTTTTTTTTTCCTTTGTGGGGAGAACTTCATAGAAACGTCCAGTCTGTCAAACCAATCAAATTAAGCATAGCTTGCATCACTTCAGTTATATCTTCTGTTTTGAGGTATGGACTCAGGATAACAAATTAGCTTGACCTGGAAGTATACAAAATGCGGTTAGTACTGCTAAAGAAAATAAAAGGGCTAAAGAAAAATCTACAAAACGGGCAGGACCTATAGTAATCACCATTACAGATTAAAAAAAACTGAGTTGGGAATTCACTAAACTATCGCATAATTAGCCGACCACTTAGGAGCAGTCTTGTAAAAATCTTGATCTCTCTACATGGATTTTTTTTTTTTTCCTTTTTCTTCTCAAGTGGTGTTTAGACTTAAAGCTTGGAATAGCCAAGGAGGATTGGTATGTCTATCCTGTCTGAACTTCATATCCTCAATGCTAGCACCATTTCTTCTGGAACTTGATGGATGATGATGATGATGATTTAATCCCCATTGCCATCCAATTAATTCTTCTTTACTTGAATTCCTCGTACTCAGAAATGTTGCTGGCTCCGGCCTCTTCATATGGCTAGATTCAGTGGAAGATGAATTAGAAAGAGTTGCAGCAGAATCCGTGTTAGTCCTCCTCGTACTTTTACTACTAGATGGGCCGAGGCCTAATGTAAGCTCCAGCTCCTCCGTCTCCTCCTCCTCAATAGTATTATTTTGGACTGTACCATTAAAAATGCCTTCTTCTAACCCGACTGGACGATGCAACGATTGGACCGGAAGTCCCAAATCAAGAAACTTCCTCGGCCGACTTTCTCGGGTATCTTGGTTATGATTAACTGTCTGAATGAATTGATTAGGTGAAATATTGAAGTTCCTAATGTCTGAAGAATCCTGCCCGTGTTTTCTGATGTTTGCGATGTTGTTCATTAGTATCTTCTGAACTTGATATAGACGGTGAAGTTCATACACCTGAAAACGCAACCAATAATAAAATGAATAAATTTTACGAGTGGAATTATATATTGAGAAGAAGCTATCCCTGAATATAGTAGAGATATATACTAAAACTCACCTGTTCTCTAAATGTTTCCTCGTGTTTTAGCATAGCCATTCTCATGGACTCCTTGTCGTACGGGTTAAAAAGATTTTCCATTATTGTTGAAAGATCAAACGACTTTCTCTTGGAAGTGAAAACAGATCCAAGATCCCTTTTTTTTTTGCTTGAACTGATATGGATCAGTACTGTCAGTTACAACACATGTTTTTTTCTTTTCCCCCTTTATTGCTGTTGTGCCCCTGAAAATGCAGAAAGTGACAACGATGAGTTCAGAAAAGAAGTTGTGGAACGATTAAAGAGAGAAGCTTTAGGGCATTCAAACAGGTTTGAAGCAGCATATATATATATATGGAGTATGTAAATATGATTGTTGGAATCTAACTCTGATGATCACTATACACCGTTATCCTAACATGGGTGATAATTGTACGAACCTAGATGTCTCCTAACATGGCGCAGTTATCATTTTCATCCAGGAAAAAAGTGGCTTAAAGCAACACTGTTCAAGGACATTTATCCAAAGTAAGCTGTTCTCTTCCATTTTGACGTAGAAACTTTTCGAAACTCCTCCTTTTTCATTCATTCCCTTCCTACTCAAGTATTAAAATCCAACAATTCTCATATACCAAAGTACTTAGAGTCACATGCAAACTGCTTCCGTCTCATGTAATAATGGGCTAAAATTCTATGTATGTTTGTGCAGCTGTTACCTAACCTAGTCCCCTCTGCAGCGCCTTCCTATCATGACTTTACGCTATTTGAGAAGAAAATTGTTGCACAAGATTTCTGATGGGATCAAAGCATATGACAAGTAGTTGTTTTGCTGAAGAAGTTTGCAGGGGGGGCTCTTATATGCAGCATGATGATATCTTTATGAAATGAAGAAATCATATTATTAGCGTCATCATTTTAGCAAGAAAATAAAGCTGCTTATTAAAAAACACCATCAATCATGAAAATATCCTGAAACAAAAAAGAGATATCAATCAGTGATGGCTACTTGATATATAATTCTTACCTTAAAACTTCTGAAGAATAATTGAAGGAGAGAAGACGATCAAATTAAATCCGGTGATGATGAGGGAAAATTGGTAAGGAGATAAAGATGATCAACAAAAAGAAAAGCAAGTTGAAGAAGGAGAAGAAATGACAAGCAGCAGCAATTGTTGACAACTGAGGAGGAAGGGTTCGGAGAGAGTGCTTCAGATAAAATTTTTTAGCTTTGTCTGATGGAGCAACATCTTCCATGTCGCATTACTTTAAAGGGGTATATACTACGTACTACTGTAGAGCTAGACCGATATAATAAAATATCATTTGTGGAAGAATTTAAGATTCTCTTTTTACACATATACACACACACACACACAGAGAAATCAAAGCACTGTTTTTTGGTGTTTGTTTGGGGCTTGGGGTTTTTTGTTTTTGATTTGAGGCATGCCAAACAAATCCCAGTGCCATCAGCCAATGTGATTCCATTTTTGTGAAAGAGATGCCCCCCCCAGACAAGTCCAGCACTGCTAGCCAATATTAAAAATCCACACAATAATTAAATTAATACGCTTCGATCCCATGTATCTTGTATCTCTTGTTACATGGATCACTAGCTACTTCCAGACAATCATGAAAAATCACAGCTTAGCATTTGCCAAAGGACCATCACATGCTTCCTTTGAATTGTTTTATACTCATCATAGGTGTCGAATGAATGCGTCGTCTATTTATTCATTCTGTAATAATAGTCCACTTTATATTCTTATTTTTAATGTAAATTGTATCAAAAATAAAAATTTAAATGAGACAATTATTTGTAAACTGAAGAAGTACTAAACTCACATGAAGATAGAGGTTCAACCATCTATAAATTCAATAAGTCTAAAGAATTTAAAGTTAGATAATTACCAAGATTGGTGTGTTTAGAATTATTTCCGTTAAGATTTATTCGATAAACCCATGAATGTGTGTTATTACTGATATACAGCCTACAATATGGCAGAATTAAATTCATAACCTAAGAACTCACCTTAACTATATCATATGTGGTGGACTAAATTTCGGTCCCAAAAAATACAGTGAAGCAATCACGGTGACTTGGTCCCACCGACAGATATATTTATAGATCTTAGCCGTACATTGATGGGGTACTTTCTTGGAAGAGTCCAAAAGATCTCAAAATTACAGAGTGATGAGATACTGTTATGAGGATAAACATGATTTGAATTTTATTATGTACAATAATTTTGTCAGGAGGGAATATAATTTGAGGAAGCAGAGCCAACCCTTTTGGAAGATTCATGATTTGAGGGAGTAGCATGGGTCATTTAAGAGGGCATGTGAATGATGAAATTCTTTTTTATTAAAATAGGAAATTAAATTAATTTCTTCAAGTAGTAATCAGCCTAATCGGCCCTTAAGGATGAAATTTAAAAATAATGCCAAAATAATTGGGATGTTAATCGAAGTTATGACACCATGTGCATTGGTTTGTATTTAAATTCAATCGGATCGTAGATCTTCGGGGTGGTTTTAGGTACAAAGAGTTGGATTGGTTTGTCTTGATTATGTTGCTGTTTTTTGTTGGTATCAAGAATACAGATCAGATTAGGAATTTATTCAATTCAAGATCCTAAATTATGGCAGGGATAAATTATACAGTATTCACGTTTGAAAAAGTTTTCCTTGCCGTATACCCTGATCCAACTAGAGTATATTAAACAAATAGATTTCTCCCGGATCCAGTATTTTGATTTGTTATAAATTTTATTTATTGTATTTTTTATCAAATTGAAAATGAAACTTTAAATATATATATATTCATATATATTGTATTTTTTAATAATTATGAAGTATTTTTAAGATATTATTTTTAATTAAAAAATAATAAATTAAATTTAGAATAAATTAAAATAAGGAAAGAAAGGAGTAACAATAATCTTAACTGTTTCTGGTGTGACAATTGAACCAAAAAACTGTTATTATGGTATGTTTTCAATTAACCGAAAAATAAAATGATTGTGCGTATTTTCAAAGATAGCATGAGATTTGAACACTTTTTTTTTTACGTAGTTTTTAAATTTCTTTTAAAGGGCAAATGAAGAATATTGAGAACCTAGGGGCGGTATAGGAAGAGAGAGGAGGAGGTGGGCCGGAAGACGACAGTTCAGCACGCGTTGCCGGTCCAAGGAGGTGCATCAATGTGGGTAGTGGGACCTCAATTTTTGGATTGCGAAAAGGCTGTGCCCTGGGCTTATTACTGTTTCTTGGTCCCGTCTTTTATCTGTATTATTAGTTCCCCCAAAGAAAGCGATAAAATCACCAAAGGAAAATAAATTAACATATAATGGCATCATTACTTGAAATTGGCATATGTGAAATGGGCATATAATTGGAAATAAACTTTATTCTTTGTTTCTATTTGCCTACTTGCACATTATCATTTTTGTTTGTTTGTATTGGGTGAAAGAATCAAGTTTTTCATCTTTTGAATATAAGACAGCAGCTCAAATTCAATAGCTTTCATTCTGAGTCTGTCAATATTATTGACAAAAAGAAAAAGAAATAAAATAAACTAAGCTGCGTTTTTCTCTCGCATTTTATGATGTCCTTTGCCAATAATTGGAGATTCTTGCAGTACGTTGAAAATGGGAAAAAAAAAAAGAAAATAATAATTTTATAAACTAGGTTCTTATTTGGAAAGAACATACTTTTATAAATTGCATTCATGTATATCTCGTTTCCTCTTTTTTTTTGGATTAAGGGGTGGCAAAAGCCTAAGAACGGGCGACTACAAAACGGGAGTGTACGATTCCTATTACATCATGGAGCAACTATTAACTAATTCCACTCGGAGGTTTATTATATTCAACATAACTCCATTGAGTTGAATCCGGCAATGATACTAGTTTATCTGCTACATAATTAGCTTCCCTGTGCTTATGTTCCAGGCGCACTGTTCATTCCTGAGCCATTAGTTCTCGTTTCCTATTCTTTTACGTATCAAATATTTCATATGTTCGTTAACCCAAAAGGAACAAAAAATATACTCTCTATCTCAAAATTATTGTCTAATTTGAAATTTCACTTTTAATACAATTTGAACTAGAAATGAAAACTCAAACTAGACAATAATCATGAAACGGAAGAAGTATGTTCTAAAATTATCTTCTTATTTATTGTACTATGAAAAAAAAAGTGTAATAAAATGAATAAAATTATGGGGAAAAAAAAAGAAAAAAATATACCCCCGTGGGAAGTATGAATCATGAGTTTTGAGTAGCATTGGTCAATTTCTTTTTGGCACCATTTGCAAAATAGGCATCTTATGCTTATCCCTTCCTTTTAGTTCCTACTTCTACTCCTCCTTTTTTCCCCCTCCCCTTAAAGCATATTTAATGGAGTACTTATCTGTTCGTAATCTTAAGTAGTACACTTCTTAATAGACTAGGTACCAGATCGAGGCGTATTGGTATTACTTTCTTTTCTATAGACTTTACCCCACATGTAATAGGTTAGGTACTTATAATTGTATATATATATATATATATATATATAAATAAAGTAGTACACTCCTACTAATTTCACAAGTAAAACTAGTGGAGAATACCTCAATCAAGAGTGGGCAAAGCAAAGTATGATGATAGATGAGTCACCCATCTCCGTCTGCACTAATTTTGAGTTTTGCAACTAAAATATTGCTTGATCCATTGGATCAGGAGATAAGCACACACATTAAAAGAATAACCAATTAATGCTAATAATACAAATAGGTGTGCGTAAAGTCACGACTTACAAGTTACAAGTTGCTTTCGTGTTCAAATCCAACAACCCGTCTATGTTTCTGTGACCCAATTATTCCTTGAAAACTAACTAATGACAGGGACTAACCACTTACTACTACTGTTCCTTAATCAATCTTAACCAAAAAAAAAAGTGATTAAATCCAAGGATCGATAATGACTTTAATGATGGTACTTGGTGGAATCTCGAATCTTGTCTCAAGTAGTAGTACTAGCAGAAATTGGGATAGAAGTAATCAAATTAGATTAATGTCAGAATTTTTTTTTGTCTTAACGAGAAAAAATTTTAAAAGAAAGAGAGTGCTTCTGAATTTGTAGGGGGAGAGTAGGGAAAGGCATGACTGAGTGGTTGTGTTTCCGATACAAAAGCAGTGTTTTGATTTTGATGCAAATAAATAAGAAAGGATTACGAGAGAGAAAGAGAGTCAAAATTAATGCAGTTTTCAGGCAGCAAAAATATGTTATCCCCCGCGTCCTACTCGCGGCACTTATATCAGTATTGTCTGAGTTGAATTCCGGGACCTTTTCAGATAGGACTATGTTGGTGGTCGCTTCAGACACCTACATTCTTCCCCCGTGCCATGGATTTACTACAAACTCAGGCATGTCTTCTGTACTGTAAATTCATAGTATATTAAACCCCCCAATCATCAATCATCCCACTTCCATCCAACAACTCCTCAACCCCTTCACTCTCTCTTGAGCCTCCAACATATTCCAAACCAACCACAATTCCTGTATTTGTGAAAAAATAAAATAATTCTATAATTTTAAATTCGTTTTGTTTCATTTCATTGCTTTAGATGCGTTAGAAAACCTACGCATCGAATTCAACATTATGAATTAGTGCTTTTAACTTCTTAATTCTCGGTAAGTTAGTGTTGTTAGTTGTTTAGCTCATCAAACTTACTTTTACCATTTCAAAATATTGGTTGTTTTAGTTTTGAAAAAATATTTCAAAATACAGACCATTTTAAATGTTCAAGACAAATTAATTATATTTTATAATTTTATCCTCGATAAATGATGTCAACTCCTTATAGTTTACTTTTATTTATAATTCTAATACATTTAATGGAGTATAAGAGAGATTAATTTGACGTGTAAACTAAGTATTGAATTGATATTTTTTGATTTTATGTGCAAAATCTAAAATGACTTATATTTTAAAATGTATACAAATGGAGTACAATTTCTTTATGATTATTTGTTAAAACTATAGATATATTATACGTGTGACTGACTTTCTTTTAGTTCAAACCAAGGTTCGATGTCCAATTAATGTACGTTTCAATAATATATGTAAAACCGATCGAACTTTAAAAATCGCCACCCGTGTTAGCCAGCCTCTACGTACGTGATCGTTTGGGGTGAAAATGCTCACATCTTCTTTGTTTTCTCAATTGTTATTCTATCACTCAACAGGATCTTTGTCTTTTCTCAATCTTGTTCTATTACTGGGAGGGAAGAAGTTTTTAAAGGAACCAGACCATGAACTCCTTCCTTACAATCGAGAGATTTACGTTATGCGTGTAAAATACCATTGGTGCTGCTGATAAGCCTGGACTTTAGTAGTACTAAGAACTATCAAAACTAACGAGTTGTATTGTTAAAACAGTGTTCGCAAATTTTGTCGACACTGACATATTGTTGTTCGTTCGATTGACATCTTAACAAACAAACTTCGGATGCTACAACCTAGTAGCTACCATTCCATTACGTGGATTTAACCGTGTAAATAAATTTGAAGAAACACATTAACTATTAATTGTACAATGTTGAGTAGTATTAATAGAAAAAGTCATTACATTGGTTAACCAAAACCAAAATCTCTTTTCCTTTTCTGGTATACTACGCGGCCTATATCGAATCCCGCCGATGTATCACTTTCAGCAAATAAAACTCTTCTAACAAGTTTTGTAATCATGGTTGATGATTCCATACCAATGCTAACGAAAAATCATTGGTAATCAACACATGCTCCATCCTCTTAATAACTACGCGGAGTGGACTTGGGAGCTATCACAAATCATAAAGACATTGATTGAATCATAGTAATCCATACAAGGAATCTGAAATTTTCTACAAGCCCATGTTCTTAGTTCACACCAAAACTCGAAAAGAAGTTAGAGGATAGAGACAAGCGTGTGGACCAAACAAAGACAACATATCACCCAAAAATGTCTGGCCCAAGACTGAGAGAGTTTGTATGTAATAATATTTGGACATGTGACAGACTCGAAGACGGGTCTTTGAATTTGTAGACGTGTGTACTAGTGCCGTCCAGCTATGATGCCATTTAGCCTGGCGGGTTGGATGCAAAATTTTCGTTATTTTAGAATTATCCAAAATATATGTTTTAATTACGATTTCTAATTAAGATTTTAGGCTACTTACTGGATTGAGTAAGATGAAACCCAGGATAAATTAACTGATTGGATTTTATTCTATTTTTTTTAACGTCATTGGAATTATTTATTGATAAGATGAACCATTAGAGTTTACTTACGAACTTTATTTGTTGAGGTGGGTGATCCTTCGTGTGTTTTTTAGTACTACTAGTACTATCTTCGTATGGCGGCAATTTTAAACAGATCATGCGCAGGGAAACTGTATATTTATAGTCAAACTTTCTTAATTAACTATAATTAATCGTCTCAGTATCCATTGTTTGAATGATGGCTTTAATAGAAATTTAATAAAAAAAAAAGGGCAGTTGAAGTTTTGGTTAAGCATTTTAAAATCTGCCATACTCATCATTGAAAAGTCAAATGAAAAGACGAAAATAATAATACAAGGATACTTCTTACTGAATATATTGAGCTACTAATTGAGGATTTAATTAATTTTCAGTCTTTGGACGTTATCAAGCAATCCTATCAAAGTGAGTAGTAGTAATATGAGACAAAGACCACCAGGTCAATAATTATAGTATGCTAATGCAGCCAATTAGTAGAAAAATGTTAGCTCTATTAATTAATGAGAGATATACTACTTCAGAAGTACTATTATTAGCTTCTACAAAAATAAAAAGAAAGTGACCAGTATAACAATCAATTTAGATAGCGTGCATGCGTTAATGACATCGCCGATCCTCTTCACCAACTCTGATGATGTGCTATTTTGAAATTGAGTATTAGGAGGTATTTTATTTCCAAAGAGATCAGCAAACACCTTCATTGCATGCGTACTACTCCACTCGTTTCTTAAAAATATAAATCGCTTTAAAAGGTGAGAACATTTCAAAATATAAATCGCTTAAAATTTGGAGACAATATTAATGATTTGATTTCTAATTTTACCCATATTATTTATGCAAACCCCTTTTAATTAATATTTTTTGTACCTCCCAAATTCCAATACACTTCATATAAGAGATTAAGAAAAGTATTTATCAGACAAAAGTAATTACTAAATAATTTTTTGTTAATAAGTAGTGTTTAGTGACTTTTGATTGCAAGTATGGACTCTAATGTCTACCGAAAGGAAAAATAAATAAATTATAAACCTAGTTAATGGTTTAACTATAACTTTACCTAACATGACTTTCATTTTAAGATATATATGTATATATATATATATGTATACTGTGTTTTTATTAAGTCATAAATAAAAGGTAGATACTAGATAGAGGCGGCTTCATGTTACATGATGTTGACAATAACAAATTTCATCGTGTGTTTTTGCTTAACAAAGTGATTCTAGTAAAGCTTCATATGTATAAGGTTCTGTTTAAGCAGGTTTAAGTTTTCCTTTTTAATGTTATCCTCCTCGCTAGCTAGCTTACTGTTCCTTATACACATATGTACAAAACTCTAATAGACTGCTAATTCATGATGAAGGAAACGCTAGCTGTAACCAAATTACGTACATTCAAAGAAAGCAACATGGAAGAATAATGTGCCATCTCTTACTATTAATTGATGGTTAATACTGCCAAGTTCTCCATGGAAGAATACTAATGCTTAATACTGCCAAGTCGTACGTTATTTTCACCTTTCACGAACCATTATCCATAGCAAGAAGAACAACTGAACAAGGAATATATGAAGTGCATTTTTCTACGTGGCACCAAATATTCCCCCAAGGAATTAGTATTTTATTCCAAAGATCACAACAACGAACTATATTATTAAAGTACAAACTTCTTTTCCACTTTCTCTTTTCTGACTACAATAGTTAGCTAGCAACATTAATTTATTAAACTAATCAATAGGTTTAGTACATACATGCCACATTAGCTGAGATTGATGATAAAAAGCTTAGATTAGTTCGATGTTATTAAATAGTTTATTAGCCTCGCTCAACAGAGGTTACGTACGTACAGACCAGTTGGGAATGCAGTCATTAGAAACCCCTATATATTGAGAGGTTAAATTTTGGTTTTTAATCTTTTTGCATGACGATATGGTCGGTAGCTAATGTAATATAGTTACTTATAGGCTTTGCTTCACACACACACACACACATATATATATGTATATGAATGAATGGAAGAAAAGAGGGAAAAAAAATAATGGTCAACTTGTTATGCAGTTGGGTTTTAATTGTTGCATATAACAGATGTTTTAGATAGTTCGTGCAACTGTTATCCGAACTAATGCAGTACTCTATATAATATTTACTAGTACTACTTTATTTTCAAAATAATTATTTTAATACAATTTATACTAAAAATGAAAATCACGTGTAATTAAGGATGAAATTATGTTCAACATTTCGGTTGTCATCTGGCGTGCTGTAAAACTGTAGAAGTAATTAAACAAAGACCACGTTTTCGTCACCAGGGAATATGGGACTCCAAACCAATGAACCACGTTACTAGTAGTTAGAAACTGTGGCAAATTGTGTTTGTTCGAATTTTTTGGACACCCCAGCTAGCTTGCAGAAACTGTGACATGCTGGAAACATAAAGTAAATCAGTATCTCAGAGTTAAGTTGAAAAATCCACAAGAGTTGGCCATGAGCAGAGTAGTTGTGAGAATACTACGTAGAAGGAAAAATCCAAACAATGGCGGCCAGAGACCCACGACCTTAGGCCTTAGCCACCCCCCGTCTCTTCTGGTTAAATATTGTCGCTTTCCATTTCGCAATCTTTACTTTAATAATTATGAACTTTCTACCCTCTAACTTTATATTCTTCGCCAACTGGCATGCGCCAACTTCTTACCTTTGGCCTCTATATATTTACCCTCTACGACAACGAACCCTTTGTAGCTTTTGCATTGTCCATTTTCACCAACCCAAAAATCACCAAGGCATCTCAGCTTTATTGATCTCAGGATATTTGGTGATGATGGGTCGATTCAGTATCTTTGTTATTGGGTTGTCAATTTGTCTTAGCATTTGTTTCTTCCCTGAAGCAGAAGCTCAGCTCCGACAAAATTTCTATGCAAATGTGTGTCCCAACGTTGAAAGCATTGTTAGAACAGCGGTTACCCGAAAATTCCAACAAACATTTGTCACGGTACCCGGTACCATCCGTCTATTTTTCCACGATTGTTTCGTCGATGTAAGTTCTCAATAACTAATTTATTGATTTCTTCCGTAAACATAGTTTATTTGGATATCATGAGTTTGACTGATTCCCTTTAATATTAATACTTTCTCTAGGGATGTGATGCTTCGGTAATAATAGCATCCACTCCGAACAACAAGGCAGAAAAAGATCACCCTGACAACCTGTCACTCGCCGGAGATGGATTCGACACCGTCATCAAAGCCAAGGCTGCGGTGGATGCCACCCCGGGTTGCACAAATAAGGTCTCATGCGCTGACATTCTCGTCATGGCTACTCGAGACGTTATTGCACTGGTCCGTTTAGTAACTAAATTTTTTCCTGATCATCCATCTGTTTATTTAGTTAACTTTGCATTATGTTATAAATAAATTACAAAAGCACGCATTCTGTCCCACGATGAGTGTCGTGTTTATATATATGATCATGGTACAGTCTGGTGGACCCTCATATTCAGTTGAATTGGGAAGACTAGATGGATTATCATCAAAGGCATCAAGCGTTAATGGCAAACTGCCCAAGGCAAGTTTCAATTTGGATCAACTCAATGCAATGTTTGCAGCCAATGGACTAAATCAGAATGATATGATTGCCCTCTCTGGTAAAAAAACCACGCCCGGTCGTTTGCAGAAATCTTTTCTTACTCCGTCTCATTTTTATAGTTTACTATTGACCGATTGAGGTATATCTAACGCCTTACTTAATTATTCTTTTACTGTTTGGGCAGCTTGCCACACGGTGGGATTCTCGCATTGCAACCAATTCCAAAACCGGATATTCAACTTTAGCCGCTCCAATCCAATTGATCCGACGCTGAACAGGCAATACGCGGGCCAGTTACAGTCAATGTGCCCCCGTGGAGTTGACCCAACCATAGCCATCAACATGGACCCCACCACCCCGAGGACTTTTGATAATGTCTACTTCCAGAATCTGCAGCAAGGGAAGGGTCTGTTCACTTCTGATCAAATCCTCTTCACGGATGGAAGGTCTAAGGCGACTGTGAACACGTGGGCTTCCAATTCACAAGCCTTTAATCAAGCTTTTATTACGGCCATGACCAAGTTGGGCCGTGTCGGAGTCAAGACTTCTCCGGCAAACGGTAACATTCGCCGGGACTGTGGAGCCTTCAATTAAATATATCATCAGAATGATGACGCAACATTATTTTCATTATACTTTGGAGATTCAAAAATGTTGTCCAATAAGTAATAATTGGATTGAATTTTATTTTTTTTTTTAAATAGTGATTTCTTGTGCTGCTGGTACTTATTTTGTACATAGGAAAAATGGTTTGTGTGACCAGGTAAAAAAAATCATTTCAATTCGGACAGGTCATAATACAGAAGAGGTAAAAGTTGGGAATTTAGTTTAGGGCATGCATGCAAAGATTGTTTCCAACATGTAACCGAGTCAGCTTCAAGCCGGCGAACCTGTCTTCGTCGCGCCCCAACCTAATTCTGTAAATCTATTCTAAGTTCCTTTCAATCGCGTGGCAATTTCGTTGGCTTTTTTCCTACTCATTCAATTTTTTTTTTCTTTTTTTTTCCGGTCAAAGACTCAAAGGTTCCCCGTTACATGAGCATGGCCCCATTCTGTTTAGATATGGGCTAGATCCCTGTGCCAGACGCGTGTTGGCATTTTATAAATTCACCAAATTTTATTGAACAAATTGAACGAAATACTTTTTTATAAAAAATTTAAAAAATACCAATACTCCTATTTGTTTCAAAGAAGCCTTACGTGCAAAAGGAAAATAAATGAAGCCGAGATAATTTGATATACTCATTTTTTCCCACAAAAATAGTTCAGTTTGATAAAAAAGTTTGTTTCAAAAAAAAAGTTAGTTTCACAAAATTAAAATTAATTAAATTAAAATGACTTAAGTATCCACATTATTCCAAATTAATCGCTTTAATGAAAAAAGGAAAAACAGAACAAACCCAATAATTTCACCGGCACCATATCCAGCCACCACCACCCAGCACCCTGACCACCCAGCCACCACCAATAATCCTCCACGACCTGATCTTTACGCTCTCCTCAACCATCTATTACCGTCAACTTCTACAGAAGATGAAGAAGCACGAATCCCAGTGGCAATGGAGGCGGAGGGAGGATGGATCTTATGCCTTAAGGAGAATCCAGTATCAGATCTAAAATCACGATTAAGAAAAAAACTTGACAAATCGGCCGGTATCGAAGTTCGGAATCATGAGATGAAGTGACGGCAAGAAGAACAAAAAGAAGGCGGCAGCTTTGTGTTTGCCCGTCGAAGAAAGGAAAAAATTGAGGTTCTTAACGACGGGAGGCGGCGGCAGCTTTGTGTTTTTCGGTTTAAGTGATTGAAAAAAAAAAAGAAGAACATCCGTTTAGTTTCTGGTTGCTTAAGATAAGATGAGGGATAGATATGATAAACAGGGACATTAGTAAAAGTTTACAGGAAAAAATGAGTTGTAACTTGTGATATTTGACCAAAGTAAAAAAAAAAAGTTGTTTATTTTGAACTGGACTATTTGTATGGGAACGAAGGCAGTATTATTTTAACATCTCATGACAAAAGTCCACTTTCCGTTACAGTTTGTCTCTAACATTCACAATTTAGACCCGATTCACAATTTAGCGTAATCCACAAATGGAAAAAATGAAGACCACGTTAAAGCAGCGGTAAAATTAGGAACTCTATCATCAGTCATCACAGGTACTGACTAATGAGTAGTAACTACTCAATACTCTAATTTTATTTATCACTAACCCAATCAAATCATAATCAAGCATTATCAATCATGCCTGGCCCAACACCGCGCTGGTTTAGAACTACTATCAACCTAGATCTCCCTAATACATATATCTTGAAAGTTTTGTAGATAACAATCACATGTAACGAATACCTAATTCCTTTTTTTTTTTTTTCCACGACCTCAATTGTATATACTCGGTGTTTTTTCCCCCTCTATTTTCACAATGATTTCGCTTCCTAGCTACACTTAGCTTGAATTATGAAATGTATTACAAATATATAAACCATGGATCAACATGTAGGGTACTATACGGGAAATTGCAGCGCTTCATATTTCATAGGCGCCCGGGCTAATAATTACTCTCTCTCTCTCTCTCTCACATAAAGCAAATCATTAGTTCACCAGTTAAGATCTGTTGAAGTTGCTGAACATGTTTATACTGGTACTATCTTTGAATAGGGACAAATATTTTAAATAAATCAATGCGCAGATAAACTATCTTTCGTCAACTCTCGTTAACGTACTAGCTTAAGCTTCCAAGTATGCATCCTGTGGAATAAGTTTGAACTTTTAACGAGATTGACTTTAAAAAGTAAATAAAAAACAATTGGCAGTTGAAGATTTGTTGAGCGTTTCACATTTTTTAGAAAAAAAAAAAAAAGAAAAAAAGAAACCCCATTGAAATGAATATCATTATTTGGCATTGTATATCTAGCAACATCATATCAACTGGAGATGTAATATCAGGGAAGGCCACCATTTATCAATATTGATCTAATCGTAATGAACATATTTTCTAAGAGCAGCAAAGTGAGATTCTTGAGCGATAAACGTCTAACTCGATACGTAGTTGACTACTGAAAATGAACAAATAACCAACATGCGTAATAATCTTTCCAGATTGCGTGCATAAGTAAATTACTTTGTTGATCCCCGATACCAAATCTGATTATTTATAGTTTTTGTTTAAGAAAAATATCAAATTGTTAGTACAACAAAGGAGATCGACATCTAATACATTATTTAAAGGCAAGTATTTGGTCTTTTTTATTTTCTTGCGAAGTTTCAACCCACATATCGCTTACGTACTCTAGAAACAATTTGAGGATGTAGAACTGATCACTTCTTCAATGTCTTGAAATTAATAAAGACCATTTTAATGTTATAACTTGAAGTTGCCTACAACATATTTCAATGGGAATTATTCAATTATTTTTGTTTTTTTTTTAAAAAAAAAAACAATTATTGTGTACTGGTTACACTTGATTATTCTTCTTAAGTTGGAAAACAAGGAAAGTCTCTTTCTCAAAATAATTAGTATTCTCATATACATGCATACGACCAGTGGCCTGCCAATTCATGAAAGCCTGTAATCAACTAAAGTAGTAAAATAACAAGAATAATGTTATATCTCTCGGCAAAACGATTCCACTATCTTCTTTTCTTTTCTTTTTTCTTTCTTTGGTGCTTCGCTTTCCATTTTTCTTTGAACCAGTAAGTAATGTAGTAATTGTTTTTTTCCCCCTATATACAATAAAACAATCATTCTCGGAACGAACCATCTAACTAAAAACCAGCCCTTTTATGTTTCTCTTGTCGGGTATATTTTTGATAGGAGACATGCATGTTCATCAGTTAATTAATGTGATACAGTATCACGTAAATTTTGGATTCATTTTACTAAGAAAAAGTACCTATCTATATTACACTACATACATTCTACGTGGAATTTTTAACACTTATTCGTGAACCCTTAGTGGTAATAATACAAAGTAGAGGATAAAATTCATACATGGGAAGCCATTGACCTCTAACTTTATGACTTTATCCATTGTCGCTTTCAAATTCGTAATCTCACTTTCATAATTAGTATAATTTATGAACTTTCTGTGTTTCTTTCCTCCAAAGCAACAATATTCTTAGCCGACTTGCTTTGCGACAACTTCTAACTTGTTTACTATATATATGTATACTCTTTTCAGTTGAGCTTCGCACAATCACCCAAGTTCCTTTCTGAATTACGTACTCTAGGAACAATAATTGGTGGTGATGATGGGTCGACTCAATTTTTCGATAATCATTGGATTGTCGCTTTGTCTTAGCCTCTGTAGCTTCCCTGCAGTGGAAGCCCAGCTAAGACAAAATTTCTATGCAAACATTTGTCCCAACGTTGAAACCATAGTGAGGAACGCTGTTACCCGAAAATTCCGAGAAACCTTTGTCACTGCGCCGGCTGTCGTCCGCCTCCTATTCCACGACTGTTTTGTCCAAGTAAGTTCCATGCGCGTAGTCCGTTACAGAGTAACTAACTTATACTCCCTGCGTCCCAAAATGAATAAGATGTTTAAGTGAAAATTCATGCTGGACAATCATTTTAGGACGGGTGAAGTATTAATAATAGTGTTAAAACAGATGCATTAATTGCTTCACTGATTTCCCTTCTAAGTGCTGTTCCTGCAGGGATGTGATGCTTCGGTAATGATAGCATCCACACCAAACAACAAGGCAGAAAAAGACCACCCCGACAACTTGTCGCTCGCGGGAGATGGATTCGACACTATTAACAGAGCCAAGGCAGCAGTGGACGCCACCCGGGGTTGTAGAAACAAGGTCTCATGCGCTGACATTCTTGTCATGGCTACTCGAGACGTGATTGCACTGGTAACCTTCGTACTCCTACTTTATTAATTGCATTATGCGATGAATTAAACGCACTTATTGTTGGTTTACTAATTAAGACGTGTACAGAGTGGTGGACCTTCATATGCAGTTGAACTGGGAAGATTAGATGGATTGTCATCAACGGCATCAAGTGTCAACGGCAAACTGCCCGAACCAAATTTCAATTTGGACCAACTCAACAAAATATTCGCTGCCAATAATCTAACTCAGAATGACATGATTGCTCTCTCAGGTAAATTAAATTAATTAGTAGTGTAACATCATAAAGAATATATGTATATATATATATATATATATATATTAATTCCGACTACAAAGCGTGTGTTTATTAATGAATGAATTCGCTGCACCATGGACCGACAGCTTGTCACACCGTGGGTTTCTCGCACTGCGGCAGATTCCAGAACCGGATATTCAACTTCAGCCGGACCAACCCGGTGGATCCGTCCATGAACAAGCAGTACGCGGATCAGCTGCGGACAAGTTGCCCGATCGGGGTTGACCCGACAATTGTGGTCTTCATGGACCCCACCACCCCGAGGACTTTCGATAATGCATACTTCAAGAACCTGCAGCAGGGGAAAGGTCTGTTCACTTCAGATGAAGTCCTCTTCACGGATGGAAGGTCTAAGGCAAGTGTGAACACGTTCGCCGGCAACCCCCAAGCCTTCAATCAAGCTTTTGTTACGGCCATCACTAAATTGGCCCGGACCGGAGTCAAGACTTCTCCTAGAAACGGTAACATTCGCCGGGTTTGTGGTGCCTTCAATTAAATGAGACGAAGACGAGAAATCTTCATGATGATGCACTTAATCCAGTCCAATAAATTAACTTCAGTACCATTGTTCCAAATGTTGTGCAAAAAGTAATAATTGATGGAGTTCGATTTGAATTTTGATTCTGAGTGTGTCGGTGTTTGTTTGTTTATTTTTTTTTTTTGTTGAAAGTGGTAGGTGTTTGTATTTCATACATACAAGAATGAAGAATGTGGGTTGGTACATAATTTTGCAAAACAAATGAAAACGTGTTTCAATCTGATCATTTTCACGGTTCATCATTATTATGTATGGTAGTGCATATCCATGCAAAGATGGTTGCCTAGTGTTACCACCATATAGATTCAAAGCAGCAAACTTCTCAGCGTCAAACCATCACTCTAATTATGTATGTAGATCATGATTTATGAGTACTTTTGTCAACCAATTGGTGTTTATTTCTTTGTATTGTTTGAAATGAATATAGGGTGCAAAAAATTATACAATATATAGTTTTTTACACTTTAGGATACTTATACCAATTATAAAAATTGAGTGTCCACTTCCCTAACTCTGCCACGAATGTCTATCATTCTAAAACAAACAACTGTTTTAATCGGAGATTTGTCAAAATATGTTTCTCGTGGGAGAAAAAATCATGTATTCTGGTAATTGAATGAAAGTCTAGTGATTAGGGTGTTGTTTTTTCTGATAATAGACCAAGGTTCAATTCCTATAAAGGGTTTGTAAGAAGTTTTTTACCCACATTTAAATGGGGTCTACTATAGTGGATTTTTTTTAAAAAAAAAAAAAAAATTCATGCATTCCGGTCAACGGTTCCCCGTAGCAACCCTTATTCTCCTTAATATGTATGGTCTATCTATGGGCCTTGCGGGCTAGACGCCAACAACCAACCACAAGATACTTTTGTTTGGGCTATTTTCCAAAGGCCACAGGCTTATCATCTCTCTATTAAACTAATTACCCGACTTAAACAAAAGTATTGGCTTATCTGTTTGCTTGCTTTTTTGAATAGTTTTTTCTGATTATTTTAATAATAATTGTGCCATCTTAACATATTTTTTTTACATTTACAATCTATCTTTTTACATTCTCAATATAAAAAACATTTAAAAACACACACTTAAAACCAATCCAAAACATATGTAGGCTCCTAAAGCACTTTGAGAAATTATTACGTAGAGTGTTCAAGATTCATTGGAAGACAATTTTCAATCATATAAAAATTATTGCTCTTTTTGAATTATTAGTGATTGAGCCACTGTCACTGAGTTCAAAAATCTACATTAGGTTACTAATTATTGATATCACATGGCTAAAATCTGAAATAATTAAATTATTATAGTGGCATCTTATCATAGACAGATTTAATCAGTAAATATATTTAAAAAAAATTCATATATCTAAATTTAAATATACTTTAACCTGCGATCAAATGAAATGACTTACTATCTATTTAGCCCCAAAAAAAAAAAAAAAGAAATTGAAGAAGTAAGCGGATTGCGCAGGTATCTTCTCGTTGCGCACATTGGTTTGTTTTTTGAAGATATTAAGTTGTACCCGGGGCACAAAAAAGAAAAGAAAAAGGAAGTCAACCGATGAAATATGATGATGACCTTGGAACTAAACCAAGTAAAAATAGGTTAGGTTCAAAAAAATTAGTATATTATTTTAAAATTACTAGGATAATTTTTTTCCACGTGAGCTGTATTTTTGAGCCCGAGAGTATAATTTGGCGAATAGAATATGATCATTATTGAAGATGAACGGAGATAATCTAACTTGAATACAGCAATCATTGAGATGCCAAAGAGTAGTAAATTAAAAAGGGAACCAAACATGAAAGCAAAAGCTAAACCAGAATGCTTCTCCAGTTCAAACCCACGGTACCGATCAGAAAACTGTTTTTGCTGTACAGGGTCAGCTTCCCGCGTTTGATGGATGATTCCATCTCGAGGGAACAGATTGGAATAAACATTAGTCCAATAATACCAGTTGATGTACCTTCCGTCCCCAATCACCATTAACACGTAACTTCCTATAACTTACAGTTTTTGGTTCGGTCGGGTCTGTTTTTCAACCATAGTTATGAAAAGGTCTTTTATTTCAGGTCAAGTAGGGAATAAATGGATTAACAATTAACTGACAACCGTTAAAATCTACAAAACTATCTTTCTCATGTCGTCCCCAGTTTCCCAGTCAACCAAGGCCAATGGGGATCCAAAAAAAATGCCTATATTGTGACAGGTACAGAACACAACAATGCGGTTCAAGAAATCAGACAAATCGTTTATGTCAACATTCTTTGGCAGAGTTGGAGACGACACACCACGACCAGACCTTTCTGGCACAGATATGACAACATATAACAGAATCGGTCGTAGAAACTGAGAACCAATCTGATCGAGATGCAGTAGCTTAAAAGGAAAAGCCTACAATAAATCAGCGTCAATTAAGCAATTAACGAGATTTTATCGACCGCAGAGAGATATCTGATATTAGTCTACTGGACCAAACACTTTGACGAGTGAGGCATTAGACCCACAGATGCATGGCTCTAAATCTGCATATTAAACACAGCATAGGATAAGAGAGACTGACCAGAAAAGTTTCCACTTCCTCAATTTGTCATGCCTGCACAGCAAAATTGCTCCGGAAAAGTGAAGAATATGAAGAGCTAGCTCTAGGAGTAAAGCCTTAGACTTTGGTTAAGTTAGTGGCAAATTCTCTTAGGAATGGTTTAATGGCAACCATTTACATAGCATAGACCATAATAACATGATGTCCTAAAAAGACAGAAGCTGCAGAAATTTTGACAAGACTTAAAAGAGTACATTAAGAATGCTAATTTATAGGAATACTAATTAACAAGCTTCCATCCTTTAAATTGGCCTCCTGATATATTTAATTCCTGCAGCAAGTGCACCATTGAACCAATGAATCTTAGTATATCCCAGGTTTACCAATAGAAGCCAGCTCCTGGCTGGAATCCTTTTGACATCCAGGGGGGCGTACATAGGAAGGAGATTAGGTTGGTAGACCAAACCATCCCCACCCTTGAGCCAACAGCAAGATTTGCCCATATGGTTCTGTTCCAGCAGATTAATGGGCAGAAACTCCTTGAACATGTCAATCATATCTCATTATCCGGAATGCACAAGTTGTGGACATAGGATCCTAGAAACCAATAATTATAGGAATCTAGAAACTAAATTGTAACCCATCCTATTAACGCATATGAAGCGAAAACTAGGTGCAGGAAAAAGCTAAGTCCAATCAGACCAAAGATATCCCTGACTCCCCTTAGCGTGTTGAAAATATTCCAATCAGTTTGCATAGAGCCACGCCACTTCAGAGCCACTTCCCTCTCCCCTCTTCTGACAGTCCCTAAATGTGTTTTATGACCAATTCATCCAAAGATGCTGCAAGCTTTTAATTAGAAGTGCAAACCAATTACCAACATATATACCTAGACAATACACATGCATAAATTTTAAATCACAAAAGGCAACCATATCAGGAACATGCTAACAGAAAGTATATGTTAGAATTACTGCATATGAGCCAGATCCCTGCTGTTGAATCGTAAGCAAGGAAATTTGAACACATCTGCTCAAGAAAAGGATAAACAGAAGCATTTATGATATGAAGTGCAGGGACCAAACTAAACGGAGACGGGAAGCAATAGGAAATAATTAAAGCACGAAACAAAACATCTGACAATCAGTAGAAAATTATAGCAAAATATTTACTTTGTATGTAAGATAAGTAGCAGAAAAGTAGCCGCTCACACTCCATCAAAGCATCAAGGTCAACTGGAATCCTGTCAGTCAGATTGCTGCATAACACCTGATCGACAAACCTTTCAGTCAGATTGCTGCATAACACCTGATCGACAAACCTTTTCCTTCACCTGTGGGTTCAATACTCAAACACAATATCAAGAACAATGAACAGGTTTATGCAGTTCAAAACAACAAAACATCTGAAATATCAAGTATAATAGAAAAATTAACCACATGCATACAGGAGAAAAGACAAAAACAAGGTAAAACAGATTTCTTGCAAGAAGAAAAATGGTATCACTATGAGAAAAAATAAGATAACTACATTTTTTACTGAGACACTAAAGCAACAAGAGCCTGTTGAGGCTCTCCTACAAAAATCTACTCTCAAGAAAGGAACTAACAATACAATGAAAAATCTGGTATTCCACAAATAGAATTTATTGACAATAGAAGGTCAACATCGTGAACACGCTATTGCTATCAGTAGAAAATAGCCACATTGCAATGGCTGAAAGTCTTATATGTATCCATATCCTCATAATTTACTAGGTAAGGGGTCCCAATTTAGAGATAATCAGCTCTGAGATGTATATACAACCTAAGCATCTGGTTCAAAATTTTCAGCAAGTCTAAGCCTTGAAGATATCAGCATCTTTTATCTATATAGTGTCAACACCACAGTTAGAACAGATTCAGGGGCCTCAATCATATCACCATTGAAGATGAGCTGAGAAGAGATCAAAATCACAAATCCTTCCATAATGCTCCCGTAATTATTCAGGGGGGCGCAAACAGAACTTCTCCAATTGAATTGGCCAATCTTCTCCAAGTAAAGTGGGATTCAACTCCATTGCAACCCTGAAATCCAAAGCTGACACCAAAGGGGAACTGCTTGGATTTTGTGCATATCTCATGGGTCGCTTCCCATTCAAAACAGATAATCCCTGATGCTGAAATTGGTGAGGGTGCTTCTGCTCTGACTTTGTACTAGCTAACTCCAGACAAGGTTTTATTAGTCGCTTCAGATAAGCATCAAGTCCATTATTCAACAAATTAATGCAATCTGTGGTGACCTTTAAGCCATCAATCTCTAACTTCTGCTCCAACCTCTTCTTCAAAGCATTTATGTCTGGTAGCACACCAGTGAAGTGACAAGTTTCAGCCGAAAGATAAGAGCTTGTACCGTGACTTAACACTTTCCTTGGTCCTTTTATATTCAAAGAGATGCCAAGAGGAGCTGTTACAGGGATTCTGCTATATGTGCCCGGACTTCCAGCAGCCTGCTCCACTTCCTCTCCATCTTCCACAGAATTGACTTCAACAGGAGGCCTGCTACCTAAGGAGAGCATTTCAGTAGCGCTTTGCTGCCTGCTACCTAAGGAGAGTATTTCAGTAGCACTTTGCTCTTCCAGCACCTTTGCGGATGATTCTTCACCGACAATATTATGTGGCTTCCCGTGAGGGCCAAGAGGGCTTGGACGGTCCTTAACCTTGCGATCACGAAAAGCTGGTGTTCTCCCCTTCCTAGGAGACTGAGGAACCACATCTTTACCGAGGGAATGAAGTATACTTCTGTTATAGCCATTCGGCAGTTTATTATTCAATGAAGCTTCCCTTTTGCTGCCTATTACTGGGGGTGACTTTGCGCCACAAGCATTTCTGAGGATAGCTTGAAGGAACTTATTGTGAAGGGAGAGATTCTCTCGCCCAACCAACCCAACACAGAGATTATCAAACTCTGCTTTGTTAAGCTTACCACTAAAATACTTTGTCAGTAGATCAAAATACGAATCCGATCTCTGAGGACCAATCTTCCTTTCAATATGAAGTTTGAGTTCGTGAGTATCGATCCGGGCAAAATGCCGAGCTCCAGGCATTCTGACTCCCGAATACATTATGATCACACTGACACCAGAAGTTAATTAATCACACGGAACTGCATAAACTCCAAACAGCCCATAATCAAGCTAACAAATTTGAAACCCTAGTCGGGTTCAAATAAGAAAGTCAATCTCTGTGCACAGTCCCAACTGTACGACGGCAGAATGATAGCATTCACTGTAAACACGAGCATACCCAAATAAATAATTAAGACAAAAATCAATACCCCTAGACTACTCAACCCCAAAATTGAGTACAAGAATCAAGTAGAAACACCACATTCGCTACACAAGAAAAGGAAGCGACACTCTGAATTCATCAAAGTCAATCAAGAAGTGAAATTCCAAAGTCAAGATTCGAACTTTATCCGACCAAATTGAAAAATTAATATATTAAACTGTTAAATTGGATCAAAATTGGAAACCCCAGAAAGCTAATTCAGCATTAAAGCTAAAAAAAGGAACCAGTCCAGCAAAAAGAAAGCAAACAATGTAAATTCAGCAACGGAAAAGTAAAAATTAAGAAGCAAACCTGAATCTGTGAAGTAGAAAATCAGAGTGTTCTGGGTAAGAATTCTCGACAGTGGAAGTATAGTAATTATTTGATCGAGGTTGGTTCGTTCGTCTGTCCGAAGAGACAGAGAGAGAGAGTAAAGGGGAAAAAGGGGATTGACAATTAGGGCTTTTGTTTTAGAAGCTTCTTACGAGTCATAGGATAGTCAAATGACACGTGGGATTTTACTGGTGTGAAGTTATGTAAGTGGAGAGCAATCAGCTGTGAGATTTGTCTGAGCATAATTTTTTCTTCATTTTCATTTTTGTTTTTGGGTTTTCATAAGGGATTTTAAAGGTCCTGTTTGGCTGCTTCGGTTTCTCCCCAATCATAAGGGAGTTAAGTACGCACGCCAAAATTTGTGAATCCCATACAAATTGGATTAGATGGAAGTCAGCGGGTCAGGAGGACCAAGCATGGTCCGTATTGTGTGTGTGTGTGTGTTAGAAGTACTGTGTGACTAGGTGGTAGGAAGTTAGTCAGACTAGAATGCTGAGTGATGATGCAAGCAAAGATCTAAAGGGAATGTTGTCATAGGAATGACCATTTTCTATGTCACACATGAATCTTGTGAGTTGAGAGTTGTGACCATTGGATCATCAAATCATTCTTTTTATTTTATGGAACCATTTTTAAAAGTCAATTCACATTTTTTGCTTTGTTTTAAAATTTATTACTCCCCAAAAAAAAAGTCTACAATTTAACTCAATATCGATTATTTTTTATAAGAAATGAAGTATTTTTTTAATCCAAAAAGTACTTTATGAGCTTGATCCGCATACGTGCAATAAGATCAAACTCCTACTCTCTCTGGTCTATAATTATTGTCCAATTTGAGTTTTCATTTCAAGTTCAAATTGTACTAAAAGTGAAATCTCAAATTGGACAATAATTTTGGGACAGAGGGAGTATCTTTTATTTATTTTTATTTTTTTATAATGCATCGCTTGTTCCAAAAAACAAAAAAAAAAAAAAAAAAAAACTTCCAATTTGAAACCTCTGTACTTAATGGAAAAAGATGAGTAGAATACTACACACACAATGAAGATAGTACTAAACAACTCAGATTATTATTGTAAAGTGCTACAAGCTGTAATCATATCCTCGTGTAATTGTCAAAGCATTATTATGAGTTTCAACGCTTCAGAGTATCCATTGTTGGTCAACACATCACTACTCATTTGTGGGAGGGAGAGAGCGCTTCATTTTATTTTATTTTTGTGTAAACATTGCTTAAACTTTAAATGTCATAGTATTATTATGAATTTAGGGTCCTATTTTTTCCATATATCCATTTTACGTAATAGGGTATGGTTTAATGAAATTTCATATTGATACGATTGTCAGTTCAAAATCACAACATTTTAAATAGGCTTACCATAAAAAATACTCCCGAAATTTAGTTGATTGTTTGAAATACCATTATATTTAAGAAAAATATCAATAATATCCCTAAAAAAGATCGCATGACAACTGAAAATTGATGTATGCACACAAACTTAGCCAAAAAGGTGCCAAAAAGATGTTTGTACCCGTAAAAACTCTCATGATTTTTTTCAAACTCTAATCAAATAAAAAATCAACTTCTAAATTTAAACTTCAGCTTTTGAAAATTCAGCTTTTTACAAGCCCTCGGAAGTTGAATTTTAGATTTAAAAGTTGATATATAATTTTATTAGATTTTAAAAGAGAGGGTATCTATGTGTTACAAATGTCTTTTCAATAATATTTTTTTCTGGTTTCATTCGCATACATCAATTTTTAATTGTCAGAGGACTCCTTTGATAATTGACTTACCGATTAAAAAATATTTTTGATATTTTCTTAAACAGTAAGACTGTTTTAGATATTGAGTTAAACCTCGAGAGGTGTTTTTGATATTAAGGAACCAACCAAGTGAATTTTACCTTCTTCTCATTTTTTCAGAAGAAACTAGTCTCTCGGAGTACAGTGACTATAGTCTATAGTCTGTCTACTAGAGTGTTACCAAAAGGGCTCTATTACATAGGCCAAATGGGGGGAGTTTAGCTTTAAGCGGCAATTATGCATATTGCAACATACAGTCTCCTCTACAAATAGCCGTAGCTTCACACATGTGATAGTTTTTTATTTTATTTTATTTTTATTTTTTATAAACTCACTCATGTGATAGCCTAATAATTATTTGTAAGATTCTAGTATTTCCTTTGCCCCAACAGTATATTTTAATTTATTGAACTACACAGTATAACAAAGTAGTATGAAAAGAAAAATACTCCATCTGTCTCAAAATTATTATCTACTTTGGATTTTTCTTTTTAGTTCAATTTGTACTAGAACTGAAACTCCAAATTGGACAATAATTATGGGACCGAGGGAGTAACAGAAATTGATAAAAGTGGCAATACAAAGAGTCGGTTAACACCCTTTCGAAAAAGAGTCGGTGAACAGGAATTGATTAAAAAAGCGGGTTAACATAATTTTTTTTTGATAGACTGAAAGTCTGAAACAGATCGTTAGCCTTAATTTAGGGCAAGATAGTAGTAGAGTCTTGATCTCGTCATTGAAGTTAATTGTGATCAAGTTTCACAACGAAGCTCTGTGAATTAGTTTTTTGGGTCCATCGCCACGGGGAAGAATGGGCCGTCGCAAAAACAACGCGGTTTCCGATAAAGGACATGTAATTGGAAGCAAAAAAGGTCGAGAAGAGGCACCCAGATCTGATACCTTAACTGCCGGAAAAGATGTCGCGGACAACCTGTTTGAAGGTTCGCGTGACAGGACTGATCTTCTTTTTGAGGTTCTGGCTCGATTGCCTCCCCCGGTGTTGTTTAAATTCAGGTCCGTCTCAAAGGGCTTCCGCAGTTTAATTGGACAATCAGATTTCGCTGCTCATCAATATCGCACTTGTAAAGCTATAGCCGGGAAAGCCCTTACGGGGTTTATTCTTTCTGCAAAGAACGGACCCGGATTCAGACTTTCAGAGTGGTTGAAAAACGAAATTCGCTTCTTACCACTTTACTCAGAAGTCGGTCTTCCTGATCCTTTCTCTGGAACTCTTGAAGCAGAAAGGGAAACAAGACGAGGTTGATGTCATTGATTCTTGTAACTGTGTCTTACTTTGCATAAACAATTTGTACGGAATCAATTCGCAAACCGTTGTTGTCTGCAATCCTTTGACAAAGCAAACCATAGTGCTTCCCCACCCGAGGAAACCATCTAGAAGGACCGATTATGCATTGATGGCTGATTTTGTTGACACCAATTGCCTCAAGTACAAGGTCTTGTGCTTACTTAGGTCGAAGAATTGTGGTGATGGGTGTTCACAGCTGTCAATGTTTTCTTCAGAAACAGGGGAATGGTTGGAGATATCAGATAAGCTTCCAGCTGCAAGCTACAACTTTGGGAATGGCTCTAAGGTGTTTTTCAATGGAAGCCTTTACTGGGATTGCATTGAAGGCCACATTCTTGTTTGCCATCTTAATCCGAAATACAATGGACCATCCCATCAGTTGATCGAGGCTCCCCGGTCTGTATTTTGCAGGAGTCTGTGGAAATCTGAGGACAAGCTTCACTGCTATTGCCATGGAGTTTCAGAAGAATGCCCTGAATGGAAGCGCGAGGATCGTGATCGACTCGTGAATCTGAGTGACGATATGATGTCACTCAATGATTTTGGTTCGAGCCTTGCAAAGAAAAGACCACCGGCAGAGTTCAAGATGATATCATATGTTCCTGAAACTGAGAAATTCTTTATACACATATCTGAGAAAGTTTATTCATATCAATGGGTTGAGAGGTGTCTAGAACGCGTAGGTTTGAATCAATCCCAATACGTGTTGCCTTACACGCATAGCTTGGTTTCCATCCATACTCCTAGAACAGGAGTTGATGATGGAGCTGCAGAAAAAGGCAGCATTGAGATGAAGAAGGTTAAGGGTAGACGCAGCAAGCGGACACCTCGGTGTCAAGATTTTAGCACAGAGGGAGAGGATTAGGTGTTTACATAGTTGAATTCCTGCAAGATCAGGTTCAATTTACAATAAAGTTCTCCATAATTTGTTACTTTCTGCTAATAATTGTAGTATGTATTTTATATATTTTTATGACCTGATATGATCTAAGATACATGTTTTTTTTTTTTTTTTGATAGAAGATCTAAGATACATTTTTCTGCACCATAAAGTCGGATTCAGTTGAATTTATGATATTTCTCTTCTTCTTTTTTTGGATGGTACATAAAATACATGATCTTCCGAAGTAACAATATCGTTCAGACTGCAGAGCATCAGGATATCTGCTGAGAAATTCTTATCCCATAATCTGCTCTGCTGAACTGTTGTTTCATACCAGAACAAAATAAGAAAGCAGAGAGCAACACGTGGCCTGTGGGACTGAAAGAGGAAATTTCTGTTCTCTATCAAGGAAATTGGTTTATCGTAAGTAGGGTGGTTCCACTAATTCCACTGCTTCATCATAAAATAAAAACATGATTTTGGAAGGACACAAGTCATACATCAATGGCTGTAATGCAGAAGCGGCCATGGTCAAATCATTGCGCCCTTACTAGGCTCACAGGTTACATCATCTCTTTAGTCTTTACTCAAGGACAAAGGAATTATGAAAAACTCCATCATACACCCCGCAATTAATTAATGCCTGAAAGTAGAAAAATGGAAGCCATTGGAAGTTTGGCACTACGTGATTATTGTCACAGAGTGGCCACAATTTTCCAATTTCCAGTCAATGCGTGTTGCCATGTTGTTTTAATTAGAATGGCCAAAACTTTAACAATACATTAATAATCGCATCAAATGTCTTTTTCTGTCTGCGTTAATGCCCCGTTAATCTACTTCGATCTCATCCAAGTTTGTATCTTTAACTTTTATGTCGAACAACTTTCTCTTCTTTTTCTTTTTTCTTTTTTTTTCCCCACGGTATATAACAGTTTTGTGATATATAGGCCATATTACACTAAGTACATACGATGGCGATGGAATCGCTCTGTGAAATTGGCCTCTATAAGCCTTAACCATACTAAAATTATGAAACTATTTGAGGACTTGCCTGCAAGCCTTCTGTGGACCATTTTTATTTTTGGCTAATTGTCACAATGCTAGTCATGTTTCTGGCACCTGGACCTGTGCCAACACCACATAATTGATTGCAAATCCCTACAAAAGAAAAATGAAAAGAAGGAAAATCGGAAACCAAGGTAACGAAGCTAATAATGATGATCAATATATAGTAGTAGCAATATATATTTGTCAATAATGAGCAAAGCAATCATGACTAAATAATGGCCATACCGTACACCTGCCTTTTCCTATTCAAGTTGAAGTTTACTGGGCACAAAACCGCCGACAATGATATGACAAAATCATAAGGGTAAATACTACTAGTACTACTATGTAGCTATCCACATTAATTCTCAATCATTTCTAAATCATCCTCCAAAACTAAATGAGATTCGATCTCAATAGTCAAACAAGAAGCGTCTTCAGAATTAGAACTTGATCAATGAGCATAACAACTACTACATCAATTTTGTTAAAAGTAGTGAATGATCATTTTCTCTTTTCTTTTAAGTAGGCACCCAAGCAGTTGCAAAAACAACATTATGGCCTTTCCAAGTGAGAACAAGATCTTCTTCTTCCCTTTTAAGTCCCCAACCTGCTGCATGTTCATCAAGCATACTTTTCACCTCACCAAATGCATCTTCACTGAAACTAACCCCTCTAAATCCCGAATTCCTCATCCTCTGAACCCATTTGTTCTTCGTCTCCAATCTCTCAATTCTCTGAATACCTTCGTGGGCTATCACGTTTTGGATTTTCCAACATATGTCAGCTTCGTACCACTGTCTCTGCTTACTTCCCCGGGGGAGAAACGTGTCAACCGTATCATAAGGTATCCACAGATAGTTAAACGCAGACCTTAATCTTGTCACTAAGTTGCTGGATGTCAGATCTGCATCTTCATCCACCAAAACAACAATGGTCGGTTCCAGACTCCTGATTGCCTTGAGAAACATGGTCCGCAGAGATTGGTTGGGCGAAATCTCGCATAAATTACCCGAACTCGAACTCGAACTCGACAAGGTGGGTTCTTCAGAGATGCAATGAAGCATCATGTGACAGTTCATTACCAAGGCCTCAGGCCCATTCTCGTGGACTCGGGCCGTCTGTTGTGTCCGCATCAGTTGCTCGATTAACGACGCGAACCCATCACAAGGGCTTGACGGAATCACATGGAATTCCAAGACTATATTTCTAGACCTAGCAAAGTTGACCAGCTTTGACCCCAACTCCTCGTACGTAAGGTCAATCATCGGAGGGATGGGTTCCGCGACGCTCGCCACCGTGAGCTTGACTAACGGAGGGTTCTCGTAACGGTTGGCGATGGCGTCAATCAACGTCGGGATCTGCATGCAATGAGTCAAACTCAAGTCAACGATGTGAATAGCCGAGTAACCGTCAACGGCTTCTAGAATCGCCGCATTCGCCGCGGTGAAGCCGAACCGGTGCCACGGTGTCAAGTCAACGAAGCTGGCCAGCTCGATGACGCTGAACTTGTGGGTCTCGACGCTGAGGACGTTCGCGGTATCAACATTAGCCATGGCGGTGAGGAGCTTGCAGTTGCCGGTGTTGGCGGCGCGTGCGATCAGAGCGCGGAGGAAGCCGCCGGTGAGGCGCTGGTTGGAGTCGCCGTCGGGCGGGGCGATGTTGTTGAGGACCCACAGGATTTGCTGAGTGAGGGTGGCGTCGTTGGTCTCGATGGCATTGGCACAGTGAACCAACAATTGTTCCATGCAGTTGGCGTCGCCGAAGCTGCTGAGTGATTTGGTGGTGGTGGAGGTTGGAAAACCGGGCCAGGGCCGGGTTCGATGGATTAACTGGTTGGAGGACTTATTCATGGATGGAATCACAAAGGGTGGTATTTGGTGCAAAGGTGGTGATGGTAGGGTCTCAGAGAATTGCATCATGGAAGGAAGAAAATGGTGAATACTACGACTTGGAAATTTCTCTTTTTTTTCCACCAAATTAAAGAAGATGACTAGAGGAAAAATTTGGTGAGGAAATAACACAAAGATTGGGGGAAATAAGAAAGGAAAGGGACTAGACTAACAGTAGTAGCTGAGACATTGGGAAGCGATCCAACACAAAATGGTTTCGGAGGAAAATTCTGCAAATGAATCTGAGGCAAATAGACGGTTCAACTTTTTTCAAGTTATTAGGTAATTGGGACACTTACTGTTTTTCAAATGGAGGACTGAGGAGTACTAAAAACGACTAATGAGAGAATCCCTCATCCCAAAAGATAACCTAAGAAAAGTACTTGAGAGATGAGAGTCCAAGATTAGGCAAAAGAGAGATTTCTTTCAAGTTGCAGGCTTTTTCAGGGACAAAACATACAAGAGGATGAATTCTGAAATACGAAAACCAGGAAACCAAAAGCACGTACGTTTCCCTTTCTTTTCTTTTTTTTTTTTTTTTTGAAGGCTACAAAAAGAGAAAAAGAAAAAAAAAAGAGGGGGAGTATTAACCTTTGGTGGTACCTTTTCTTTCACTCATTTACAAACAAAACAAACTTAGAAGCAGAACAAACACCGTGGGGAAAGAGAGGGGAAAGAGAGGGTAATGGTGATGATAATTATATAAACAATCTGGAATAGAATGAGGATGGGATTTGTGTTTGGATTTTGGTGGCATGTGAGAAAGCCGGCCTCAAAAAAGGTTCTTGTCACTATGTGAGAGTTGGGATTTGTCACTTACTAGTACAGGGGTACTCCCTCCTTTGTAGCCTACAAACTCATTTCATATAATTTTTCCGACCCCCAAAATTATTATCCAGTTTAAATTATTGTTTTTTATTTAAATTGTACTAAAAGTAAATTTTTTTGAGAATAGGAAGAATATGTACTACTATATCAAAGTGCTGCTGCGTTTTACTGTTTAAGCTTTAATTTCTTTTGGCTCTCACTCACGGGTCATCATTCTCAAATCATTTTCTGCTTTTTCTCATTCAGATGTGTACATAATTTTGTTGTTTCCATGAAATTAAATACACTTTCATCAAGGGGCCCTCCAATGATGACTCATTCTCATTGGGTTGAAAAAAGAAAAACATAAACAATATTCGCAATCAAATAGAGACATAACTCGTGTGATCATACCTAGCCACCTAAGCTACTAATAATTGATTATTTAGTTTGCAAATTAAATGACGTATTGGCGTATTTAGTTTGTCCATTAGATTTAACTTTTAATTAGCTCTTAGCCTACCAAAACAAGTATGGTCTATTCTCTTTGACTCTGGGACATCCAAAAACTTTGCATGCTATGACAATATGACAAAGTGAGGATCATTTTCGAGCCTTATGAGGATTGGGTAATATCAAGCTGAAGGATTCCAGCTTCTTTTCTTTTCAATTTCCTTTCTTGCAAATGGAAAGAACGTATACCAGTGATTAGGCCAGAGGTCCAGGCTCTCCATTTATAGTTTTACTTTTGCATGTATACGTATGAAGTCAATTTGCTGCAAAGTCTTGTCTGCATCACATCGATACTAAATATTCCAAATCTCAAAGCATATGCTTAAAACCATCTATTCTGCTCCTCATAATATTGCATAAATCTTCAGGGATTGACTTATTATGAGAAAACAGATTAGTTACGTTTTTGCTAGTTCATATGTGTCTATACTTCCTCTGGTCATTTCTGTGGCTGAAACATCTCTAAATATATAGAGACTGTTTTTGGGGCAGAATTTCCAGCAGGGGGCCCCCTCCTTTTTCTTTTGTTTCGATTTCTTTATTATAAGAAGCCCATATGAATATATATAGTAGTACTGAAATGTGCAATATGCATAGTTACTAAGTTGTCTGACCTAATTCCTGCTTTCTGAGCTCTTAAGATTCTACCTAACCTTCCCATAAAGCGCACTTTTCACTAGGAAATTCTTGTACCATTCTCTCACAGAAAACGTTGATCAAAGAAAGCATGTAGCTAGTACAACAGTTTACATTATCCATGTGTTATGTCTCTCTGATTCTCTCACACACACTCACACAGTGGTAATTTATAACTAGCTGGACATTTTAAGCATGTATAAATATCCCAAGAATATGTTGAGCAGAGAAAAAACAACGGCCATCTTATCCTGTATATATATTGCACCACCAATTAGAATGTAGGATCTGATATTAGTATAAAAAATATAAAATTGTGGGAAAAATAAACTGGCATGCAAGCGACTGAAGAGAAGGGAAGAAGAGTGCATGGCGTAAATGGGCTAAATAGCATGTGAAGATCACACCATCTGGCATCTGAAAACGGGTCCATAATTTGGATCTTCTTGCACTGTTTACACCCATGCACGTGACGCCACTTACTCTTTGGGTCCTCCATTTTTTGAAATCCTACTTAAATAGACCATTCGAACTCCTCGCAATCACTGAGGAACCCCACATTTTATTATGCTCATTTGCAAACTCCCAACATCCTTCCTTTTCGCCCTTTCAATATTTTCCTTCCTTTCGCCCCACTTTTGCAGTCGTAATTTTATTCCCATCTTCCCCACTCCATTACATTCCTTTTCGTTATAGAGTTACATCCAATTCCGGTTTTGCTCCAAACTATAAAAGTAGGGAACACATGTGTAAATTTGAAAGAACAAATAGTACATGTTGGTAATTATGGCAATTTAAATGAGTAAAAAAATTTTAAGAAAAAAAGAAAAAAAACTCATGCATTTGCTAATCGTAAGCTTATAACTGGAATCTCATTTTTTCAGCTTTTCAAGTGATTAGTAAGTTAACCCGACGGTAACTTGGTCATGATCATGCTTAGTTCATTATTCACTTCGCTTTCTTAGAAGCAATAAAAAATTAGTCCCGTACAAGAACCAAAGCTAGCTAGCGTTGATTCAAGTATCTTTAAGTTAGCGCCAGAGTTTTGAAATTTGAGGAGAGATATTCAAGTTGTTGGAATCTAGCTTATTGTTTGTTGTTGTTAGGCAAACTGAAGAATCCATAATTAATCAGAAAGTTGTTGAGAAGAATCACCAGAGATGCACATATGTTTGAATCAAGTAAAGTTAAAAAAACGTGACAAAATTAACACTAATTTCTTTTCTTTTTTTTTTTTTTGTACTGGAATGGGAATTTTGAGAAGGATTCCTAGAAGTTGAGATACAAGGGCTACAAGACACCCCCACTGCACTAAATCGAACAGTTGAAGCATTCTTTTTGGAATTTCTCGTCAAAAGGAATTCTGCGTCGTCTATGTTTTTCTGGGCTTTTCATTCTCGTTGATTCATAGACATCACATAAAACAATTAAAGTCCCTGATCAAAAACTTCAAATTAAAGTATTGTCGTTGATCAGTCTCTAGTAATATTTTCTGAAGCAGGAATTAAGAATTATTGTGAAACTTATAGACATATTGAAGCCAAGTGTATAGAGACACCGTCTTGGAATGTCGAGCCACAATATTAAAGTACTAGTACTTAATTTTCGATCTTATAATTTATTAAGTTTGACTAGCTGTCTTTATTCGTAGTATTTCCTAATTAATCATGTACTAATACTGATCTAGTTGGCTGTTACAGTTCTTCGCCCAATCATTACGACCATTGATTTTTTCTCCTTAATTTAACAGACAAATATACAAGTCTCTTCATATATTCTTTCTATCCAAAAAATATTTATGTTGAGTTTTGAAATTTCTAGTACTACTTTTAGTAGGAATCTAAAAATCCGTTGTGTACTTATTCGGTCAGATGGAGTATAATTTAAGTGAAATTTCATTTTTTCCTTTATTTGTTTTACTCCGACACGGAATATTTTATTCTTCTTATTATCTATATTCTACTTATGCAAGCTAGCAGTACATATTGAGATCACGAGGTTTAGGAAATAAAATGATATCCTAAATTCTTATAATCAAAGGAAACTTTTTAAAATCAGCTAAATTATTGAAACAAATTAACTTAAGAAGGGCTTTACAGGGGAAAAGAAAGCAAGCAAACAAAAGGTAACAAGAATATAATTAAGAACGATGTGGTCGTAGCGGGCTAGATATTGTTGGTACATATGCTAATTCAGTACGTTGAAATGAAGGCTTAGGGAGGAAAAGAGAGAAAAAAAAAAATTGGTATTACCTCCGTCACATAAAAATAGTCCACATTGAGTTTTCAAATTTGTACTAAAAACAGTACAAAACTTAAAACTCAATTTGGATTTTTTTTTGTTTTGAACGGAAGGAGTACTAGATAAAGTTGAAACACTACAAGCCTACAGAAAAAATGAGGCGAGACTGCAAATTTTTTTAATCTAAAATTTGCAATGGATTATCGTCGGCAGTTAGTGAGGTATAGGCTTACCCTAACGGCTTAAACTAATTAAGACGAAAAAGAAATGAACATTTTGAAGAGTCTTGACAATGATGTGGTAATTGAAGTGCTTGAAAACTACCCACTATGTTTGAGTTGTACATACAACTCGTTAATCCCATTATTTGGCCCCTCTCAATTCTCAAATATGTATGTGGCTTCGTTTTATACTTGCGTTCCTGCCAATTATTATACTCCCTCCGGTTTTTAATGTTAGGTTTTTAATTTGTTATAAATTTCATTAATATATTTTTTTAATTGAAAATAAAATTTTAAAAATATTTTTACAATGTATTTTCCCAATTATTATAAAATATCTTAGATAGTAGCGACATCAAAATTTTGAACAGTAAACTTAAAATGAAAATTTTCATTTTCAGAGGTAATAATAATAGGAATGTTTTTTTTGGATAATGAATAGGAGAAACTTTTGACTAGATCTACACTAAAATTTAAATCCTTCCTCTTTTTTGTTTTAATTTTTTTTTTTTTAAAAAAAAAAACCCTGGAGACGGGCTAGCTGGGGATTATCCTGGTCAGACATTTGACGGATTCGACGGGAAAGTCCAATCAATAACATGGCCTTTAATCACCTCTCAATTTCTCATCCTGTTTAAGATATCTGGCCCATTTTTCTGACAGGACCTTAGATAGCTGACAAGGTGCTTGACGTTAAAAGGCTTATCAAGCCCGCGAACCAGAGCCCATTGAATATGAAAAGAAAAGCTTGTTTCTCTGCTAAGTTGAGGTAGTATTTTTCTTTTTCTGAGTATATATTTACTAAGATCAAAATATTGACAAGTCTCATTTGTATAAACCCAAAGTCAAACATACTCGAATGTGATATTTCCACCATATAAGTATCTTTTAATAACTGATGATAGGGAGTACTGTTAATGAATAAAAATGTATCCATAGTGAAAATAAGAGCACAATCCTAATATTATATTGTGTAGTTTATTAAGTAGAAGTATAAGTTTTTGTTAGCTGTGATTTATATTTGTGCAGATTGTTGTTGGATGATTTTTCAATAAAATTTAATGAAAGGGAGTATTTGTTTCTAAAAATATAAAATGTAATTTATTGAGAATTTAAGGAACTGGAGTTTATTTGCTGGGAAAACCTCAAAATGCCCAACCGCCAAACGAGTCTAGATACGTCAGTTTACATTCTGGAAAAGCAGTAAATATTGAGTTGATGAGTAGAATTGAATTGTTGATAATTGTAGGATATGACCCTTTACGTAACGTGCTCTAAGTTTAGCAAATTAATTATCTCGAATTAAATTACGGATATCTATCTCGCACCGGGGTAACTTGCACGTATCTTTCGTATATATTGCTTTTTGTTTATCTAACTTCTTTTCATATTTTTTGTTCACTTTTTTTAGCGAAGTGCCTAACTTAAAAAGCCCAAGCATACATGCAGGAATTAATGAAGTACTGATGCAATGGAGGAGGTTTCGGTTTTCTTTAATTACTGTATGTACCTAGGATTTTACGAATAATTGTAAAGTTCGGAAGTGATTCTATGCGGCAAGTTTGGTATCTCCCCGCATAGTAACATGAAATTGAACAAAGGAGAGAACCCTACTTGTTGACCCTTTGGTTTCAGACTTTCACGAATTCCTAAATCAAATAAACAAATGACAGATTAACTATCCAGCCACAAGTTATACTTCAATTATTATTACATTTTAGGGTTAGTTCCCTTTCCATTCAATACCATAACAACGCATCCCATTCCAGTTTTTGTTGCTTCAAGGCCCTCAACCACATAGAGCAGGTTTTTCGCGGCCAAAAACAAAAAGAAACTAGTATCTCAACCTGTGTATGCATGATTTCGGAGCTAGACAGTAGACCCGATAGCTTCATCTCTTTGCTGGGGTTTAAAAAAGGGTGAGATATATGGCATTTGTGTGGATGGAAAATATCAGGAATGTATATATTATCTAGTGATAAATAGAGAAACAAATTAATTGTTTGGTGTTGTTTCTCTTCTCCCTTACTCCATGAAAAAAAAAAAAACAGATGCCCATACAGGATGTCTTTTGGCCTGGTCTGGATATAATAGTCTAGTAAGTACTCCAAAGGACGGATTTATATTAATATCTGGATATATGTGTTGAAGAAAACAGCACCAAGAAACTTGGAATTTGTCCTGATTGGCTAGGTTCAATGTAAAAGCAGCTATCCTTGGAATCCGCATCACACTTTCTTTTTTTTTCTCCTTTGTTTTTCCATTATTACTAATGGCCACTCAATTATGTAAAAACTACGTACATTTTTCCCCCCACTTACCTGTCTGTCATTAGTCATGACTGACCCACCCAATTCTGTCCTAATCCCAATTCTCATTACCAAATTTTTATTCTTATTGATGGAAAAAGACATTGTTTATTCTCATTTAGTTTCACCTTCGAAAAAGGTTCTTTATCTTTTTGTATGAACAACATGGTTTTAATTTTCTTACTATGAATTAAAACACCATGGTTTAATTTTCCGCATGACCGGTCATGGAATTTACTTTCCAATACTAATATTCTTTTGAAGCATTGACATTATAGAATCTGTAGAGGAAAGGAAAAGTATGTTTTGAATGTGGAAGTGTGGTTTATGCTTATGAAGTTATGATAAATTTTTTTAAAAAAAATTAACCAAAGTCAGAAACAGAAAAAGGAACACTGGCACTCATGGAGCCTATGACTAGCAAATAGCCAAATACTAGTGGGATTGGAACCATCAGTAAAGAGGGAAAATAAAAATGAGGTCCATCATGGGGACCACCGGGAGAAGCGTAAATGCGGCGAGACGCAGCATTGCAGAAATGCTCCCAAATTATACTACCGTGGAATCAAAACAATACATGGAACCATAAAATCATTTCGTTCTTTTTCTTTTTTCTTTTTTTTGTATTCTTTTTCGACAATAATTTTTATTGTGGAGTGATCTATGACGTGGAACCCACCACGCACTAGAGCCCTCAAAGATAGGAACAATAAAAGATGAAGAAAATGGCCCCATTCCCTCGCCCAAGTGGGCGGAAGGAAGCTGGAGAGACAAGAAATCAACGTCTAAAATCTAAAATGAAAATAATGACCCCTACAAGACCATAATTGGCTTAATCCAACAAGGAAAAATAAAAAAAGTTAACCTAATTTCCACGGAAAAATATCATTATTGTATGTAGCAATAATAAATTAATTTATCAGGAAGTAAAGATCCAAATTCCAGTGACAAATTGGCAATGATCGTTTCTTGTTCACCGTTGCCCCATCCCTGGTCGCCAGGAGACGCAGAAACTACAAGCTGTATTGCATATTAATATTGATGGATTACCTCCAACTTTGTCATTTTGCTTATTTTCTTGTATTATCAATTATCATCATCCCTACTTCATTCGTCACATATTATATTTTGCGTGTATATATGGTTGCATTCCTTTTGATAATTCCTATACAAGATAGCGATGTAATACATTAAATCTTTTTTCTTTTCTTTTTTTTTTTTATTTCTGATGGAGTAACTTCCCACTTGGAACATTAATAATTCCCATATTATATGAAATCATATTTTAATGCAACTTGAAACTACGTTGTTGTAATTGTTGATGGTTACATGAAGCAAAGTAGTATATATGTACGCCTCTCTACACCTTCCAAAAGCCGCTTCTAGTTTTATTGAATATATTTTATATTTGTCTGTCCTAACTCCTAACCTAAAAAAACAACCTGTTCTGTTTGCCGAAAGGTCCTCTTATATAATTATCCCCTCAAGTTAGGGATGGACATTTTGGGTCGGATTTATTGCCACCCCTCCCTCTATTCTTCTTGTTTGTTCTCTCTTGTTACCTCCACCCCCCCCCCCAAACTCCAATATGTGGCTAAGTAATGCAAACAAAATTGTGGACGTTTATTGGCTGAATTGGGGGGATATATATCGCGCATTTCTCACTATCATAATGATATCCAGGACCACTACCCCAATGGATTTTTCTACCTTAAGGGTCATCAGTCAATACGTAGGATTCCACGGAATTAAATGCTTAATATGAATGGTGGATCGAAGCATCATTCTATTTTAAGAAGGTCAAAAGAAGATTTTAACCAGAATTTACCCATGGTTTTACTAATTTATTTGCCCCGGAGGCCCGGACATTATCAAATTATTATGTAAAATTGGCAGAATATGAGTAATCTCAATGTAGACTTGTTGAATAAGATAAGTGGAATATAAAGGTGTGATTACTGTTAAGGTGTGATGCTTCGTGCATGTCTGCAGGAGCTAGTGTATTATTTTCTTTCTTCATTCAATTTTGCGTGATTGCATCAGCAATTTGCCACCACGATAACCTTTCTTTTTTCTTGATTAATAAATATTTTTGAGAAGACCCAATAATCTAGCGTTTCCATTACATATCTTATCTAAGACTTGGAAGCATTAGTTTAAGGTTTAATTTGATGTAGTCGTTTTTGTACATAATTGTGGAAAGTGGGTGCTTCCTGGCCTCAAGGCCGAATTTTCTTAGATCATCACTAATTAGTAATTTACGACCCCAGGTGTGAAGGAAACGCCAACCAAGCTGGCGTGGACATTAACCAGTGGACAGTGACATTTAAGTAATTAGGGTCGTTCAACTCGTACTTTCAATGACTATAAACATACTTTGGAATAGTAATATTTATCGATCAGTTAAATGAAAAATAGAAATTTTATAGCTATTAGATTTTTTCCGATTGGTGCGGAGGAATCGATTTTGTATTTTGATAGGGTTGTTTTTTTTTTGCACATTCAATTATTCTCAAACTTATGATAGGTACGAAAAAAAAAATTATCGATTCAGGAGATAACCATGGATTTGAAAAGCTATGATGGGGTGCCCGGAACCTATCAAATTCCAACAACAGCAACATTTCTATCGAATCAGAGACAGACAGATCCAATTTGATGGACTTTCTTAATCCCAAATGCAGGTTTTTGTTCCCCGCAGTACCATATTAGTTATCATGAATGTCAATTCAACTTGAAAATGATGCAGAATTAGCAAGGGGAAAACACAACAGAACTTAACACTACACCAAAATTGAGCACTTTGAATTATTGATGTCAAAAAGGGTTTGACAGTACATAGAAAGATGACGAACAAAAAGTAAAGAGATGGTGGAATGGAATCAATGGCTAACTTTCATTTTTCCCTCGCTAAGGTTTAAGATCTAGTTAGGCTAGCTCTTTTTCACCTGGATGAAAAAAAAAAGAGAGGGAAATCTTGCTGCCGATAATTTTACAAAAACTCGCCGGATTCAGTTCCCGGAAAAATCCTCGTGATCGAGGAACAGCCAAAATTGAAACTTAAAAAAAAAAATATTACATAAATATTGATTCATCTAGTTGAACAAGCTCAGAAGCTTTGGTCCCCTTTCTTGCTGCTGATTACCAGAGAAATCACTCTCAAAGCAAGTTGTGGTCCCAGATTCTTCAGAATTCATGGACGGACTAACCGGCCGCCGTTTCTCCGGGAAAGGGCCACGGGCTCTGCCGGTCAAACCACCCTGCAGAAAGCCAGGCGTTAAGCTTAGATCGAGATCGGCTAACTGCATCACCTTGGCTTGATCATCGGGGGAAGAAGACAAGCGTCGCCGTTTCATCATCTTGGAATTCGGCGATCTTCCGACGCCGGGGTTAGCTGGACCGGCGAAATCCTGTTGTAGCTTAAACATTTCAGTGGTACACTCGGATGCATCATCCGGGTCAGACGATCCGCTCAGAAGGTTCGGTATCGCCCGCAACGTTCCGCCCCGGAGAACCGTCTCCACGGCCACCTGACAAACCTGCCAATTCCCGCTCCATAACAACCCGACCGCCCCGCTTACCGGGTTCACCGTCCTTCCAGCTGCCTCGAATAACAAGGACTGAAATAAAGCTGCCATTGGAAAGGATAAAAAAAATTTACTTTCAGTTTCAGCCCCCAAATATGACCAAAGTGCTCAAACTTATTATTTTATATTGTGATGAAAATATTTACCTGGCCTTTGATTTTCAGGGACGGCGGAAATGAAAGACATAAGGCCAGCACGGCCAAAGAACTTGGCAACAAAAACAGTGGCGTGGCCTTGAGCTTCAGGGGTTTCGATCCATTGCAAACAAGGTCTAAGAATACAGGTCTCGCTGCATCCCTTCCGAAGAACCCGGCAACCATTGCAACTCATGATGACGATTATGGATCCTGATGACGTGTCCCCACAGTTATGGACAGAACATGAAAAGGGGAATGAATGATGTACTGATGTTAGTTAGTACAATGAGAAAGGAGAGGGAGGTTGATGAAAACAGGGAACACTAAAGTCCCAAGAAATGAGGGAATGAATATAGGGAGGACTACTTTGGCCCCAAGAAAACAGGAGGTAAGAGGAAAGCTGGTTAAAGGCAAAGGGGGGAGAAAAACGAGGGGTGGCGGGGTATAAATAAACAAAGATGCGTGAATGAGAAGAAGAAGAAGAAGAAAGGAGAAGATAATTGGTTAGTAATTTGGTTTTGATGATTATAGTGTGGGATGAGTTAACTCAGGAGTTGGGTTAGATTTAGGTAGGGAAATTGGGAAGGGAGAAGAAGATGATGAATGAATATATATAGAGGAGAAGGGGCGGATTGGTTGGGTTAAGTGAAAGAAAGGACAATTTGTGTGTGGATGTGTGAGATTCCAAAGTATTGGGCAGAAGCGGCTCCGTGTTTCCGCGGATGGATGTTCCTCAACCGTTGGATTCTTTCTTGATTTCTCAAACTTCTGATAGGTTATCACCTCCCTGTGCTACTGTACGTTTCTTAATGGGCTTCGTTTTTTGAAATATTGCCATCCCATCCCCATATCCCATCAATTTAGTAGTTCTCTTTTTATTCTCATTTTGTTATTTTGGTGAAGAATTAAAAGGAGAAAAGAGAAAGGGGGAAAACAAAAAACAAAACAAAACCCTCTTGTTTTATGACGTTTTTTACTATGGTCTTTGCCACCTTGGCCAGCGTCAAGATGGATGTTAGCAAACACTATATGTTAAAAGATTTTTTTACTATGCTTCTTCCAAGTATCATCACATAAGTACTTCTATTTAATCTGTTCCCCATATAGATAATTGGGAAAATGAAGTTCAAATATTGAATTCAGGCTAATTCCTGTTTCTCCTAACGCAAAACTATAATGGTCTACGAAAGCTAATCAGTGATAATGAAATTTCGTTCAAAACACACAAATACTTTCACTCATTCATTCTAGCGTTGGTGATTGATAAAACTGCTCATTCTAAATTTCATGATAAAATTCTTTTTCTTTTTTTTGAAAATGTACAATCGTATTTGACCCGATGTTACAAATTTTGAATAACCTAAGTACTTAGATTATAGATATTTACAAAAAAAAAAAAAAAGATGATTGTCTTACGAATATAAAGTCAAGACAAACGACAATGCACGAGAAGTAAACATAAAACCTATCTACACAAGGAGGAAAAGATATCCGATGAATATGTAAAATTATGTGTCCACTTATACTTCAATCTAGTAAAATATGCATATAATTCAATTCCTTTCCTTTTCTTTTTTTTTTTTTTGAGAATTCAATTCCTTTCCTAGTAAAACATAAAATTGAAATCTTCCACTGGTAAAGGAGAAATTAGAATAATAAAAGAAAAAAATATATAGTTATCTAAGGATAATGCAAAAATTAAGACTTGGAATTATTGTACCTCGCACACACGCACTTTTAAGAAAGCACACAGTACAAGAATCGTACAGACTAATGGGCTTTTAAAAAATCATGAGAAAAATGAAAAGAGTTGCGGCTTGTGGGCTGGGCCCTTGTGGGCCTGTCCTTGCTCCTTGCAAGTTGCAAATTGTCGGCACGCTTCAAAAAACACAGGTAGCCGTCGACTCTCAAGTAGGAGAGAGGGCGGGTGGATAAGCACGCCACGTTCGCCTACCCTATCGAAAGTGACCACCTCCTTCGTCGCTTCTGTGTCTACTGGTCTTCATCATAAGAAAATTAATTTGTCCTAAATTTCTTCTAAGTTTTACCTATAATATCTTTTTTATTGAAATAAAAATTTTAATTACATTTCCTAATAATTAAGAAAACACAATAAATATGAAACTATATTTTTAAATTTTTTTTTCAATTAAAAACGCATCCTAGATAAAATATAAGACAAAATTAAAATGTTTTATAATAAGGATCGGCGAGAGTACTATTTTACTTTCTTCTTCCTTTTTGGAGGAAAATTCTGTATCATTTCATAATACAAACTTTATTGAAATTGGTCATAAAACTGACTCAACCATGGACTGCGTGGAGATACTGTAGTTTTAATGGATTTCAACACCGTACATTATAGAAATGTCAAACATGCATGTTAACCTTTATTTTCCGAATTTTCACGGGAAAGAATCGTGTTATTATCAATTTATTTTTCCCTCTTACCAATTATTTACAATGATCTCATTTCTACTTAACAATTTTTTAGTACATAAACAGGAGATAGACACTTATAAATTTAGACAATAATAAACTGCGGATAAAAAACAACGATAATAATATCGTATGCTAGTCATAGCTTGATCTCATATAATACTCTTGGAAAACCAACAAACTAGCTCGAAGCAACTAATGAAGCCAAAAATCTGCAGCAAAATCTCTACCCAACAGTTAAAAACACAGCATTGATGTAGCAAGTTTGGAGTTCGAGCCTTGGTGTGACCATGTTGTGACTTCTGAGATATTACCTCTTCAAATTAAAAAAAGTTGTACCCACTTCAAATACAAATGAGCTCGGGCATGATGTAAGTACTCTCTTAGTACATCTTGTGATTATTGTAAAAAATAAGAAAATAAAATATTGGATTCAAAGAATAAACTACAAGACAACTAGTCAACTTGAGCGTGCAAGAATTAAACTTTTGTGACATTGCAAACGATAACCTTGTTAAAAATCTGGGGAAATTGTCTCTTAAACAGATCATCATATGAAATGGCCCAACCAGGTTTAAGCTCACGCCAACATTCCCGACCTACAAGGCTACAATTTATTTAATGGACACCTCTAAAAACAAATGAAACATACACACAACTATACACATAAAAGGAAAAAAAAAAAAGGAAAAAAGAAAAGTTTAGGGTATTTATTTTCAAAGCCACCGCCTTTACTACTTGAAACCACATATTTAAAAATTAGATTACTTTATCCCTATAATTTTTTCAAATCAAATAATTTGACTAGAAAGAAAATAAAAAAAATAAAAAATTTAAAAATAAAAAAAATTGACAGACCGGGCGGTCCACCCGTCTCGGGTTAACCGAGGACGAGCAAAGAACGCGTCCTCTTGTTCGCCCGAACGCGTTCATTGTGCGTCTTGGTTTAACCCGGGACGCGCAATGAACCCGTTCGAGCGAACAAGGACGCGTTCCTTGCCCGTTTCGGGTTAACCCGGGACGAGTGGATTGCTCGGCATGTCCTGGTTCGGTCCGATATGGTGAACCGGACCGGTCAGGCGCTTTATTTTAATTTTTAAAATTTTTTTATTTTTTATTTTTTTGTAATTAAAAAATAGCAATATTTGTTAGTTAAAAAAGTCTAAAAATTAAAAAAAATCAATCGGATTCATTGCTATTTTTTAAATTTTTAGATTTTTTTTTGTAATTAGTTAATCTAGTTTTTAGGTCATTAGATTTATTAATAATTTATTATTTGAGTTACATTAAGTATCACCAATCTTTGTAATACAAAAAATAGTTAATCTATTTGAACATATTTGTCACAATCTTTGTAGTACAATTATTATTTTTCATTATAAATGTATAATTATTATTTAACTAAAAATTATCTTTAAAATAATGATTAAAGTAAAATTTATATTTTAATATCAATTTAAATAAATTAACTTAATAAATAATCTTAAATTTATTTTCAAATAAAAATTAATTACTTGTTTATTTTCAAGTAAATATAAAATCGAGAGTTTAAGCATTAAAGTATAAATATTGTTAATAATATTTAAAGTACGAGATATTCAACATGTAACGATACTACGAATAAACTAACATTAAAATAAAAATTAATAATTTGTCTGTTCTCACGTGAATCCGACCGAATGACTTGTCCGATTCGGTCTGATTCGGTCCGATTAATAGGGGCAAAAGGAAATTTTTCAAAATTGGTGGCTTCAAATACTAATTTTGGTGGCTGTAAAAATATAACCCCAAAAGTTAAGAGACGTGGACACAGGTTGGAGAATGAAGTTGACAAATCAATCAAATCAAAAGATCCCATACGATCTCCATGTCTAGAGGCTAACCGCACAGTGAGTGAGTTCTATAGGTATAGTCTTTACATATACAAGAGATATACTTGAATCTTGACAAGGACCCTGCATGTTACGTACCCATTCATCATCCCCAGGTCTTAGATGCTTTTCAGTTAATGATCTGGTAGTTTCTCCCTCCAGATTTTGAATTTGCTTGTGAGTATTTATCGCACTGGTCACTGGAGTTTTTGGTGTATAATACAAACTCAACATGAAAATCATGATTATATCTCCCCCATAAAAATACGAATAAGAAATGTGACCTGATTGGCACCACATGACATAGTTGCTTCGGGTGCACAGAAGTCATCTAAAAAGATCAAATTCTTTTAGCAAAGACTTGACCTCCATCCTTCAATATAGTCCACTTATTTTGAAGTGATTTTTTTTTGGGTGGCATAAAGTCCTAGTCCCCCACACCCACAGTGCAGATGAAGTTGACATTTTTATTTTTTTTTATTTGTTTGTTTTGATATTCCATTCAATTGCATTACAAACTGAAGCCGTGCACAGTAATTAATTATATGCATAAGTATGTTGACACAGTTGAAACTTGAAAGGGGCCTTCTCTATTCTCTCCGCTGTTAGAATTAACTGATCATTTTAGTTACTGAAGTCATCACCTGATTTCATACAATGGTGTTGATTCTGAATTACTGGTTCATGCAAGGGTGATTAGGAATCTGTATTAGCAATTATTTTTTTGAAACAAGAGGAGACTTCTTCTTCACGACTTTCAACTTCTGTACATTTATTCAATCTTTACCATCATGCACACAAGACGTACGCCGACACAACTGGTGCCAGTCCTTTTCGATGTCTAATACGACGGAGCTCAGTCAGTACGTATTGTTTTTTTTTTTTTCCCATTGAAGAATCCAAGGGTGAAATACTAGAGGATAAATACAATTAATCAATTTGCATTCTTCCACCTCCCATCGCGAATTCATTGGCTGATAGACACTGCTCCGCTAATCGTGGGCTATCCAAACATCACGTCCGAAAATGACACATGCTAGACCGAAATGATTTGCATGTTTGTGCTATTATTGTTGGGTTTGTGATTATACTGAAATCAGTCTCTGGTGAGAAGATAAAGCATTTCAATGGCTTCATCAACATCATCCGGGTCTAGGCTTGTTTTTCCAATTGATCCCAAGAAGAAACCAGGGGAGCAGAAGCTTCCGCTCCACAACCGATGGCACCCGGATATACCACCTGTGGCTGAGGTTAAGACCGGTGAAGTTTTCAGGGTAGAGATGATGGATTTTAGCGGAGGAGGCATCACCAAATATTACACAGCAGAAGATATCAAGCATGCTGACTCTTCTCTCGTGAGTACTTTTCTTGCATCATATCATACTACTTGAATTCCAGAATTTATTTAAGATTTTTTTTCCCCTTAAAAAAACAAAACAAAACTTAAAAAACAACGTAAAAAAAATTTGTCTTTTGCTACGTAGATTGGGCCCCATGAGAGAACCCTCAATCTTATTTTGTCAGCTACTGAAACTATTTTCCCAACGTTAGTTACCAAAGTCCAAAGTTGCTAAGACTCAGAGTAAGACGTACGGTTAAGTTTACCACACACATTCATGGCTCCTTCAACTCCAAGAACAGTTATCCCTATTGACCCTAGGAAGAAACCATGGGAACAGAAGTTACTCCTACACAACCGGTGGCATCCGGAGATCCCTCCGGTGGATGAGGTTAAATCAGGTGAGGTATTTAGGATAGAGATGTTAGATTGGACAGGAGGTGCGGTTAAAGATGATAATTCCGCTCTTGATATCAAAACGTTGGACTTATCAGTTGTAAGTATAAAGCTAACTCCCTAGCTAGTTAATCTGGATTCAAACATTAGGATGTATTTTAACTTACTAGTTTCGTTGATCAAAATGGAATGCTATCCCCAAACCGATTTCCATTAAGGAAACTACTCAATCTTGCAAGTTATAGGGACGGCTGGGAGTGTATATACGATGAGCAATACTTGTGTTATTTGGCTTCCAGGTACACTACCTAAGTGGCCCCATCAGAGTAACTGATGCGGATGGTATTCCCGCCAAGCCAGGTGATCTTCTGGCAGTTGAAATATGCAACTTGGGTCCTCTGCCTGGAGAGGAATGGGGCTTCACTGCCATATTTGACAGAGAAAATGGTGGCGGTTTCCTCACTGACCATTTCCCGCGGGCGACTAAAGCTATTTGGTACTTCGAAGGAATCTACGCCTACTCTCCTCATATTCCAGGTACCTAATTCAATTTTTGCCTGATATAATATATATTTAATATGTGCTGGCATTTGGTAAGTTTCTTGATTGATCGGGATGTCTTTCTTTATATTTAGGAGTACGGTTTCCAGGTTTGACACACCCTGGTATAATTGGAACAGCCCCCTCAATGGAACTACTGAATATATGGAATGAAAGAGAAAGAACTCTTGAAGAAACAGGTCTTAAATCTCTAAAATTATGTGAGGTTTTGCATTCCCGGCCATTAGCAAACTTACCGTCTGCAAAAAGCTGCGTTCTTGGCAAGGTAAGACTCCCTGAAATGAATCGACAAAACGTACAAGGATTCAAAGCATGTCTATTCCCCATGTTGTTTTCCCCCCTAATGCGAGAGTCTAACATTTTTTATTGTAGATTGAGAAAGGAACTCCGGAATGGGAAAAGATAGCAAGGGAAGCTGCAAGGACTATTCCGGGAAGAGAAAACGGTGGAAACTGTGACATCAAGAACCTCAGTAGGGGTTCAAAAATTTATCTTCCAGTCTTTGTCGAAGGAGCAAACCTAAGTACTGGAGATATGCATTTTTCTCAGGGTGATGGAGAAGTAGCATTCTGTGGAGCAATTGAGATGAGTGGATTTCTAGAGCTCAAGTAAATCTCTAACATCATCTAAGGAATTAATGCACTTATTATGTTTTCCCTCCAACTTCAAACTCATGTGGCACTTTATTAATTTCTATCAGATGCGAAATCATGAGAGATGGAATGAAGGAATACCTCACTCCCATGGGGCCAACTCCTTTGCATGTTAACCCAATATTTGAGATTGGGCCTGTTGAACCAAGATTCTCTGAATGGTTAGTGTTTGAGGGCATCAGCGTGGATGAAAGCGGTCGGCAACACTTCCTTGATGCCAGCATTGCTTATAAGCGTGCAGTGCTCAATGCAATTGACTACATCTCCAAATTCGGTTACACTAAGGAACAAGTGAGGTCTTTCTCCAAAAAGTTCTAGGGGTGTAATAGCAGTGTTCTAATTCAGCAGTTTAAAACTATTAACACATATTGCATTTCTTTTGATGTTAGGTATACCTTTTACTCTCTTGCTGCCCTTGCGAAGGTAGAATATCAGGCATAGTAGATGCTCCCAATGCTGTGGCCACTCTTGCAGTTCCAACAGCGATTTTTGACCAGGTAATGGCAGTCCCTCAGAATATCACGACATATCTGAAGCCCTAATGAATAATTATAAGAAATGAAAACAACAAAGCGAATTAACTGGAGAAAACAAGCAGTTTCCCAATCCCACCTTCTCCATCTCATCGTTATTACATGAAGATGCCAAGCCAATCTGGTTACAGAAATAAACGTAGTACTGCCAAAGGATTATTTGATGTTTTACGTTCAGACAAAATCCCAGTTATCCGATGACATTTGTTTGTATATACCCATGCAGGATATCCGTCCCAAGTCCAACAAGGTGCCCACCGGACCTAGGGTGGTGAGGAATCCAACCATTCCCCAATGTACTTATGACGGAAACTTGCCGATCACAAAGAATCCCAGTGCTGCAACTTAAAGGCTAAGAAAGAAGCAAACATGTCTTGTGGGAAGCATTATATACTACCTGTTTCAGGAAGTTTTCATTAACCAAGAAACTTGTTTGAAAATGAAAACACCAATTCAGAAGGCAAAGACTGGAAATAGAGAACAGACTATGTATGATAAATAGATTCCCCATGTTGCTTCCAAAGAACAACAGAGGAGCCAGTGCAGAAATAAAACATAGATTCTGTTTACGAGTACAATTTCCTTCCACAATTCCGCAGATTATGTCAAGTATCTGTCTACTGCTAATCCAGTCTATCCCGACCTACACTATAGAACAGGTAGAACAAGACCCAGTATCCGCTATCCATTGTATTGCCAGATCAATAGTATATAGATAGTGTTCGATGATGTCGAAGAGTCGGGCAACGAGTACCAACAGACCATAACCAAAGATCCAGCTCCAAACTTAAAACCTGTATTTAATGAAAGGAAAGCCTCAGATATTCAGTGAAGTTGGCAAAATCTAGAGACTACATTGACATTGCTGGAACTGGACCCAAGAAATAGAAGAATTATTCTCATAACCTTACATTTGCAATCATAGTAAGTGCGATATAAGTGTCTCCATTAGATGTTTATCTCTTAATTGACAATAAAACTGGCTAGAACCGACCTTGCCTAACTCTATTGTGCCAAACAATAAAAAGGCAAAGAACGCAAGACGATACTGTGGACAAGAAAAGTATACGGACCTGCTTCCCATAAGTTTTATTCAGTAATTCTCTCATTTTCTCAACTGCATGGACAGAGCATGCTCTCAACTCTACCTCCTCCTCACTGCCTGAGCAAATCTCACATTGTTTCTCAATGGTGCTAGCCAAAGATGAACTGTATTTCAGCACCCCAAGTTGCTGAAGTACCCCTGGGACAATATAATCTGCAAACATAGTTATGGAGCCTACATCATTAAATTCTCCATATCCTTGACCTTTAAATGCACCCCACAAATCCGCAGCAAATATCTGAGCTCTTTTATACAGGAAAATCTGGTGACCTTTGTACATAGTGTGGTCGCGGAAGCCTTCACCAAATTCACGTGAATCGTAGAGAATTGTTAGATGAAATATCATTACTGTAACTGCATCAAAAAGCAGAAATGAAAAATGGCTACAATGCTGGTACCAGGGAAATGTTGGGCCATGAGTTGCACAAGTTTTACAGCTGACTTTCCACAAGACTCAACGAGTTTTGATGCCCTTCCTTCAAAACTTCTTTCCAGCTCTTGGCCAAGCTAAATCAGAATTTGAAGGAGCCACGACTGTCAACATATATACATAAAAACTAGAGAAAGGGGGGAAAAATGAACATCTTGACCAACTTTTCCATGTACCTCATGGAGTAGGCGCACCCTTTCATCCTCCAAAGGAAGGGGTCTAGGCCAATTCAACATTTTGCGTAATTGGGGACCTGAAACATTATTTGTGATTTTGAGATAACCATTAATTTATTTGTCTTCGCAGGTGCTGTGGGAATTTCAGTGAAAAAAACCCTTTTATGGATATGGATGCAGGTCCTGTGGGATAACCCTTGCCAGGGGAATTTTAGTGAAATAGCAGACAACGAGTGGCTATATCAGATCACAAAATGGACGAAGGAGAAGGGAATCGTAGGGATCAGTTACCAGTGTACTTCTGGAGCCGATCTACATCAAATGCAAACTTGTCCTCCTCAAGAGCTGCTTTCAATCCAGATGCCAAGTGATCATAGTCCATATCCTTGTCTAGGATTAGACAACACATTGACAATGTAGGAAAAAAAAAAACGTCAGAAAATACAGCTACACCAATCCAGTAGCAGAACCATAGGTTGTATGTTTTGTCAGAGAACACATTTTAGCAGTTTAGGGGCCGATTGCTTCTGCTTTCAGTAGAAAAGCATTAGAATTTTATTAATTATCAAACGTTAATCAGACTCTTGGTGGAAGAGTTGGATTCACCTCAAAATAGAAAAAGTGACCCAAACAAATGATTCAGATATATGTAACAATGACAAAGGAACAGGGCCAGCTAATGAAACAGCCGACATGGAACCCCAACTTTGCAAGGTACACCAAAGATTGGTGAAAAGAACAACATATGGGGAACTAAGCATAAATGTGTTGCATATACAAGGATGAAGAACAAATAGGGTCTCAAACAATCCAACTTATGCTTTAATTTCGACACAATACCGACAAGACAGCCAAAGTATATGCAATTAAAATTAGTTGTCCTTGAAATTGAGGGATAAAAAATAAGATACCTGGCCAGAAACAGAAGTTCAGGGCATCCAAAACGAGTAAGTATTGAACAGTCAGAGGGCCATTGTCGAAATAGTGAATCCCTTCAAAATCCCACTCCACTTTTGGTATGGAATCTTTCATAGCTTCAGTAACTTTTTCAATGCCTGCACATAATATGAAATCCACTCAGAGACACATGCACTCTATAAAGACACAATATTTGTTCCGGAAACGGCATAAAAAATCAGTGAAACCTGAGTAGTCGACGGTGACATGAGAAGAATTAGCAGCGACCCAAGCACAGCTAGCCCGCACATCTTCCATTGCCCTCTGTTATCGTTAACCTAAGGATTATATTTTTCTGGGACGAATGCGGACCAGAAATTTATCGCCTAACGTTATTTAGCGGTGGAATTTTTTGGTCGTTTCTCCGACCTCGGAAGAAGATAACTGTAATTTGCTATAAAAGGCTCGCCTAAAACTATAAGGGCTGGCTGGCTGGCCGGTTCTTCTTATGAAAACGTTGACTGATTGTTACGGCTGCTGCGCCCATTGGTCATAGATACCCCATTGACCCATTTAGCCATATGGGTCTTTAAGAATCTTACACCCAGCAGCAGGCCCGCTGGGCCCACTGAAATCTTTGCTGAATCTAGTAACAGTACTACTCGTATAAAATACTCGGTACTGACCATTTGGTTACAGGCACACTCTAATTTTTTATTTTTATATTTTTTCTTTATGAAGAAAGAGATACCTAGTAACCAAATGGTTAGTCGCGCATCCAGATTCAACAAATCATCCGAGACAAAATGATGCTAAACTAGCTAACGAATTGGCTCGTTTTAATTTTGATGTTAATAAGTTCCTGCCGTTTTAATTTAAAGCAAATATACACTAGTATAAAACGACAAAGAGTAATGAATAAATATACACTAGTAAAATGACTGAGTAATGAATATACATATACTTAGTTAAATTTCTTAGATTATACTAACTCATATGTTTCAAGTAAAAAGGTTGTCACTCGTATTTCTTACCAATAAATTGAACAAATTTCACGTCAAACCAATGAAAGATTCCGGTCTTTTTCAGCTTTGAATGCATTTTGCCACGTGAGTATTGGAAATTCTAGTGGAAGGTAGGGTCGGCTTTGAAGCAAATCCAACATAAATGAAAAAAGTTTTTTAAAAAAAAAAAAAAATTTAAAAAGTATTGAAAATAATATTTTCTCTGAAAGTCTAAAAATACTTAAAACCTAAAATGAAAACAATAGTACAGTTCTATACTTCTATTACTTTCGTATAGTTGTGTCAACTATCATGTGAAGTACGCACAAGTAAACTCCATCTAACTTTTATTGGTGTTGCACTTATGAAATATGTCGATTATTAAAGTATGCACTGTGTGAGAGATTATTTGCATACAAATTATGCAAATGTAAACCCCGAAAAAAAAAAAAAGGACATATGACTTTGACAGCTACTACGATCTGGTTTATTTGATGTAGTAATATCTCAGTTTCTCCGGGACGAATCGAGAAAGGGGGAAAAGCGGTTTGGAAAAGAAACAAAAAACACAAACCTACCAGAAAACATGCAAACATTGCCATTGGAGAACCATCCATGATATTGATTTTGATATTTTGTCCATCCAATTTGAACAATGAAAAAAAGTAAGTACTTTTCTCCATATATAATAAGTATTATTAGACAAAATTTATGTTATTTAAGAAATATTTTATTATGATATGTAAATTATTAAACTATATTTAATTTAATAATTATATTTTATTATGATACGTGAATTATTAATATTTAATTTTTTTTCCCAGATGTGTACCCTTTTTTACTTAACATTTTCTTTTTTTTCTTGCAGGTGTTGACACCGATTTTACAAATCGTATCGGCCCAATAAGTGATGTAAATCGGCCCGATAAGTAATATAATATGGGAATACGATCAACCACCGACAATATTAATTATGAGACATTTCTTATAATTGGTTATATTTGAAGACTAATTAACAATATTAATTATGAGACATTTCTTATAATTGGTTATATTTGAAGATTAATTATATTCATACTTGGAGTGGAATTAATTTGGAGGACTATACCGAATCGGAATTGGCCTTGTGCCGCCGCGTGAGATGATTTAGGGCCAAGTCATGATAATTAAGGCATCTGATTTGTTTGGATTGGTTTTTGGAAGCTTCCTACGCATGTTGATTGATTAGATTAATTAATCAATTAGTTCTCTATTCAAGTTGGAAGTGTGCTTCAGTTCCTCTTTGCATGTTTTGGCCGAATTCTCCTATTTAATAGGAAGATTAACCTAGTTTTTGCTCCAAGAAAATCAGCCGACCTACTCCTCCCAATACAAAACAATGCAGCTGCGCTACACAACAATCATCCCCTACAATAATCATCACAAAACAAGGCGGACGCCTCATGTTTTTCCTTCTTCCTTTATTTATCATTTATTTTCAAGCCTTTTATCATGTTTTTATAGAACTAATCTAGATAAATAGTTTTTTTGCCTATTCTCTCTTCATAGAAACAGATAGTTTGTTCATAAAAATAGGTAGTTTATTATAGATTTCTACTTCAGTGAAGTCGAATCCCATGTAATCTCTTTTTTATATAATAGCGTGCCATCGACAAGAACACTAAATTCCTTATCGACGCTAGGATTCTTTTCCCACTTTTACTATATAAATCGGACGCCACTTGGCTGGTTCTGTTTTTATATCTTTTTTCTTTATTTTTATCTCTTTTTTTTAAAATTTTTACAAAGCAGAGTAAACCAAGTCCTCGATTCCAAGTCTGAGGCTTGTTTTCGAACTCATCCATAATCGTTTGATATTTTATGTTTGAGATATTTTTATCCTTTTTTTTCTCACGGTTAAAGGTGATTTTTTCGGCACAAATAATAGGTGAAGATTAAAGATAGAATCAATTATCCGTGACGCTCTTCCCATCTTCTCTTTTTTACCTTGTATTTGAACAAGGAAGGAAAATAGAAAATAATATATATAGAACCTATTAAACCTAATAGACCTCGTTAATACTATTTATTTGTGGGAGTAAAATTTAAAATTTTTTATCAAAAGATACATTGACAAACACTGAAATATATTATTATTTCCTTAAACCACACTTTAAACATAATAGAGAGTAGCGCTAGTTTGTGAATCTTTGAATTGTTTCCACATGCTATAAGGGGAGAAAAAAAAAATGGTGGATTGTTGATAAGACTAATTCAATTCGAGATTGAACATGATGAGTTTCGCACAATTTTGCCTAAACTTTTTTGATGCGAACATTCGGGAATTAATATAAGTCTTTATCTTTTGTTGGCTGTCTGTTGTTGTCTTATGATGTTATCCAAAAATGGATTCATAATTTTCATTTTCAGCTTCAAACTACTAAAGGACTTGGCCCAATTGCCCCACTCCAAAATCACGTCCACCTTGTCACACCTAATTATCTCATCATTATTTTGGTTTTTAGTATTATTAGTTTCCACTTTCTTGAATTTTTGTGTACTCTCTCAGTTTTTTATTTTTTAAAAATCACATTGAATTTATCAAATATTCTCATTTTAAACTAATATAATGATAACTAGATGCTTGGCCCAGGCAGATGCCTGGGCGCCCCTCTACTTTAATTTTGTGTTAATAGATAAATGAATTCTTGATTTGGAAAAAATAAAATAGTTACACATTTGTTTTTTTTTCTTTTTTAGCCAAAAGTAAAAAAAATATTGAAAAGTACAACGATGCAGAAATCATAGAAAAGAATGTGGAGTAATAAAGGGGATAAGTTTATGGGCAAATTTAAATATTATTTTAATTTAATTGATAAATAATAAATGTTAGGAGTTAAAATTGTGTAGTTTTGTTTCTCTGGATAAGGGAATTTTTTTTTTAAAAAAAAGGATGACACGTGGCAGAATGGTTAATGCAATATGGTGCATTTGGAGCCAAAATTTTTTAATAAAAAGTTGCCACATCAACATCCTGTATTCTGCTTTAATAGGGTAAAAGGGATGTATTTGTAATTTCAATATGCTTTTTTATTTGTTAACACAAAGATTCCATTTTGTACACGTTTCATTTTTTATTTTTCAAACTAAAACTAAATTGATAATGAGATTATAAATGGATTACTATTCGATTTATTCTTTTTCCAATCGAGAAAGGCACACTCAGACTCGGTTTGGTTTCTTTTTTGGATGATTTTTTCAGAATTTTTTATTAATATTTATCCTATTTTAACATACCTTTTTATATTCTTAATACACTTTTTTACATTTTCAATATACATTTTTATATTCATAATATAAAAAAACACACTCAAAAAACTTTCCAAACGTAACCTAAGTTAGTATAACAGGTCAAAGAGAAAAAGGACAAGGAGAATAATAGTGATAGAATTAATTATTATTTAGGATAAAAAAAAAAAGAGAAAGAAGAAGAAAAAGAGAAGGAAAGGAAAAGAGATAAGAAAAAGAAAGGGGGAAAAGAGGGTTTGTTCCAATTTGGGGGCAGCGCGGCAACAACTCAATCGTTTAACCCCTTTTCCGTTTGATGGCCGTAAGGCCTTTACAATTCATCGTTTCCTACGCTCGCCACCCCATCTCCTCTCCCTCCTCTTTAATTTCCCCTCCTCATCGACCCACGCCGTCGGCCTTCTTCCTCCTCCGCCGTCTATCCTCCGGGGCCCCACTTGTTCCTCCTATCCACCAACAGCAGCCGAAGCAGAAGCAAAAGCCCAATAAAGACAAACCCTCGCCGCCGCCGCCGTCAACCCAGGGGCTTACCCGTTCTTCCAAGGTTCCTCCCCCTTATTCTCCCGGCCTCCGGGCTTCGTCTGTGTCTATTAACGAAACCATGGCGCAGAAGATCGGAAAGTCTATCCGCCGGCCGGGCGCCCCCTCCAAAGCTCGGGTTTATCCCGATATAAACGTGATCCGCCCTAAGGAGTATTGGGACTACGAGTCGCTAACTGTCCAATGGGGGTAATTACTTTGTATTTTATTTTTTTTTAATCTTTTGTGGGTTATGTTTGAAAAAAACAAAAAAAAAATTGAGCTGCTAGATAGGGATGTATCTGCTTCTTCTTGATTTTTGACTATCAATTATTAGCTCGTTGACTGTTTAATTTTGATTGGGGGGCTTTAGGGAGCAGGACGACTATGAAGTGGTAAGGAAGGTAGGGCGAGGGAAATACAGCGAGGTTTTTGAAGGAGTTCATACAACCAATGACGAGAAATGTGTTATTAAAATTCTAAAGCCTGTCAAGAAGAAGAAGGTCTGTTTTTTTCCAGCTCTTCTTTTGTTCTCTCTGTTTGTGTAAAGAAGAAAGTCCCCCTTATGCTAAAGATTTAATGGTTGTTTTACTAGAAACAACTGTTTTAGCTATGGTTTTGAGCTTCTTTAATCAGGCTACGTATTCCATTATTTCCTGCTAATTATGATTATTTTAGCATGCGCCTAAACTGGCATTTTTATAGCTTTTTTTTCCCCTTAATCAGGCTTAAAACAGGAAATGTCAAGATTTTAGTTGTTATTATTTTTCAAAAGATAAATCTTTGTAAGCTCTGCTAATATTTTTGTATCAAAATGCCTGCTTGTATATGAATTAGCATGATAATCTTTGATTTGCTGATGTAATTTATCGGTTTTGCTAGTTTGGCGGTTACCTGTTCAAGTTGTTTATATTTTGCCATTTCAAAAGCAACATTCTTTAATGATATTTATGATGCATATCTGTGATTGAATGCAGAAGTATTTCAAGTTGGATACCTGTTCAAGTCGTTTCTCCTTTTCCACTTCAAAACTCAACAATCTTTTATGATATTTGTGATGTATCTGTGATTGAATGCAGAAATGTTTTAAGTTGGCTAGTTTGTTTATCTGTTCAAGCCGCTTCTCCTTTTCCTCCTCAAACCTCAGCATCCTTTTGTGCTACTTATGTTCTATCTGTCGTTGAATGCAGATCAAGAGGGAGATTAAGATACTACAGAACCTTTGTGGTGGTCCGAATATTGTGAAGTTGCTTGATATTGTCAGAGATCAGCAGTCTAAGACACCAAGTCTCATATTTGAATATGTGAATAACACAGATTTTAAAGTTCTCTACCCTACACTTTCAGACTATGACATCCGGTATTATATTTACGAACTTTTGAAGGTAAGCATCAAGTTCCTCTTTCATTGTTTTCTCTATAGTCTAAAATCGTGTGAAAGCCTTTGAGCCATGTATCAGTTGTTTTGATCGCATAATTCCAATTTATTTGTTGTAGGAATGTCTTTGGACTGCCTAATTTATTTTCTGTTATTTTTATATTCATGCACTGTGTTATGGATCTGTTGGGTTTATATTTTGGGACTGCTTGTTGGCATCTCAAATGCTATACTGGCTTCCCACTGAAAAGCTTTCCAAATTTAGTTTTTTTTTTTTTTTTTTTACTTTGACTCTTGTTTTACTTTTTAATCAGGAAATCTAAGTTTTGATTCTAAATATTGTTGGCGTTGAGGAGAAAAGTCAAGTGTAGCAGTTTTTCCATTACTCTGTAATTAAAATTGGTTACCATGACATTATGTTTCACGTGCTTAGCTTTTGTCATTCTGTTGATGATAGGGGACTCCTTGGGAATCCAAAATTCTAAAATCATCTTGTACTTTGTTCATAGGCCTTAGATTATTGCCATTCTCAAGGTATTATGCATCGTGACGTGAAGCCCCATAATGTCATGATTGACCATGAGCAGCGTAAGCTTCGTCTCATAGACTGGGGACTTGCTGAGTTTTACCATCCTGGGAAGGAATATAATGTTCGTGTTGCTTCTAGGTTTGTCCTCTTACACTAGGTTCTTTTTCTTTTCTCTTTTTTTTTGGTCGAAAAGAATTTTGACTTATTCGAGTAATGAGAGCAGTTTGGTTTATCATGACTGTACAGTAATCTCAGTTATGTTCTTTTGACATTTTACTTCACAGGTACTTTAAAGGGCCTGAACTTTTGGTTGATTTGCAAGACTATGATTACTCTTTGGACTTGTGGAGCCTTGGTTGTATGTTTGCTGGAATGGTAATAACTGTCTCCCTTAGGTCTTGACTTGCGCTGCCGTTACAATTAGTCTTTGGCTCGTATTACCAATTGTTGTTTTGTTTTTATGAACCAAAGTGTTCCCTGCCTGCATGTTGATTTTTTGTTGCGTCTCTCATCATCTACAATCTGTGATGACGCCCATGAATGAGTTTACCTTTTTGATTCTTGGTAAACATGGGTGTTAGATGAGGTTTAATTTTAATGAAAATTGCTAGCCTGATATGGTGCTTCTCTAACTTACATTTAAATTTGTTATTTGTGATGACAGATATTCAGGAAAGAGCCTTTCTTTTATGGGCATGATAACTACGATCAATTAGTCAAGATTGCAAAGGTCAGTCTGATAACACTGTGGTTGTCTGTTTAGCATTTGATGTGCGTTTAATGAGTCTTTGCGTGTTTTTTATTGGATAATTTTGTGTATCCAGTTATGTTTGCATTCTTTGGGTATGATATCTTCTCTTTTGATTCTTAATTGGAAGATATTTAGGATGTGGGATTTCGTAATGACTGTTATTTCTGTGATTTGATGAAATATAGGTGTTGGGGACAGACGAGTTAAATGCGTACTTGAACAAATATCGATTAGAACTTGACCCACAGTTAGCAGCAATGGTTGGAAGGTTTGGTCACTGTGCCTTTCTTACCTATCCTCGTATGGCCTGTTATCATTCTTTTAAAAAAACGGGGTCTTTCTTGTTTCGCAGGCATAGCAGGAAACCATGGACAAAGTTCATCAACTCAGATAATCAACATTTAGCTGTACCTGAGGTAGTAAGATTTTTTTCAGGGTTTAAAGCCACTTTCGCCTTGATTTATTTTTGCTGATGATGGATTTTTATTCAGGCGATTGATTTTGTTGACAAACTGCTGCGGTATGACCACCAAGAAAGGCCTACTGCAAAAGAAGCAATGGTAAGTTTGTGTTCCTTGGTTGCCTTTCCGATAAAGACACTGTGTTTATCAAAAACCAAACATTTAAGCACCTATATTTTTATTCTGCAGGCCCACCCTTACTTATATCCTGTAAGAAGTGCAGAAAGCAGCAGAACTCGTACTCAATGAGATTGAGTTCAAACCCGGATTTGAATAGCTTACAATTTTTTTTTCCCGATGTACCCCCATTTAAGTATTCCTGTAGAATTGGTTAGACTTTGATTTGTCAATTTTTCTATTCGTGATCTTAATTAGATAATCCGTTTGGGTGTTGGTTGATTTCTCCAAACCTCGTCTAACTTATGTGCTTTTCATATAGAGATTTCTGGGCAAGAATTCCTTGCTTTTTTATTTGAAGTAAAATTTGCATGTCAAGTTTGTGATAGATGGCTGCCTTCCTGTCCTGGTGAGCCCTGATAGGTATCGGACAGTCCTTGCACCGTGATTCACGAGGCAATTTTGTAGACTTATCACTTTTTTTGATTTGTGAGTTTAAGTCTTGGAAAAGTGTGAAGTCTCCTCATTAGTTCTTTGTTGCAATGTTAATGACTTTTCCAGCTGCTTGGTAATGTTTTAGTAGTTGTAAGCTTGTGTAAGGGTGGATGCGGCACTTAAGGCCACTTCCTCTTCATTCAGTATAGAGATAATCTGAACTAATTAGAGATTTCAATTTCATTTGCAAGAAATTTGGACTAGGTGAACAAATAGAGTGAGCAACACGTTCAAATATATTTTCTCTTCCTTCAAATGATTGTTTTTTACTTAGATTTTATTTTTAATACTCCTTTTGTCTCATAATTATTGTCTAGTTTGAGAATTTAGTTTTAATATAATTTGAACTCGAAATGAAAATTCAAACTGGATAATACTTATGCGACATGGAGAGTATAATTTAAAATAAAAAAATTAGAAATTTAAACTATATAATTATTTTGGGATGGATGTAATATAATATTTAACTCGAATCCATGATACTATTGCTATTAATGGATTAGATTTTTCTTTCTTTAAGAAAAAAAAAATTTAGGAAGCACAATGATGGTTACAAAAGAGCCCCAATAAGGGTGGGCATTTTCTACCATATTTCTACCATAAAATCCCTAATTCCCATAGAGGGTCTGACCTAAAGCATTCTGGACTAGTTATAAAGCATTTTAGTTAAGCGTCTGTTAGCCCATAAGAAATGCGTACCACCTGAATATGTTGAATGGGGGAATACAGTGATTACTGTCAAGTGAAAATTTTAATATAATGTGGTGAAATTGATTTTTCTTTTGGAGTAATCATTAGACATGAAGCTTGTTTTCATTCTTTGGTCCAAACCTGAAATTCAGATCCACCTTAACAGCCCATCAAGAAACCTGTGGCGGAAGCCCAAAGCCTGGTATAAGTCTTTAGCCGGAAAAGTGTGCCCGTGATTTCGGTCAGTCGGTTACCAAATATCCCCATCTCCGGCGAAATCTTACAATTTTTCAATCAGCGCGATTTCACTAGACATGAAGATGTCCAATTTCACGAAGCTGATATCCCGGGCAGCCATGGAAAGGCTGAGGGACCCATCGAATTACTCTTCCTCCGCGACTCACAGCAGGGGAATGTTTGGCTCAATTGGGGGAAGGAATTACTCAACCTTTGCTGCTCCCAGAGCCGTCACCCTCATCCCAGGAGACGGAATCGGGCCACTGGTCACCGGCGCCGTCGAGCAAGTCATGGAAGCCATGCACGCTCCACTGTATTTCGAGAAATACGATGTTCACGGCGACATGAAGAACGTCCCTCAAGAAGTCTTGGATTCCATCCGGAAGAACAAGGTTTGCCTGAAAGGCGGACTGAAGACGCCGGTCGGCGGCGGGGTCCACTCCCTGAACGTCCAGCTCCGGAAGGAGCTCGATCTCTACGCCGCCCGTGTCCACTGCTTAAACCTAGAGGGGCTGCCCACGCGCCACCAGAACGTGGATATTATTGTGATTAGGGAGAATACAGAGGGAGAGTATTCCGGCGTAGAGCACGAGGTGGTTCCCGGCGTGGTCGAGAGCCTTAAAGTGGTGACCAAGTTTAATTCAGAACGAATTGCAAAGTATGCGTTCGAATACGCCCACGCCAACAACCGGAAGAAGGTGTCGGCGGTGCACAAAGCAAATATAATGAAGCTTGCTGATGGGCTGTTTTTGGAATCTTGCCGGGAAGTTGCGAGTAAATACCCAAGTATCCAGTACAACGAGATCATCGTGGACAACTGCTGTATGCAACTGGTGTCGAAGCCTGAGCAATTTGATGTGATGGTGACCCCTAATCTGTATGGAAATCTGGTGGCAAATACTGCCGCGGGTATTGCTGGCGGAACAGGGGTGATGCCCGGAGGTAATGTGGGGGATGAGTATGCGGTTTTCGAACAAGGTGCATCTGCTGGAAACGTTGGGAATGAGAGATTGGTGAAGCTGAAGAAGGCAAATCCGGTGGCTCTGCTGCTTTCATCGGCCATGATGTTGAGACACTTGGAATTCCCTTCATTTGCTCATCGGTTGGAAACTGCAGTCAAGCGTGTGATTGCAGATGGCAAATGCAGAACTAAGGACCTCGGCGGAGACAGCACTACCCAACAAGTTGTGGATGCTGTCATTGCAAATCTGGATTGAAATTTGAATGGGTCCCTACTCCCTAAGAAGCTCTGCTTTCTAAAGGTTTTTTTTTTTTTTTATAATTTACTATTCTTGGCATGAAAATGAAGTATGTTCTTCTCTTGGTTTTCTTTGTATAACTTGGTTACTAGTTGGGAACCTTTTTTTTGCTTAGTGTTAGACCAAAGGCAAGGGGTGAAATGGAGTGTTGTTTCTATAGCAACGGTTTATAAGCTCACATCGTTGTAGCGAAGAACTGTTCTTCTGAATGCTTGTGGACCAATAGATTAGAGTGAAAAAAAAGAGTAATGGAAAAGTTTTCTTGGACTTAAACAGTTGAGGCCCAAGTCATTGTGTCAAGTCCCCACATAATTTAGTACCTGTACTGTATGGAGGGTATTAGTATCCTTTGGTCTTGGACTGAAGGGAAATGGATTAGTTTCCACCTCCAATTTGGTTGAAGCTTCTTCTGATTGGGAAAAGGCTTAAGAGTCTCAAGATGTGAATTAGGAGAGTTTACAATTATGCTGAGAAGTCAACTTCGGCAAGACGTTGTGTGCTGCTATCTGATAGACTGATAGTATTAGATGACCACGGTGTCATTTACTATCGTTATTTTTTTTTCGGGATAGAGGAGTATTACATTTCCAAATATAATATACTATCAATCAGTCTTGACATCAAATTATTGTAGTAGACTTGTAAATCCCAATTTATCATAAAAAAATTTGTACTGGTAAAGGTCAATTAATTCGATTTCTCTGGAGCCCAATGGGCATCTATTTCTGTCTTTGCAGGAATGGAATGGTCCCTAGACTGAGATACTGGACTGATCCGTGAGCATTTTCAGTTGGCCCAGAGAAGTGGGCTGTCCTCTTATCTTAACTTATGTAACTAACCTTGTGCAGTCTGACGTGACTCCCTTCAACGTTTGGTTCTGTTGTTTTTAGGCTGCGGCGGTAATGTAAACCTTAGTCCAGGCTGGGTACAATTACCGGGTAATGCAGCTTGTTTTTCTTCACATAAAGAAAAAAGGACGTTGGCACTGTAATCTGTTTTTAGTTTTTCTGCTTCTAAAAGATACTTCCTCTGTCTCATAATTATTGTCCAGTTTGAGATTTCACTTTTAATACAATTTAATTGAAAATGAAAACTCAAACTGGACAATAATTATGGAACGCAGAGAATGCATAATTCCTGAATATTTTGGTGTTTTGGACTGGACTATAGGGCGAGATTTTTGTGAGGAGATTTCCTAAAATTCAGCAAAAGAAAAAATAAAATAAAAATTGGGAGTGAATAGATAGCTAGATTCAGTGCGGGAGTGCCAAATTAGCATACGCAAAATTGGGAGTGAGTGAGTGGCTGGAGCATGGGTCACAATCGAGGCTTTCGGTTGTCGCCACCAATTTTGTTTTTGGACAACCCAGCATTCTACGTCATTTTCATATGCATTATTTGGAAGGGCATTCTTAACTCCTATGTCAATCACCATCCTCCCCCCCCCCCAATTCAACTGTTCGGCTCTCCGTTTTATGTTTCAACTTCATCCCCCAGATTTTTTTATTTTCTTTTTTAAGAAAAACTCCCCCTCGAAACACTCGTAGTTTTGTTCTATTCTTGACAGTTGAAATTATGGGGGGAGAGAATGTGAGAAATACAACTAGTTGTTGACCATGACAATACCTAAGGTCGACAAAGTCAAAGAAAACCATAAATGTTGATCACTTTTGTTTAAGTTAAAACCTTCGAGTCAAATGATGATTGGTAAGAAATTGTAATCACGAGATTATGTTCGCCAAATATTGCTGGAAGCAAATTCCAGAAAAAAAAAGGAGAGAAATGGCAAGAACGAAAGGGCAAAGGTCCTTGTAATGCGCCTAGAATTTCCAAGAAAGGCTAGCTAGCTAACTATTCTCTGCCTTTGTTGCTCTGGAGAATTCTTTAGGAATTAGAAGCAAAAAGGATAATCTTGAAACCTCCACAAACAAATAAGCATACAAATCAAATTGGATTGGTTAGTTGGGTTATTACTAAATTGAGAGATTTGGAATTTGGGGTTAATTTTTTTTTTTTTTCCTTCTTATGAATGATCGGAATTGTGGGTACGTGGTCCCCTAATTGAAACTTGTTGGGATTCTGATTCTTCTTCTTTCAATTAAAGTCTATAAATTAGTAGTAGCTTTATACTAAGAAAGAATTATTATTAGTATAGTAACTAACTTACGTTGTAGTATCTCATAACGATAGGTGCAAAAGTGAATATTTTTTGAGAGGGGACCCAATAATTGGAGGAAGGGATATATAGAGTTAGAGACAGGTTAACGACAGAGGAATCCAGGCTTCTCCTTGCTAATCAGACATTTGGCATCCAATCCCATGCCTAAGTACTTGATTCCCCGGACCGTTCCACCTTATTCACCGCTAACCTTCCCTTCTCATGTTCCTCTGTTTCATTTAAATTAATTTGTATACTCTACACTAAACCTAAAACCAAATGCTTATCGATAACCACACAATTTGATTAGGTATATTTGTTCAACACACTCAAATCTCAAAAGGGTTGTGATGGACCGACAGTCAAGCCTCCGGATTTCTTTAGTAAATATTTTTCTAGTCAAACCTCGTATAATGTTTCCCATACAAATTTAATTAGATAACCGAAATAAAAAAAGTTTTCGTTAAAAAGGTCGGAGTTGGATGTGAATATATATCATCATTCCTGTGGGTGGAAAAGAAATTATTAGAATTTAGCATTGAACAAGATTTGCGTCATCATGTTGCCATCCTCAAAAATTGGTTATTTAGTTTGGATTATATATCACACAAACGGTCGAATTATGTACGTAGCATAGCTGAACTGACATAGAGGAAAGATGGATGATTCCAAAATGTACCAACGCATTCATTAAAAAAAAAAAGAAAAAGAAGAAGGATATATATATATATATATTCATTGGTTTTAATTTTGTTAATTTGTTTCCAAGAATAATAGAAATTCGTGGAAAATTAAATAACACCCTAGTGGTTAGATTACTATTTTTCTTGATAATAGATCGATTCTTACTTAAGGGGATTTTACTTCCATTTAAGTGGGGTCCATTGGGATGGGTTTTTCTTTTTTTAGAAAAAATAATAATGGAAATCCGTGAAATCCAATTAAGAAGTGTAAACTATCTAGTGTTTGAAAACTATTCCATTGATTCTGGCTTTTTGGATTCTCAAATCTCGATGCCAAAGCATCTTGTAGTTTTCAGCGATTAATTGTCAACCTCTAAAGCTCATCATGTAGATTTATGTTATCAAATAAAGTGGTTTGTTATTTAAGTTCTAGGTAAGACTGAGGATTCTTCCCTATTGGTTTGTTAAACTATAAGGATTTTTCCTTTCACACAATAATCTTACTATTGAGACACTTATGATTTTCATTGCTACTTAATTGAAAGTATAAATGTTGTAAAATTAAATTAAGAAAAATGAGAATAATTCAAAAAAAATACTTATATATGATATATGTATGTTAATTAGTATGATGTATTTTAACTCATAGGAAAACTTTCACCCAAAATTATAAAATTTAAAACTCATGGGGAAACAATTGTTACAACAGTATTCGCACTATTTCTTGAGTTTTTTTTTTACTCATCGATATTTTGTAATTTATTTTCATTTGGCCAATAATACATCACTTGCTATAAGTATAATCTTTATATTACACGAGCGACCCATTGTTTTTGCGTGGCTATAAGAGGCACGAGCACATCACTATTTCATTCTTTTGAAAAAATGTAATTTTCCTTTCTATCCACTTACATAATATCAAATTAACCACTATCAACATAAAAAAACCAAAAAAAGAAAACATAAAGAAACAAGAAAAGAAAAGGGCATAAAAATAAAAAAAAATTTCAAGGATAGAAAACAGCTTGACGTAGAGACCCTTAACACAAACCATTGTCCACATTGTTATAGACGTTTAGTAACGCAAATGTATAATGTCAATTTGTTGCAACAGTCCTACAAATCTTGTCCACTTCATAATTACTATCATCAATCATTTTCCATAATTTTCTTCCATATACAAGTCCACTTCCATATCTCCTCCAGCTTTCAGGGTGGTGCGGTCTCAGCTATCGGCCAAACAACCATATCACGGCCACCGCCGACCAGTAAAGCAGATGATAAGTTCTGAGAAATTCATCACCTAGGTTTATTGTTAAAATTTCTATCTCTTGTTCTTTTTAGTATTTACTACGAGATTAAGAATCCGGTCCTGCTGTATGATATACATATTCAGTACTCTCTCCATTTCAAAATAAATATCATCCTACACTTTGCACATAGTTTAAGAAACTCTTAAATATGATAATAAAATTATTTGAATATCATCAACCAACCCCATTAAAAAATGTTCACCAATAGTATTAATTCTTTTGAAGGTAATTTTAAAAACTTTGAACAAAAAGTACATTTAAATGTGAGAACGACACTTATTTTGAAATTTCTTTATTTTGCTAAAACGACATTTATTTTGAAATGGAGGGAGTATTATTTTAATAATTCACTTTTCTTATTTTGATATAAAAGTTTATCAATTCAATAAACTTATTTTATTTTGATAAACATACAGTTGAATATAAACAATAACTGTTTATCTAGGGACCAGAAGGAAAAGTACGAATTGGACCCGATGGAATGGAGTTATTCCCATATATCATCATTTGTTATGTTAATAAGGTAAAGGGGAGGTTAGGGGAAGGGAAATAATGAGTGAATGAGTCCCAAATCAATGCTTTCTTTTTCGGTACCTTTTTGTCCTTTTGTAAACTCCAAAAAAACTTTTCGCCCACAATATTAACCTAATTTAATTAATTTTTTCAACCCAAAAAACAAAAAAGCAAATAAAAGAAAAACACATGTTCGTGCTTTCCTCCAAAAGCCTAAATATATAATCAAATTAAAAAGGGCCAAAATGATGATGAATCTACATATGATACATATCCAGAAGTCCCACTAATGGTTGTTCATGTAACATCACTTTCCTAACAACACAAATTCCTCCACATATTTTTGTATATATCTTTGTCTCTTTCCCTTCTCTCTCCCTTGTCGGCCAAATATTGCTTTCCTTTTCCTCAATTTCATTTCTTTAACTAAATCTTTTACTAATTTTTCATGCATGGAAGTGGCCAAGAGGGTGGCTCTCATCATCATTAGATCGTTCCCTAGTGATATAGTTGTTAGAGTTGCACTTTCCTTTTTCTCCTTTTTTTTAATAAAAAAAATAAATTAGAAACAGCTAAAACAATTTGGAGATTGAAATGTCACGATCTCAGGATGTGGACGGCATTTTATATAGAAGAGGCAAAATCTTAAAAAAGAAGTTAACCAAAAAATAATAAAAAAATCAGATTACAAAATTTAATAAGTGGAAATTATATCGTGTTCTAAGTTTGGGATGGGATTTTTAGTTTGGGATAAATAACCAGTTTGAAACTGAACAGTTAGTTGTTAAAAAACGGGAGGGGAATATAATTTTGTCGTGTATGAATAATGTTAGTTTGTTACTACTATTTATAGAAATTTACAGTTCAACAAGAAATAGTCAAACCATTATCCAGCTCTGAGATGCATCATGAATGCTGCTGTGCATGCCAGTATATAATTTTTGTCCGGAATTTATTTAACTTTGACCGGAACAGAACACAGTGATAGTAGTCATAGTTAATCAGCAATGGTGGGATGGGGTCATAAAACAAATATTTGAGAGATCAAATTATTTGTCTGTTGTGATATATGCCTGTAATATTTGCCGGGAATCTTTTTCACGGGCCTACGAAATTCAGGCAAACCTGGAATTTAGCAATGTCTTGTGTTTTCAAATCATGAACATCATTTATATCAAAGATAAAAGAAAAACAAGAAACAGCATTTAACAAAGCCCATGTACCCGCCTGGAATAATTCTGATAACTTTGTTCTAGATATTTCCATTTAAATTCAGCCTTTCATTAGCGTACGGTCCAATGAGAGCAAGGACTAGCTAGCATTCTTC